TTTTTTGGTTGTTCAGAGATTTCTATAGATTCTTGGATATTTCCGGGTAGAAGAATTGATTACATTAATTAATTTTAATTTGATCGAATGAACTTTCGGTTTTATTATTGTTTTCGGGAACTGCTTATGACTTTATTTGTCATAGTCGTATATTTTTTGTTCTGTTTCTCTGGTTAGTTTTGACATAGCTCTTTCAGATATATTGCTATTTGGGAATCTGGAATTAAACCTATTCAACCGAATTAAATGCTTGTTTGGAACATATTTTTCTTGTAACGGTCAGATTTATGAACGGGACCAGCTGTGAGATCTCCAGGATGGTTGGCAAAACGTCAGCAAATTCGATTTATCCACCACGGACGCAGGTAGAATGCAAAATATTTGTAAATAGTCTTACATTATTCTGTGAAAGTTCCCTTTAAAAAAAATCTTCAGAAATATTTGCTAAACAAATTTGATAAACGCCATATTAGTTTATTCGGTACGAAATGAGCGAGTGCTTAATAAATGAGTGACTGAAGAAGTATTAATATATCAAAATATTGATCGGTGGCAGTGGTGACATATTATTGAATATTCTGTACTTTGCTTTTTATCCCTCTCATTCCTTGTTAAACTTTATTTTTATTTTTATTTTAGGAGACAATGAAAGAAATAACTATTAAAAAGAACACTTTTATCGAATAACTTTCAAAGTTCATTTCAAAATGATAAATTTTACTAAAATATATAAATGTTACTTTTCACATTTATTTTGATTTGATTAAAAGCAAAAGTCAAAAACTTAAATCGTTCAATAAAATAGTTTAAAATAGTTTATATGTGTTGTGGACTTTAATAGGTAACATAATAATATTAATAATAATATTAATAATATATTAGACGATAAAATCAAAATATTTTATTACTCAATTAATTAGATAAATATGTAGCAGATGGCATTTTTATTTGCAAATTCCAACAACTTCTTTTCCTATTGCATTAGATAGCAATTTATATTGAATATTTCTATAATATAAATATTTATATTCGATATTTTTAATATTTAGAACACCGCTCTAAATAGTATTTAGCAGAAATTATCGGAAGAAAATAATAAATCTAAAAATGTACCCAAAAATTAAAAAAAGATTCAGAAGTTATTGCATAATATTCGCATATAAAAACAAAAACTTGTTGGTGTTGCTCAATGGAGATTATGATTTATATAATGTAATAGTAATTAAATAATGGAAAAATACCAATTTGTGCAACTAAATAAAAACAGAATATTTTTTTTAAAGTAATCGAGGATGACTCGGTTGGTATGTCGTTAAAACTGCCAAGTCGACTTGCAGCAGGTTGAAGGTTCGATTCCCACCTGGAGCCTTGGGTGTTGTTATTGCATTGTTGTCCGACTTTAACGACTGACTTCATGCAATGAGCGGATTTTCTCAGAACGAAGAGAGCAAGCGAAAAAAAAGAGTTTCCCGACATCAAATAAAGAGTACAACATTGGCAGCAGGATGTAAATATGATTCTTGTAGATTTCGAATTCTTTACCACACATTTCGAAAATAAACTTTTCTTAATTATTTAATTTTTAATAGAAAAAAAAGTCTTGTGTATTTTTGTTACGTTTTCGTTAATTCCAACTTAGCCTACTTCTTAATTTGTGGTAAAAGAAATAAAATTACCTATTTCCATCGTCTCGCGCTCGCACTATGGAGCGCCAATCGATTTCATTCAACAGGAAAAACAAAACAAGTAGGCGATGTAGACCCGTTACCCCACAATTTCGCGCCAGTCTGGAAAGTTAATAGTTAATAGTTAAACGCGCAAAGGACGCCTGGAAATCGACGAGCTGAAAGTAGAATATATCTTGTAAAATATACAGAGACTGGGTCTCGCGCCTCTACCGGGTATACAGTTGAACTAACAATATACAAGAAAATTCAGTTTACTATGATCGTAGCGTCCTTCTGAAAATTTTAATTTAGACTACTTAGATCGTGTATATACCATTTCTATAGCGTTGCATCCGGGCCATATATATATATATATATATATATATATATATATATATATATATATATATATATATATATATATATATATATATATATATATATATATATATATATATATATATATGATGACACTATATTCCGGGATATCATCCGTTCGCTCGTTGAACTCCGACTGGAATCCTGCATCCGACTGGAATCCTGCAAATCCTGCATCCGACTGGAATCCTGCAGACGTTTCGCCAAAATCTCACTTGGCATCTTCAATGCTCGCGCTCCGAAAACACTTCGAACACTGGTGTTCGTCTGCAGGATTCCAGTCGGATGCAGGATTTGCAGGATTCCAGTCGGATGCAGGATTCCAGTCGGAGTTCAACGAGCGAACGGATGATATCCCGGAATATAGTGTCATCACATTTTTCCATCCGTAAATCAATACGTGAGAATATATATATATATATATATATATATATATATATATATATATATATATATATATATATATATATATATATATATATATATATATATATATATATATATATATATATATATATATATATATATATATATATATATATATATATATATATATATATATATATATATATATATATATATATATATATATATATATATATATATATATATATATATATATATATATATATATATATATATATATATATATATATATATATATATATGATCTTTGGCACTAGCCCAATGTTTTATATTTAGTCTTTCCTCGTCCTCATTCAGAAAGAGGGAAAGAAGTTGGTCCATATATATATATATATATATATATATATATATATATATATATATATATATATATATATATATATATATATATATATATATATATATATATATATATATATATATATATATATATATATATATATATATATATATATATATATATATATATATATATATATATATATATATATATATATATATATATATATATATATATATATATATGATCTTTGGCACTAGCCCAATGTTTTATATTTAGTCTTTCCTCGTCCTCATTCAGAAAGAGGGAAAGAAGTTGGTCCATTGCACTGAGAACAGAACCAACTCGATCTTGAAAGGAGCACAATTTGCTGTCTCTTCGTGCTACCACTTCACGAATGGTTGATGCCACTTCTAGATTTAATTTTGGTGCCACCAACCAAGGTGCATTGTCTGGGGGTGGATTTACCTTATTAATTTCCACCGTTCATCCTCAGACAGTCCTCTTTGTAGTAGATTGAACCAAGTTAAAACCACTTTTTTTGTAGTCTTCTTGGTCGGTGTTACATCGTATCCCAACAAGGATAAGACCGCCATTTTTTTTTTTTGGAATGTTTAAATCATCTCAAAATTAACTGAAAAACTTGAAAACCAACGCGAACAATTGGCTGGCTGGTGTGATTTAATGTTAAAATTGTGGCAATTGGCATAGGGATGGGGTAACTACAGCTATTGTTATTTACAAAACGCACTCTATATTAGGTATTTTACAAAAGGGAGTAGAATAAATTTATTAATAAATATTATTTTATTTTTAAAAAACCAGAAACGCAAGAAATAAAAATTTAAAAAACGAAAACCAACATTCTTCACAAGGCTGAGTGATATACGGCGAATAAATAAATATGTATTTAAATATGTAAAAAATACCAAAAAAACTTAACGACAAAAGTTGCTTGGATGTACTTATCCTTATAAAATATGATGATATTCTATATATTAAGGCATTTTGAATTGCCTGAAACTTCGTAGACATGTTTTGTATATAATAACTGAACTGAAAGCCTGTGTCATATATATGATTTCCTTATAATTTTACTTATTTACTTTATTTACTTATGCTTATAAAATATTATGATGATATTGAAAGTAGAATGCTCTATATATTAAGGCATTTTTGAATTCCTTGAAACTTTGTAGACATGTTTTGTATATAATAACTGAACTGAAATCCTTTATCATATATTTGATGTTGATTTCCTTATAAAAGAAAATCTATCCTAGCGATATGTCTTGATATTTTAAAAATAAATAAAGAAACTAACTAACAAAAAACTGGCATTAAAAATTCAATTAAACAAACGTTAAAAGTCTTTTTTTTCAAATGGAAAAATGTGAATTAGTACTTAAAGAGGGTGACTTAGTTATAGATTTAGGAATATTAGCAATAAAACGTTTTTCCATTGTAACAATGCTAAACGGCTATTAATAATTGGTTAAGGAGATAGCGGCGAAACAATGCACCTACTATTTAATGTCGCTTGAGAATTTTTTATAAATTTTATAAATTATTCCTGTTAAATTTAAATAAGTTATTAGCACAAAAGTTTTTCAATTTGTTTAATATCTAAAAATTAAACAAATTTTGTAAAAAAACTTTTATACATTTGCTCAAAAAACTCCAGATGGACAAGAATCTTCAAGAAACACTGTTTTAAAAGAATAGTAGAAAAAAATCAAAATTTTATAAAAAATTATTGTACATATTATAAAAAGTACTATTATAAAAAAAAATATTTTTATATATCATAAGTCACTTTTGATATAAAATTCAAAATATTTCAGAAACGTAAGACAAGCACGGGAGTTCATACATAAAAGATGTCCACAATTTTCCGAAACATTAAAAAAATATTTAAATTCCGGGTTATCTGTTTATAATAAAAAATTTGTTATTGTCCACGAAAATTAAAGCACCTATTTTATATAATAATATAATATTTTAAAAATATAAATGAATCTAAACAACAAGTTTTGTTGATAATTTTAACAGATTCTGATAATAATAGAAAGCGTGCCACTCTGTGCATATTTATAAGTCTTAGTATCTTTGTATTGAGATGTGATAATTTTCTAAATAAATTATAATTAAAAAATGTCTATAGTGGGCAGAACTCTTAACCACTATGTTTTGGCGCATTTACTTTTTCGATATTAATAAAAAAAAATTAAAGGTTTTTCTTTTTTTAGTTATGAAACAAAAATACGACATACAAGTACACGACGAATATGTTTTGGCTGGAAACACTGCCGTTCTAAAATGCAAAATTCCAAACTACGTAGCCGACTACGTCCTGGTCACTTCTTGGATACAGGACGACAATATCAACATATATCCAAACACCGATATCGGAGGCAAATACGTCGTTTTAGCAAACGGAGATCTTTATATTAGTAATGCTGGTCCTGGAGACGGTTATAGGAATTATGCGTGCCGAACAGTCCACCGGTTGACAGGTATACAATTTCTTTCATCAATAAGTAGTAGTACAGTTAAATTTTCATTTGCAAATTGGCTGACCCTTGCAGGTTGTCATGCCGCTTAAAATAAAATTTCCAATAATAAAATTAATCATTAAGGAGTTTTTTCTACATAAGAGTATTTAAAAGCTATTTTTAAATTAAACAAAATTTTTTACACGATAATGAGTTAAAAAACTTAATGATATGTACGATTCTCAGTTGTTGACCTCTAAAACAAAATTATATTTTTGTTAAATTATAATGGAAATGATTTAGTTGTCGTTACATGGCTCAAAGGTCACTATTTTATAATCTGTAAAGAAATATTTAAAAAAAAGATGTTTTAAAATATAAGTGCTAAATAAGTGCTCACCATTACGGAGTTTATACGTTTATCTAATTTAAATTTAATTCACTTAAAATTCGATTTTCAAACAGTTTTTTATGTAATGTAATAGTTTTTCTTTATCGTGTTGGCTTTCCAAGGACTCTTCCCAATAAAACTTTAACGATGTTATTACCTATTATTATTGGGCAAAACGAATAACAAAAAAATATTCTTACTTGATTAACAAGGCAGGGGTGGACCAGGTATATTTTTCTTTCTGATATATTTCTTAGGTGTTGACCATTTGTGGCAGTGTTGAATACTCGCTTTTACGTGGAAATCATTTGTCGCTTGATGTAAAATAGGTTGTGAAAAATGTGTATGGAACTTTAATCAGTAGAGGACTTATTCAATAAGAAGTTTTAAAAAAGTTACAAAAACGCGAATATCGTGGATAAGGGATGGTTTTATAGTGGATAATTGAAGAAAAGGAATAACTGTAGTGATTTTCTAACTCACCGTATAGACAATAGTGATGAGGAACTAATAAGAAGGAAAATATATTGTCTTGATCAACGCCAAGTGGTTCCTACCTTGGATAAATAAACTGAAAAAGAAGCTAGACGAAGATGAAAGCAATATAAATATAAGCCGGGTCACCTTCCATCGATTTGATTGTAAAATGGGATTTAAATATTGCTAAATAGACAAAAGGCAAGTAGTAATGGAATCACACAGATTACGCACTTGAAGATTTAATTACCTTCAAGAAATTAAAAAATATAGATTAGACAACATATCCTTAATTTACCTTGATGAAACATGGTTCGATACACACGACACTGTATTGCTATTATCTGCAAAGAATATGAAAGATTCTTCTTGGATTATCACGAGGATACAAGTGCCGAACTTTCAAAGCAATCCTTTAAAAGTATTCCCAATAACAGTGTTATTGTCATGGATAACGCAAGCTACAACAGCCGCCTGCTACGCAAAGCACCAGCCTCATCAAGTTCAAAAACTGAATTCCACACATATTTGTTAGAAAATGATATTTATTTTGAATTGTTATAAAAAAACGCAACTCCTAAATTCAGATGCAACTAAAAAACAGTATGTATGCCATAATTTGACTGAACAGACAGGGCATAATGTTTTACGTCTTCCTCCATATCATTGCAGGTTTAACCTCCGAGAGCATTTGTGGAACCAAGTAAAATCAAAGGTCAGAGTAGAAAATGTTACTCCTACTTTAAGTCCCAGTGTTATAAATTTGATAAAAAATATAATTAATAACATGCGTTGCTTAAAAAATCAGTACAGCACATTATAAAAACTGACAACTCTTAAAAAACAACATAAATCCAATTACATTGTAATTGTGTATAGATGTTCCTAGTTATGAATTTGTTGTATATATTTAATGTCATTGTTTTTCCTTAGTGTAATTTGAGAAGATTTATGCCCACCTAAATAAACAAAAAAAAAATATTACCAAAAAATCTTGGAGAGTCCGTCCTCCTTTAATATATACTGGACCCGAGTTCTATTGCGGACAGGTAACTTCCATAATTGCAGGCAAAAGCCAGCAAGATTGAGACAGACTATACTAAAATCCAGCTCAAAAAATTGATTAAGGTTCTTTAGAATTCTCTCATACTAATCTTTCGATAATCGTTTTTGTCTCGGATCTCTTTATTTTGCTCTTTTACAACTTTTACGTTAAGTTCCTCACTATGATTATGTCTCAACACTTTAAGGAAGAATATGTGATTACTTCCTTTTTTATATAAGAGCAATTTTTTTTTGTATTAACCAAATAAATACCTACTTCATTGAGAAGAGTAATGCGAATTAGACAGATCGGACCGTACCATTTTGAATTTTACATGGAAGCGAGAAACCTGATCCAAGTCTATGTAGCGAAGCAATCTTAAGACAAGACGATACTCCAGCTTTCCAACAAAACATCAAAGAGTTTTCAAAGAAATATTATGTAATTCCCATTATTACTGTATTTGCTGCATCCTTTTAACCGTAGACTTTTGTTTGGACATTAATAAAAGTTGAGAAATTACCTGTTGTGTTATCTTCAAGTTAACTGAGCGCCGTTTGAAGATATAAAAATACCTTCAGAAAAACTTTCTAATTTCCTGCTGGATCTGAATTAAATAGACAAAGGTTTTCAATGTTTGAATTTGTATTTCCGTGAGTTCTATCCGGCTCGATTTTCGAAAACCGACGAGATCGAAAAATTGCTAAGCGCATACTGTTTTTTTCCTTATAAAAGGAAATCTATTATTTAAACGAAATAACTACCATTAACGAAACGACACTTTATTTCTGCCCCCCCCCCCCCCCCGAAGCGCGTAATTTTGTTCTTTTAGGCGAAGTTCAAACGTCAGCGTATCCAGGTCGTATTATCGTAACTGAACCTAAAGGCAACGTTCAACCACGCATAACAGTCGAAAAGCACAGTGCCAGAAAAGTAATCACAGGAGATGATGTAACTTTGCCATGTGTTGCTCAAGGATATCCAGTACCGGGTTATTACTGGAAGCGTGAAATTCAAGGACAAATGGTGCCTGTCGCTTTGGGTGAACGTGCGATTATGCTCAGTGCTGGCTTATTACGAATATCTAAAGTAAGTAACACTTTCTTCGCAATTATTCCAATTACTTTATGTCCCAAAAAGAACAGAAAAATCATAAAAGAAGAAAACTAAAAGTTGTCGAAACCATTTAGAAAAAAACTGACTACGCCACTAAATTATAGGAAAAACTCTATATTGCATACGCTTTCCACCTTTCCCACTTCAAATTTCCAGAATCACCCTATATTTTAAAAACGAAGCACGATATGAAAATTTTGTTAACGTCATCTTGCGTTTCCCAAAAAGGTACCAAAGGTTTTGCGAAAACGCCAGGCTCTATCTTCACTAACAACTCACATACCCCTCAGTCGCTAACAAAGTGGGCAACAGTATACATAATAACAAGAGTTCGCTTTAATCTTAACTCACCGATACAAAACTTGAGAATTGTGTGGCATTTTTACAGAATGACCGCCTTTTACACAAGAAATCTCAGGCCTTTTGGCAATTCTATTTAGACTAGTTTTTTAGGTAGATTTTTCGGCCATCTATTATTATTATTATCTGAATTATCAAAGTGCATAGCATCTCTTGCCGCATTTACCTGCGATTTTTGCATTCCACGCCATTATAAAATAGCAATGGAAATTACAGTCCATGTAAACAGTTCGAAAAAGATTAAAAAAAAAATAAAAAAATAAGTAATCTGATCAAAAACACAGCTTTCTTAATTAAAATAATTTCTTCTATAGTAAACTTCTTAACATGTGCACATCTAAACGTACCTTCTGCAAGAGTTAGAAACGCTATTTTTTCTACGAGCTTGCTGAAACCGCTAGACGAAAACAACTATAAAATTAACGTTTATTAACTTTTATTAGAAGAATCGAGAACTATGCTACTTTTTGTTATTCATATTAATCGTAAATATTTTGAAGCAGCCCTAGCGGTGGATGTTTAATTCTTGGTATTGCTCGAAGCAAATTTTATATCGGGATTTGCGAACACATTTTTCGCTTGAGAAAGTAGACGGATACTTTCAAAAACTTGTTAGCTTCAAATTAGGGTACACTGTTTGCTACAATATTCATATTGCAAAGGTGCAACACCTTCATAATTTTTTTGACTGATTTGAGGTAAAGGTTTTGCCATCCAAAAAATTTTGCAGGGACCGGAACAAATAGTAGTCGGAAGGCGCCAGATCTGGAGAATATGGTGGATGTTGCAGTACGTCCCATTCAAGCTGTAAAAGTTTTTGGCGAGTGACCAAACTTGTGTGAGGTCTCGCATTATCCTGGTGGAACACTACACCCTTCCTGTTGATTAATTCGGGCCTCTTCTCTTTAAGTGAATCATTCAATTTGTCCAGTTGATGACAATAGACTTCATTAATCGTTGTATTGTCCGGCAAAAGCTCAAAAAAAAAACGATTCCTTTGACATCCCACCAAACGGAGAGCATCACCTTTTTTTGGTGAATGTTGGCTTTTGACACGCTTTGAGCCGGTTCATCTTTTCTGCTCCATGACCTCTTGCGTTTAACATTGTTGTATACAACCCATTTTTCGTCCCCAGTAATAATCCGCTTTCTTGACGTTTGAGGAGCGAATCACACACGTCAACGCGACGACACAAATTTCGCTCCGTAAGGACATGGGGCACCCACACATCGAGCTTCGAGGTTAAGCCCATGCCTTTCAAATGGCCATAAACAGTCGAATTCGACAAATTTCATCTCTCACCGATCTCTCGTGTGGTTATTCGCCGATTTGCATCAACTAATGCTTTATCGCATCTTTGTCAGCTTCGACCGGCCTTCCAGACCGTGGTGCATCTTCGACATCAAAATTGCCGGATCGAAATTTTGCAAACCAGTTCTGGCACTGGCGTACTGTTAACACGCCTTCTCCATACACATCCGTCATTTTTTTTCTCGCTCGGACAGCATTTTTACCTTTTCTGAAGTAAAAAAGTAAAATATGACGAAAATGCTGCTTATTGCTCTCCATATTTAAAAGGGCACCAACCAAAAACTACTGCGTAGAATTAATAGAACTTTTTCACACACACAAGCCTTGCAATATCAGCTTTCGAGGCATATAATGGTAATGCGGCTTAAGTGTGAAGTTGGTTTCGAAAAAACGTAATTAAGTCCTCTGAAGGGAAAAAACGAAATGACTTTCCGAACAACCTTTTATATATATATATATATATATATATATATATATATATATATATATATATATATATATATATATATATATATATATATATATATATATATATATATATATATATATATATATATATATACATATATATATATATATATATATATATATATATATATATATATATATATATATATATATATATATATATATATATATATATATATATATATATATATATATATACTCCAATCCTCCATTATAGAGAAAAATCACTCTCGGGCCAGGCTTAGTGTTCCTTCATCCTCTGTTTATATTCGGTTACGTTACTTAAGCAGCCAAATTAAATCTCAAACAGGTTCTTATCTCGAATACCGAATGTATGAAATTTAAATTTATTACAGGTGCGTTTGGAGGATCGGGGGGTATACGTTTGTTTCGCAAATAATTCAGCGGGGGAGGAAAGTGTGAGAATAACCTTGGAGATAACATCTCCGTTATCTGCCCATGTTCAACCTCAAGTGCAAGTAGTGGACGTAGGAAAAGATGCTAAATTTCAATGCATAGTTAATGGCTACCCCTTGTCGCAAGTCGACTGGGTACATAATGGTAAGTCATCCTTAATTTCTATGTATTCTTAAGTTTCAATTTCCGTCAACTGCAAAATACAAATTATTTCTACCAGCGCAATTTGGTTTAGGTAAACCTGTAGCTCCGGATAGCCGTGTAGAAGTTTCATCGGATCCACCCAGGTTGACAATTAGACAGCTGAACAAAGAAGACAAAGGAATGTATCAGTGTTTAGTCAACAATAACTGGGATCAAGCGCAGGCGACTGCAGAATTAGATATGGGCGACGCTGGGCCAGAGCTAATTTATTGGTTCGTTTTTCGTTATTCGTTTCGTCTGATAGATTTCATCAATAATATTTTTTAGGTTTTCAGAACAAACACTCCAACCTGGTCCGACCGTTTCGCTTAAGTGCGTCGCCTCGGGAAACCCTCCACCCCAGTTTACTTGGACATTAGACGGTTTTCCCATTCCAGATCACCCTAGATTTTTAGTGGGTAAATATATTCGAAATCGGAAGTGCTGAGCTATTAACAGTTTCATTCCTGATAAGGTCAATACGTGACTATACAAGACGACGTCATTTCACACGTTAATATAACTAACATTAAAGCCGAAGATGGCGGAGAGTATGCCTGCAATGCGCATAACAGCGTAGGTAAAGTAATGCACAGTGCGCGCGTCAATGTCTATGGTTTACCTTTTATCAGAGAAATGCCCAAAGTAATCGGCATCGCAGGTATCTCTCTGGTAATTAAATGTCCCGTTGCCGGATATCCCATCGAATCTATTAGTTGGGAAAGGGACGGGCAGGTTTTACCCCTAATTAGGTAAGTTGATGTTTTCTTGTCTTATTGGTACTAATTCAAATTCTATATGTGCATATATATATATATATATATATATATATATATATATATATATATATATATATATATATATATATATATATATATATATATATATATATATATATATATATATATATATATATATATATATATATATATATATATATATATATATATATATATATATATATATATATATATATATATATATACTGGTCATAGTACGGTAAAAATTCATTGGCTTCGGGCGGCTATGATATTTGATGTGATTTGAGATAGTTTAGATAATTAAGGTATGTGTCGTTCCTTCAAAAAAATTTGTAGAAAGTTATTTTTAGAAATGTAAGAATTAATGATAATAAATGTTAAAACATCAAATTTTCTTAGTCTATCAACACCGATTGCTGCTTTAAGACCTGGAGTTACTAGCTCCAAAAATTAAACGAAAAAAGAGCATAAATGGACGTTGTCGATTCAAACACTTACCGCTGAATAGCACGTATCGAAATTACCTTTCTGAAATTGTTCTAAGAACGATCGCGCTTTTATTATCTTGCGTTTGCGCAAAACAATTCAGTTACGGTTATGGGATCGGTTGAAACAAACTATAGCGTCACCCTGTATATTTCATAAACCGATTGTATACAGGATGAACAAACTAAAATCGGCAGTGTTACTAATTTGTTTATAATTAAAGCGTTTAAATTAGTACAGTTTTAATAATCTTAATGCTGATTGGTTTTAGTCATATAGCTACTAGATATACAGGGTGTCCAGTATAAGATGATGTACATAGGGATATTGAAAACTGTAAGAGATACCGCGTCTCTTAAATGGAAGAAAAGTATCGTACATATGTATATGCCAAAAAGTGATTTAGCTTTGTTTTATTTTAAATCGATACTCTTACGTAGATACAAAGTGAAAAAGAAAATTGTCCATTTTTGAAAAACCTCAGTATTGTCCATATTATAGGAGCTGAAATGTTCAGATTTTCAGGATATGGGGAAAAGGATATGACGATGCTGAAAATCGCGTAAAAAAATTAAGCGTACTATGTTGCGTTCAGCCAAAGTCAACTTTCTTTTTCTTATGGGCGCCGTATTGAATACTTTTCAACCATGTATAATACATTTATGTTTGGTCATAATAAGTCTGGAAAAATAACAAAAATAAGATTTCGGGATTTTAAAACACATTTAAATAATGAGTGGACACGACAGGAGTCATTAAAATTGAATTGAACTGGGAGAAAAGTAGCGTATGTATATGCCAAAAAATAGTTTAGCTTTATTTTATTTTAAATCGATATCCTTACCTAGATACAGGGTGTAAAAGGAAAATGTCCATTTTGGAAAAATCACACTATTTTCCTTATTACAGAAGCTGAAATGTTCAAATTTTGAGGATATGGGTTAAAGAATATGGCAATGCTAAAAATGGCGTAAAAAAATGAGGCCTAGTATGTTGTGTACGGTCGAAGTCAATTTTTGTTTTTCTTATGGGCGCCATATTGAATTTCTACATTTTCAAAATCCTCTTCAAAAATGTTTTACAATAATGTATAACACACTTATATTTGGTCAAGATAACTACGGACAATAACAAAAATTAAATTTCGGATTTGATATCGCCGCATTTATTTTCCAAGAAGTTGGCTATGCCAGCGTATATCAGGTGATTCGTAATTATTGACAACAGTGAGTGTCAGGTGTGTGAAGTTAATAAATTGTGAGTTTTCAAATGAATTACTTTTAAAATAGTATGATATTTTGGAGAGTTTTATTCTCTGCCGTAGAAACGAAGCAAAAGCCGAAGAACGGTATTTAGATAAATATCCGGAAGACGGGATAGTATTTTAAAGCGTCATAGAGATCATCATTATCGTGAACGGCCTCGCCATGGACTTCAAGATGGCGATGCTGTTAGAAGAATAGCATTATGCCAGTGGTTTACTCAGAAAAATACCCATTTTCTAATTGTGGGCTCTTTAATAGTAAGAAAACTGTATTTTGGGCTGATCTAAATCCACGGCTAGCTAATATGGTTTGGTATTTTGGGTACCCACTAAAGTGGACCATATTTTTTCGATGATAACTTAAATTCTAAGAGATATTTAAACCTAGTACAGAAGATCTTATGAACCTTCCACTAGCGGTTCTGCAACAAATGTTTTTCCAACAACACGGCGCACCGCATTACAATGCGCAGATTATTACGAAGTTTTTAAATGCAGAATTTTGCAACGTTATTGTTATTTTTTCAGACTTGTTATGACCAAACATAAATGTATTTATTATACATGGTTGAAAAGTATTTTTAAATAGGATTTTAAAAATGTAGAAATTCAATACGGCGCACATAAGACAAAGAAAGTTGACTTAGGCTGAACGCAACATAGTACGTTTAATTTTTTTACGCAATTTTCAGCATCGTCGTATCCTTTTCCCCATATCCTGAAAATCTGAACATTTCAGCTCCTATAATATGGAAAATATTGAGGTTTTTCAAAAATGGGCAATTTCCTTTTTCACTTTATATCTACGTAAGAGTATCGATTTAAAATAAAATGAAGCTAAATCACTTTTTGGAATATACATATGTACGCTACTTTTCTTCCATTTAAGAGACGCTGTATCTCTTACAGTTTTCAATATCCCTATATACATCATCTTACACTGGACACCCTGTATATCTAGTAGCTATATGACTAAAACCTATCAGCAGTAAGATTATTAAAACTGCACTAATTTAACCGCTTTTATTATAAACAAATTAGTAACAGTGCCGATTTTAGTTTGTTCATTCTGTATACAATCGGTTTATGAAATATACGGGGTGGCGCTACAGTTTGTTTCAACCGATCCCATAACCGTAACTTAACTGTTTTGCGCAAACGCAAGTTAATAAAAGCGCGATCGTTCTTAGAACAATTTCAGAAAGGTAGTTTCGATACTTGCTATTCAGCAGTAAGTTTGAATCGACAACGTCCATTTATGCTCTTTTTCCGTTAAATTTTTGGAACTAGTAACTCCAGGTGTTAAAGCAGCAATCGGTGTTGATAGACTGAGAAAATTTGATGTTTTAACATTTATTATCATTAATTATTACATTTCTAAAAATAACTTTCTACAAATTTTTTTGAAAGAACGACACATACCTTAATTATCTAAACTATCTCAGAATTACTGCATAATATATTGCTCACCATTTCCATGTTTTAGTTAATTAAAATGAAGTTAAAATTTCAAATGAACAAAGCAGTGAAACAATACCCGAAAGCGTTTCAATCGATCATCGAAAATAGAATCGTTTGAGAACGGTGCAAAAAAGTAGCCCTACAGATTCAAAAACTATAATGAAAACATGTTTTAATAGATAAATTATTAATAATTATAAATATTTTCAAATCACAAGTTGTTTCGTAAAGTTATATAGATATATTTTATATATTTTTTTAAAAAGACGCACCTTAGATATTTGAACCATGTTTCCCTTGGATCTCCTGCATCTTTCAATCTCCGGCCTTTATATTATTACAAAAGGACCTTCATGTAGTCAAATGTATTATGAAGAGCTTAGTAATTATTTCATAAAAGCGGTTTTATAAACTCTTGACGAAACTATTTTTCTTTATTATAGATTAACTACTTTTTCGTGTTCAGCTATCACCGTACATGTTGTTTGTTATCGATTAAATATTTAAATTCAGCAAAGAATCCTGGGACGAATTGTTTGGAGTCGCCGCATTCACGTGGAATTAATACGCTAAAAGTATAGTAAATAACGACGTTTTACTTCACTCGGGAATTGACGTTTGCTCCAATTAAATGTTTTTTTTTTCACTTTTTCACCCAATTAGCTTTTTAAAAAACATAGTTCTCGATAGCATCAGGTGCAAGATACAACAAACTGTTTGTACTAACAGTTACAGGAAATAGTTTCTTAAATAAATACTTAAACTTAATTATAAGTAAAATCTTTTAAAAAAATAACTTAACTATATGACGCAGAAATTTTAATTCTATTTTGGTTTTCGGTTTCAACAATCGTCAAACACAACTGCATTTTTTTATAAAGTTTCCAAGACAATGCTCAAGGTCAAAGTAAAATAGTCTTTTGTTTAACAAATCGCCAAGATACAAGCATACTTTTTACAAAGCCTTATGGATTCCTCCTGCGTCGGTTTTTGCTGAGTCGAACTTGCTGAATTTTCGCCAATCATCCTGTTGGCTTCTTCAGAGCTTGACTGAAACTGGCTCTGTACCTGCTTATATATTGTTTGAGGGGGGCGCTAATGAGGGACATAAACACCGTCTCGGATGACTGATTCCCAAATTGGTGACAGGTAGGACCTGAGTCGCGGTTAAGATTATTAGGTTGTTTATAGATTTCTATAGACTCTGGGATTTTTCGTTGGTAGAAGAACTGATTACATGCAAGAATTTTAGTTTTATTTTGAGTTTATTTGTCTTAATCGTAAGGCTCTTTCGTGTTCTTTGAGCCTAGCGGTGTTTATGTCCGTCATTAGCGCCTCCCTCAGCAATACATAAACAGGTACAGAGTAAAGATTCTCGGATTTTTCTTTGGTAGAAGAATTGATTACGTGAAAGAATTTTAATTTTATCGAATAAAATTTGATGTCCGGTTTCGTAATGGTGTGCGGCAACTGATGAGTTTATTTGTCGTAGTCTTAGGGCTTTTTCATGTTCTTTGAGCCCAGTTGATATTTTTCGTCCGGTCTTTCAAATGTATTCTTTATCACATTTGCCAGGAATGCCGTAAACTTTTGGTAGCTCAAACGGAATTTTTGGCTTTGACGGATCGAAGATGCTGAGAGATATTTCGACAAGTGGTAAATCTGGTTTTGGTCAATTACATTTCTAACGAGCTTTTGATATGTGGTCACTGATGTTTTGAATGTAAGAAAGGGCAAGAGTGACAAGTGTGGGGTTGCTTTCTGACTCATTGTCTTTGGAAGGTTGCGATGAAGTGTATTTTGTGTTTGATCGCTTAATGTCTCTAATGCCGAAATTATTAAAGAGAAGAGCAGATGTAACGTGTTTTAATTGTGGGCTCAGTGACTCGGATTGAGATAGTTTTACGGCTCTGCAAACAAGAGAGAGATAACCTATGATATTTGGGTCAGATGGTGATTATTTTTATAATATTTAAAACTCTTTTCAAAAATGAAAATGAAATGGTCTTTTCTGAAATATGATAATTTGATTTATCTCAAATGGGTACCAAGTATGAAGTCTAAAATGTACCAATCAAAATGATTTTGTAAATGTTTTCTTACTTGCGAGATGAACATGTAAAAACTACCCCGAAAAATTTCAATTTTGTAACTTTAAACATCCTCTAAAAAATTTAAAATTAGATAATTGTGCAGAACGCACTAGATTTACTAAAATATATGAAAATGAATTTTTATTTCAGAAGGCAAAGAGTATATTCTAACGGTACCTTGGTGGTCGAGCAAACTCAGAGGAAGGAAGACGCGGGAACATACACCTGCCAGGCTCAGAACCGACAGAGGAATTCGGCAAGAAGAGATGTCGAAGTTCAAGTTATAGGTGAGCACTTATTAGAAACACAAAACAATTGTTAATATCCGCACAAAAAGAAATTATTCAGAAATATAAATATAATGTCTTGATTGCATATAGCTATAAGATAATATAGTGGCTCTATTACGGTAAAAAGTGATGCGCCGCAGGGGCCTATGATATTTTTGTAGAGAAGGTGTGGATCTTTTGCACATGCGTCACCCCAAACTAAGTGAGTTGTTACATTGCCGTAATTTTTCTGAAAAAATTGGCAAATTTTCATAAGAAAGCAAAATCAGTTTTGGCAACGCCGAGCTCGGAATTTCTTTGATAGAGAATACTAACAGTCTGAGGCATTGTTTATCTTTTTCGTGTTTTTGTGAAAAACTTGTTTGTGGTCAAAATTCTAAGGAAAAGAATGTGCTTATATACGGGTAAGTGTTGCATTATGTATAACTTAATTTAAAAGATTTAAAAGTGGTTTCTATAGGACTCCCACTAACAAACTTGTATAATTTGTGCTTTCAATACTTGCTTCCTCACGAAATTACAAGTGTGGCCAATATGGACCTAATAGGACCTTAGACAAACCCGAGTGATTTCACAAACTGCAAAGTACACTTAAATAGCTACATAGGAAAGATGTTTGGGTAATATGTACAAGAATTACAGAAAATATAAGAAAACAATTAAGCTGCAGGTTTTACTAGAACAATTACAAGAAGTATCACGCTTAGTGAAAACCAAATTGCCTTTCGGTTGGTCAAAAATTACTGAAATTATTACCTCACCTATCTATATTTACTGATTTTGTAAATCTACTTGTTGGATTCGGGACAACTTGAGTAGGAAAAATATTATATGCACAATTTTGGAAGAAGAGATATTGATTAGTCTCCAACTATTTTCTCAACCCTTGCTTGACTGGAGAGTAGCTATGTTCTTGACTCGTAAGTATCACCTACATTTCTTGTGTGAATAACTAATTAGTACAAGTTTTTGGACAAGTTATGGGACTGATCCATGTTTGCTATCCCATTTTTTTTTGTAGACTTGCAGATATGTGTTTCCTAGTTTTGATATAATGATCACTTATTCAGGTGCCAAAGATGAAATTGTAAGCAAATAATGGATAACAAACATTCCTTTTCAAAAATGCAGCTGGCAGGGAGGCTGATAGCTTTAGAAGAGCATCCATATGCAGGGGTCACGTCACTCCTTTAAGCTATATAAGAGGTTGTAAACTCTTGATAACATAGGCAGTGCAGTGTCTTTTAGGTAGATAAATCAGGTTACTTGTTTTCTGGTCATTCTATTTGCCGATGGTACTTAATAGCCCATATACTGATAAAATGATAAAATTTATCAAATAATTCCACAGTCCTCAAAAATATTATTTTGTTGGTAATGTGTAAACTTTTTTTCGGTCTAAAATATTGTTATTTTTCCTGCATGATTGGTGACTGAAAATTTTCCATCTTACACATAAGAGAAATTTTTGTTGGTAGGGAGGCGTTTTTGGGTTTTATTTCCAACAAGTCAAAATAATAATTTCTTCCCTAGGTAGAACCAGAGCAGACACCAGCAGATCTTTAATCTTCAGTGGTAGTCAAAACAACATTACAAATTATAGAGAAGCCTGACACAGAATAACCAGGGGTCTTCAGTTTTTAAAAAGAACTTAAGGGACAGTAACATATTGTCAGCAAGTGCTTCTGATTTAAATTTTATTCGAATTAACAGTTAATGAAATTTTTGCTGTAGTTATTCTATTTTTTTTTTATTGCTTTCATTTTTTTTTGCAATTTTTGAAGGTGGTGATCCTCAAGTCAAGTAATATAAAAGTTCCTTGAAAGGAGTAACACTGAAGCATCTAATGTAGGAGGCCATTGTGGAAATAAAATAAAAATTATGCTATTAAAAAATGCAACATACATTTTTATTTAATTTCTTATTGTATTTATAAGCAGCAATGTATTTTATTCTTATTAAATAATTCATGCATTTATTTATACTAACCAAAACCAGTTAATAAATTACTGTATAGAATACTATTATAATTAAAGGTAAGTTGTAGTTGTGACATAAACCACAATCTTGTCTACAAAACCAGTCTGGAGTGTGCATCTGGAAAACGGGGAATTTTTTGCGTTTTTTTTTTTAATTTTGAGACAATAAATTACACTTTTTAGGGTTTGCTAATGTTAATTCTGTCACATTTAGGGCTAATTGTTTATTGACTTGTTTTATACTAGTTTTTAATTTTCTTGGTTACATTTTCTAATACCTACAGTTATCCATTGGTACTTTTCATAATTATGTATTTGGGAGACGAAACTTTCTGTAATTACTAGACTTGGCGATGAAAGAATGAGCGTTCGGTCTATACGAGGCGCTTGTTGAATATTTTTTCCACTTAGATATTTCCAGTGCGATATCTAGTGCCTCAAAGTTATATTTACACTTTTATAGTCATATTTCGTGAATTTGAGTTTATTTACATTTTCAATAGAGTTCAATCAATAAGGTCATAAAAACAAACTGTTTGCACCGATTTACGAGCACAAATTCGGAAAAAATTAGCTGGTATCGTGTCTATAGCGCTTAAAGAACCAAAACGCTAAAATACCTACAGAATTATACTAAGGGTGCCGGTCCGTGTGCTGTAATTCAGCGTAATATTACCTCTGCACTTGTCGCTAATGTTTTTAACAACGTTTTCTACACCTTAATTCATTTTTTGCCAGAAAATTTAATAGGATTTCGACATATTTTGAGAAAATACACAAAGCCCTTATAGGCGGAACGTCAGAAAATGCAATTAGACCAGTCATTAGTTAAAAACGAAATTTCAAATCTCGCGCATGCGCATATTGAACAGACCTCAAAATTTTGTTTAGTTGCTTCACCAGTTCCTGTACTATTAGCATAAGCAGGGCCTCTATATGTCTAGTAGCTATATACTTGATTGATTTTCTATTAAGTTATTGAGATCACAATAGCGTTAAATGGGCGTATTGTTTCTTTGAAATATAATTTATTAGTGGCCCTACTCAATTTTGTGCGTATTAGTTGAGAGCCGTTAATACAATATAATAAAATAGCCGTAAGGACGATAAAAAGCATGCACGTTAGGTGGCTATGACATATTCGTTTAGAGGAAATAATCTTCCGTGCATGCCCCTAAATTTCACACACTAACCTATTTCTTTCTAAACGGTGATATCTTCACACTTAACTCATTTTACCCTGAAAGTTTTAACGGGATCTCGGCTTGTTTTGAGAAAATACTGCGAAAAAATTCCACATTCAAAATGAAAACCCAAATCGACGAACTGTCAGGGGCCGTATCTTATTGGTTGAAAGCGAGATTTGAAATGATAAGTCTTATTGGAGATTTGAATTGACTGCGCATAAGCATATTAAATAGTCCTTCTCAACATTTTTTTCCTGGTGGCTTCAAAAGTTCCTTCATTATTATATGCCTCTATATATCTAGTAGCTATGTTGTTGAGAGAAACATTTAATTTCAGTCGACATTAAAAATGCAATGAGGCTTTCTATCTTTTCTTGAACAAACATATTAAAAATTAAAAAAGTATTTTTAATTATTCATTACAGTCACTTCAACTAAAACGACAACACTTTGTAGAATAAATAGTAACTTGCGGCAGACATTATAGGCAATAAATTATCCCGAAAATAAGCACAGAGGAACAAGATAAATGCTCCGAATAATTGTGGCTTGGAGAACATTTCGAACAAACTCGTAGGAAATTGCACGAACAAAACTAAATAGTTTAGTACTGGCACTAATGCGCTCAGTCGAGTAAACCATTCCATGTTAAAAAACATCTTTAATCAACACAAGGCAGTGCTGATTCAGTCGCTGCAGATCCCTTACGATTCTCTTTTTCTTTCTGCATAATAGTTTTCTAGGAGTAACTAACTAGTTGTTTTTATTACCCTATTAAAATATATGTTTTTAAAAAGCGCAACAGGAAAAAACTAATTAATAATAATAAAAAATTATCTTTATTTCAAAGTATTGATACAGTGATAATGCTTTTCTTTAGAATATTTCAATCGTTAATTGCCTTTAGCAGTTTGTTTGATGAAGTATTGTAAAATAAGAACACACTGGGTCTAGCATATGTATAGTTCTTGTATGATATGCTTCCTGAGAATCCCTAAATTCAATATGCAATATGCATTCTATTTTTTTTAAACATACTTATATATATATATATATATATATATATATATATATATATATATATATATATATATATATATATATATATATATATATATATATATATATATATCCTGTAGACGTTTCGCCAAGATCTCACTTGGCATCTTTGCTCTCGCTCCGAAAACACTTCGAACACAAATTTAGTTGTAGATATTTATAATTAACTAAGATTACTACATACAATACAAGCTATTGTGTAAGGGGGAAGGCTTTCACTTCAACAAAAGGGGGCGTGGTATAAAAAAGTTTGCAGTAGAGCAGTCCTAAAATAACACGTGCAATTGAAAATTGAAATGCTGCTACATCACCGTAATTTTATTTATACTAAGGATAGCCAGCAGTAACTCCTGGTGATGTAATATATCTCACTATATTTTGTTGAATTCGGTGTAGGTAAGCGTGAAAAGTAACATGCAGTTTTTATGATGTAGTTGGGTTGAAACGGTTTTGATTAGCTGCCTCGAATAATTAATTTTAATCAAAATAGGATACATATTTTTTTAAGAGTGCTTGACCATAACAAAATAATTAAACCCTGCTTTGTTGGTATCGAGGTATTTTTGACAGCTCAATATCATAAATTTGGCAACTCTTTTTAATAAATTATTATTGTTATTATTATTATTATTATTGAATAATAATAATAATAGATTATATCAATAAATGTTGAGTCAGTAAGAGAGGAAACGTCTAGGATTACTTGATATTTTTCAATACGGTATATGCATAATACACTACAGTTTTGAGACATGTAGGGGGATATGCACAACAATTGAGTGATTTTTTTATTTAAAGCGTCATTCCTATGTTCAAACTTACGAAGCTTGTAGGGGAATCTCTGACAAGTATTCTGAATACGATAAAGGTTGACTGTGTCTTTTTGAAATAAAGGAGACCGATATACTACATTTCATCGGAAAAATGGGTCATTTTTACGACGTTTACAAATATTTATGAGAATAAAGAATCCGGAGTTTATAGACCTACTTTTGGATTAAAGAATCAATACGACCTTCAAAATACATTTAAAGTCTTTAAAGTTTTACACCCAGTAACAGCCTGAATTTGCATGTCATCAGCGCATTGGTAAAAAGAAATCCATTGGAGTTTCTACTTTCTTTACGTCAGCTTTTCATTTGCTTTATTATTATTATCATTATTAATAAAAATATATTTTACATTCGGCCAATAGCACATTATTAATTTCTTTTGCAGTACCTCCCAAAATTTTACCGATCAACCCGATGACGGACCTGCTAAGGGAAGGCATGAGAGCCGCAATTACCTGCCAGATAATGGAAGGGGATTTGCCGATAAATTTTAGCTGGGAGAGAAATGGAAAGGTTTGGATAGTGTTTTTATTTTTATTTTTTGCGAATGTGTGAAAGCTCCTGAAAGCACTGTCAATAATGACAAATGGAAGGACAGGCACAATACATAATTGAAACCGTATTCGGCGGCCCATTAGTAAGCCTTTATTTTTGTTTTGTTTACTTCAAAATTGATTTAGTTCGGTGCCTTTATCGTTTTTTTTTTGCTATTCCTGATTTAAAGTTACAGTGAAATAATGAATGATTAAGGTTTATTTTGTTTTTTCTTTGGAAATGGTCTGTGATTTATTAACCAAGCAGGAAAAACATCTTTTCACTTCCTTAATTTTAATTTATAACACTCTTAACGGTAATAACTGACCAAAATGTTGAAAAAAAAAATTAAAATTGGGACTTATGGAATCTAGAATATCTTTTCAGTTCCTCAATTATGACTTGTCAGCGCCTTTCATCATTTCTTATAATATACTTCTCATTTCACTAAACGTCCCAAACAGCATCCTAACCAGTGTCGGAGAAAATGTACCTTGTCTCGCCTCAAACTGTAATTTTTTCCCTTCCACTATCACACACCCTACTGTATCAAGATGAACTAGTTTTTAGTTAATTTTTTCTCACAAAAGTAAATACATTTATTTGAACGATCCGTTAAAAATAATGATTGGGTGTTTTTCATTTTAACTTAATAGAACCTTTTCGCTTACGTCATAGAGTTGCTTAAGCTTAAGGGGCTGTAGCTCCGAAACCGCGAATTGTAGAGATTTGCATTAAAAAAAATTGTATCCAAAGGGACCAAAATAAAATACTACGAGCTTTTTTACCGCAAATCTTTACAATTCGTGGTTTCGGAATACAACCGCTAATTTAGCTTATTTTCCACCCTGTACTATACCATAAAAACATTTTGCTCTAAATAATGCTACCAAGTAGATACGCAAACCATTACTCTCCTTTTAAACGAAGGAAAAAATCTCTTTATAATATTATCTCTTGATTTGTTTTTATTAAAATCTAGATAATTTGAGAATATATGAAAATTTCTTTTTATAAAACTTCTGAAATTCTCCTGTTTCTGTTTTTGTTTAGTCGAACTAGCTAACGTTTCGCCAATCACCCTAAAACTGTTTCAGTCAAGATCTGAAGAAGCCAACAGCGAAACGTTGGCTAGTTCGACTAAACAAAAACCGCCACAGGAGGAATAAAGAAGTTTTATAAAAAGAGGAATCAAGAAGTTTTATAAAAAGTATTACAGTAACCTGTGGAAGTTTCTTTGAAAAACATAAAAATTTGCTAAAACTCGAAACTGAAATAATTGTGTTTCCTTATTTATTTCAGATTATTCTAAATAATGCTGCCTTGGGAACAGTAATTCGACGTATTGACGAATTTTCTTCATCATTAATAATAGACCAAGTAACCTCTCAACATAGCGGCAATTATACATGCATAGCAAATAATATTGCCGGTAGTGAAAGGTACACTGTGCCACTCACAGTCAATGGTAAGTTTTAACAGGGTAAGAGCAAATATACAGGGTCGTTATTTATTATGTTTTTCTTCCAAGCTAGTGAGTCAAGTACATTGTCTTTTACATTTGAACCCTTATACCACAAGCAAAATAAAAACCAACTTGGCAAAAAACGCCACTGTTATAAAAAGTTTATTCCTTATTGACAACAGTTCCAAATACCAGAACTTTATGAACTAAACAATAATAATAAACAAATTTCGTGTATAGCATATGAAAATTTGCGTTTTTATTTTAAAGTTGGCCAGCTCAAACTTTAGAGTAAAATAGGAAACAAAAGCAAATTTTATTCTGTTGTGAGGAACGTATTCAAAAAGAACATCTGAAACCTTTTGAAATTTATGATTGCTTCAACAATTAGTTATGATAATTTAATGATTTTCAACTAAGTAAATTTAGTTAGAAAAATTTCCATTCTACAAGTTATGTAATCGTTGGTAACATTCCGCAGCAGGTTAGCAAGTTATTTGGCGAAAAATATCACAAAGACAACTAAACTTTGTATCACTAAACGATTCACAGTAAAGACATTTCAGGATGTCAACTTTCTAGTTGCTAAAAAAATATTGCTCATGCACGGATGACGTTAAGCTACAATTTATAATTATTACAACAAACTAATGTAATGAGAAAATGTTGGAGATATATTTCATATAATTATATATATTATAAATAATATAATTTTATAACAAAATTAGCAACTTATAGTTTAAAGCATCTTGTCTTTTTTGCCGAAAAATTAAAGATTTAATTTTCAGTACCTCCTCGATGGACTAGCGAGCCAGTTGATGTTAGTATCGCTGCTGATCAAGACGCTATCATACACTGCCAAGCTGACGGTTATCCTAAGCCAGTAATTACGTGGAGAAAGGCAGTAGGTAAGCGGCAAAAGTTGTAAAAATAATAAAAGAAAGAGAGGCGTTGATTGCAAAGCAAAGAGTCAACTTTATACATCAGAAAATTGCAAATAATTTTGACATCTTATTAACGTAGTACTATACTACTTACTTACTGGTTGTGAATGAATCGAACTTGCTGACGTTTCGTCAATCATCGTGTTAACTTCTTCAGAGCTGAAACTGTTTAATTTAAACTGTGAAGATGTCAAGAGTTTGATTCACCAGCAACCCGCGCAGGAACCACCCAAAAGGTAATAAAACGACGCAATAATGAAACTTTCATCATTGTTGTAGTCAGTCTGAAGAATAGGCATACACAATAACGCTGGGCCGGAAAGATAGAACTTTCCGTTTATTTCCTTTAAACAAATTTTGCTGCAGTTAGAATTATGTACGCTCATTTTTGTTTATTGTAAAAAATGACTGGATGATTGTGACTTCAGTTTTTGCAAAATGATCATTTATAATTTCAAAACTTTTAGCAATATTTTTATGAATTTCTCACAGATGTTTTTTTAAGGAATCAGGGATACCGTTTCCTATTTTTCTTTTAAACTGCTGTCTCACTATGGAAATTTTTCTAAAATTATTTATTTGTATATAAGTATTGTACAAATTCCACGTGGGATAGACGTGAATGTAAAGTAAAAAGTAAAAATAAAACACGAAGTATACAATTTTTTAAACAAGCCATTAATTTACATTCACATAAATGTTTGAAGACTTCTGTGCACCATTATTTACAACTAAAAATGGTGAGTCCTGAAAAATAAATCTGATAAGAATTCGTCATCGATGACGCAATAGCGTAGAGATATGAAGATTGTATAAAAGAGACAATATTTAATTTTGGGCTATCTAGAAAAAAACCAAAATTTATTTTAACCAATTTATCCCATACAAACGATTGAAACACTGTAATGGTTTTTTCAGACGAACAACCTGGAGAATACAAGGACTTTCTGTTCGAAACGAGCGTGCAGCAATATCAAAACGGTTCATTAGGGTTTACCCACATATCAAAGGAAAATGAGGGGCAGTATCTTTGCGAGGCCAAAAATAATATCGGTGCTGGAGTTAGTAAAGTTATATTCCTCAGAGTCAATGGTAAGAAATAGTATATTATGCAACAAGCGTGGTAAACAACATTTGAGTTACGAATTTATTTGGCACGAGCGGAGCACAGCGGGGAACGTGCTTAATAAAACAGCAATCGTATGTTTTCGGACATATTTCCGACGGCTTGAATTTAGACGTTTGTCTATTCTAAAGAGTATGTCAGTAAACGTTGTTTTGCAAAAATGTACGCAAAAACTAACTGTGGTAAAAAAAGTATAACATGCAACAAGTTTGGTATTCTTTTTCAGTCACTCGTTTAATGCTTTTTACCACACTTGTTGCATAATATACTATTAAAGACGAATAAAATAGTATAAATTTGACAATCAAAACTAAAATCAATATATATATATAACAGATTTTACCTGAATTAGGTATTAGAAGATATATATGGTTTATAAAAAACAGGTCTTTTCGTTTCATATGTTTATCTATTTTTTTAAAAATTATTATTAAAATAATAAAATGATTTAAAAATATATTAAAAACAGTGCATTTTTCTCTATATTTTGTTGACAAATGTTGCATGTATAATTTTCTAATATAAACTCTGTAGATGTCACTAAAACGTTTGTAGAAAATTTATACTTTCAAAATGGTTGATTATAAGACAAATTTATATTAGGCAGAGGGAATTTATTTTAATGGATACTCGCCTAATTTTGAATGAATGAAATCTGCAATAATTTTTGTTTAAATATTACTAATATAAGTTGTGTTAATAATTTATTTTCTTTTATAAATTTGAGGAAGCCTTTTATAATGCAAATTAATTTTTAGCACCTGCCCGTTTTATACAAAAATCTAAACAAATTCAAGTAGTTAAAGGCGAACAAGCCCATTTGCAATGCTCGGCTAATGGCGATACTCCAATGCAGATTATATGGAAAGTTGGAGGGCAACACATATCTAAGGAAGGTAGGAAGAATCGTTTTTAATGCCCTTCAAACTTGTGAACTCATGTAAATGAATTGAGTATAGTACAATTTAGGTCCTGTTTTTTTGTTTAAGGTGATCAACGTTACTCTATTAGGGAACAAGCCCTAGCGGATGGGATGGTGTCTGAATTGGGTAAATTTCGATAATTCATTAATATTTTTATAAAGTTTGCACACTCCATTTAAATTTAACATATGAACTTAATTAATGTTCTTTTGGGATTAAGTTTCATTAAACTAGCAAATATATAAAAACTGTTTCCAAAAAGGGAATTTGCAATGCTGTTTTCTGATCTAAATTACCAGGCATTGAACGAACCATACGTCAAGACACTGGTATTTTTATATGTGCCGCTTCGAACGCATATGGCAGTGACGATATGAACATTCAACTGATTGTCCAGGAAATTCCTGAGCCACCACGAAATGTTCGAGTTATGGACCAACAATCCAGGTCCATTGGCATATCGTGGACATATCCGTACGCTGGAAACAGTCCTATAACGAATTACATAGTGCAATATAAACCAGGTGCCGGTAAGTACTGTATAATAATGTTTTGTGGTTAGATAAACTAGGGACAACGAATTTTATAATAATTGTGACTGCTTGACATATAAACAATCAAACTCACAACTAAAAACTGACTTCAAATTACACATAGTTATATAGCAATCAACATTAACAACATCAAAAACATATTATAAACATTTATATAATTATTTATTTTTTTATAATTTGTAAACACCAAAAAAAAAGTCGTCGAAGGGAAATTTTTGCTTTAATACTTTTCATTGAAGGGTGGAAGATAAGATTATAACTTTGGTCTTTACTTTATAGAGTTAGGCGACCTAGGTCTCGTTGAGAAAAGGAACACATTAATTTTTGCTTCATTCGCCGGGGAGTACTATTCATATTCATCAAATTTAAAAAGTAAACCAAATATGCAAATGTCCAACTGCATGTCTTCATGCGTTTCCCAGTTATTGTATGGATTCCTCAAATAAAGCAAGATTAACTTTGTGTTTGATATGCTATTCAAGTGTGCTAACATATGTCTAATAAACATATGTAACAAAAAAAAAACACATTATGTGATAACTACCAGAAATAATTCCAGAATAAATAATTTCAGTTGTATAGTTTACCTACACATTATACGCGGTTATGATAGTCAATTATTTTAATTTTAATACCCTCTATATCATTATATATATATATATATATATATATATATATATATATATATATATATATATATATATATATATATATATATATATATATATATATATATATATATATATATATATATATATATATACCAAAACTAACCAAAACTCCGCCTTTAGTTAGATCATTTAGCCCAGGCAATAACTTTTAAACACTACTCACAAAATATAAATTTCAATGCGATGATCAGTGGCGAACAAAAAGTTGTTACAGACAACAGCATTGCTGAATTCCGTAGCTATTTCGTGAAGGAAACCATACCTCTTTTGGAATACACAAACATTGACAACCTGTTCAACATATTTTGGGATCATGTACTATGGTGCTTTGAGGTATCACATCCTAAAAGAACAATTCAGCAAAAAAACACAAAACTTAAAAGATCTATACGATTTTCCGAAAAACTCAAAAACCAAATGAGTTAATTAAAATAGTTAAACCGGAGACGCAAAACCACTAATAATGAAGCTGTGGAAAAAACTACAGAATTATGAAAAACCCAGTAAACATACAGGTCGCCGATGAAAAAAGGCTTTCTTCTCGAACTTAATAAGTCTTTCTAACAATAAAAGTAAAAAAATGTGGGAACTTGTCAACGAGAAGCTGGGTAAGGAAAAAACTCAACGCCGTATACGAATAAATGTTAATAATGTCAATGTAATTAATGATAACATAATAGCAAATGAATTCGGACAATTTTTTGCCACTCACGTGCAGTCGAAGACCGATACTATGTTCACTAAAGATGAAACTGGTACTCTTCCAACCACCAAGGCAAAGAGTGTGTTTTTCATACCATACACCGATAGAGAGGTACTAACCTTAATTCAATCACTCAAAAACAAGCGATCTGTTGGAATCGATGAAATACCTATACATCTCATAAAAACCTGTGGAGATGTTTTAGCTCCATATTTAACTACTATTATCAATACGTCCGTTCTCTGCGGGCAGTTCCCTGCGGCATTGAAAAAATCAAAAATGATTCCTGTATTCAAAAAGGGAGACTCTGAGCTAATAGAGAATTATAGGCCTATAACAATCGCAGGTTGCTTCTCTAAAGTACTCAAAAAGCCATGTACGACAGAATGACACATGGTTTCCGTGTTGGTTACTCAACGGAAACGGGGACTAATAACCTTGTCCAGTATATCTACGACAAACTTGACATGGGTGAGACAGTTGTGGGAGTGTTTTTTGATCTATCGCGCGCCTTCGATTCCTTAGATTTGAATATCATGGCAAAAAAACTAGGGTTTCGAAGTAATATCAATAGTTGGATAATATCATATATGAAACACAGGGAAATAAGGGTCAAAGTGAATGGAATATACTCGCAACCGTTCAACGTCAACTTAGGTATGCCCCAGGGAGGAATCTTAGGTTCACTACTTTTTCTTCTGTATGTGAATGACCTTCCTGAGTTCCTCAATAGCAACTGCCGCGTTTTTATGTACGCGGATGATACATCCATCTTCGTCTCCGGAAGGGAAGCTCAGGAGCTGATCAATAGGTTCTCTAGTGTTGTGGCACAGTTTGTTGATTTTTGCAAACAGAATCATTTGATCATAAATTTGGAAAAAAACAGTTGCGATCGAATTCACTGGTCAGTATGTTAAACCTCTGACTAACATAGCGTTCAGCTTGGTGGGTTCACGGAATTAAACCACACAAACAGTTTCTCGGATCTTACATCGATGCCTTCCTAAAGTGGGACTACGACAAATGTTTTTAATAAACTGAACAAAACGTTTTTTGCAATGTTAACAATCAGAGATTCTTTCTTTGAAGGATCCTTGTTGACTTTCTATTACGCCTCAGTATACTCGTCTATTTCATATAATCGTAAACTGGGGACAAGCGAGTGATGCGGAGAGGGTGTTCATTCAGCAAAAAAGGACACTTAGGTTGATTTTCAGACTGCCCCCGAGGCTATTCTTCAAAGATATATTTATAAAGTATAAAATACTAACAGTGCCTTGCATATATGTATTTAAATTATTCATCATCGTTCATAAAAATAAAGGCTCTCACAAGAAACTCACGGATGTCCACGGTTATAACACCCGAAACAGAGAACACCTTCTAAAGCCAAGACTGAACCACATGTTCTACAAAAAGTCGCTAAATTACGCAGGACCTTATTACTTTAATTTGCTTTCTACAAGCATAAAAGCATTATCTACAAGACAATTTAAAAAGTGCATCAAAAAGCTTCTGCCAACCAATGCTTTCTACGACCTGAAAGAATGTGAAACATATATTACAGGAGTGCTACATTTTGTCAATAAGTTAGTACCGTTTGTATATCCGTTTGTAACTGTTCTATACTGTACTGTTAAATGTGTGTTATCGTATTGTTTATATACATAATTGCATGTATCTTTATATTACTCAATAATGTACTCGTTTCCTGACGAAACATCCACTGTATACATACTGGGCTTTGTGAATAAAACTGTCTATCTCTCTATCTATCTATATTATATATTATACAAGACAACTTTATATAAAATATCTACAGTCAACGGCTAAAAGATGGAACAAAATCATTTAAAAATAAAGTATTGGATTTCAAGAAAAATTCTACACGTCTTCCATAATTTTTTCTTGCGGATTTTTTGCAGTATACAGAAAACATACAGGGTTGGTCAAAAAGTAGATGTCGATACCAAGTTCCTTTTTCAATGGAACACTATTTTTTAAAATCCATTCTCGAATTCTGTGTTAAATTATGAGCCAAAGAATAAAATATATTTAAGTTTAAAAGAAGTAGTGGGTAGTAGTAAAAGTAAGTAACTAGTACTAGTAAAGTTCTGAAATTGTCAAATAGCGCATCTAAATGAAACCCAAAGAAATTACATTTTTATTTATTTAACTCAAAATATACAGAAAGACCCATTACAAGGTCCACAGTGAGTAAAATTTAGACAAAATTTATAGAAACAGAACATGTAAAAGATCGTCTACAGCCAGTTCGTCCAAAAACTAATGAGTGCACAAGATTAAACATTTTATTAGAAGTTGCATGCATGCATGCATCATCTGAAGTAGTTGCAACTACTGATGTTAGCTAACGAACAGCTTTGCGTGTATGAAAAGAAGAAGAAGTATCATCCGTACAAGATTACATTACTGAACGAAGATGATCTTGATTTTAGAAAACTATTTATGCAAAGGTGCAACTTAAATACATTTTTTCATCTTCAGAGACAGTTTAGATAAATACACGTTGTGTTTAAATGGTACGATAAATAAACACAATTATATGTATTAGAGTACAAATAATCCCCCACGATTAAGAGAAAATCATACACAACATTCACAAACAATAAATGCTGCCAAATACAAATCAGCCTGATAGAGAGATTTTAATTGAACAGAATGGTGGTCCGACAAGTGCGTGAATATTTAGATACAGTCCTTCCCGGACGGTGTATTGGTAAAGGGGATCAATACAATGGCCTGCAAGATCTAGATATTAAATTTCGCAAGCAAAATATCCTAAGTAATGTTTTCGACACGTCTTTGTATACATTTTCTCCCAATTTTACTCATTTTGGATCTTGTGATAGATATTTCTGGATATTTGGCGCTAAACAAATTACAAACTTCTGCTTGAGTTGTCGTTTCATTTACATATCTAATAAAAACGAAAATTTCAATTTTCTGGGTTTCATTTAGATGCGTGAATATTTAGATATAGTCTTTCCCGGACGGTCTATTGGTGAAGGGGATCAATACAATGGCCTGCAAGACCTCCAGATATTACTCCACTGGATCTTTTCCTCTGGGAATATTTAAAATCAAAAATGTATAAGGAACCACAAAATTTGGATGATTTAAAATTTAGAATTAAATTCGCAATAAGGTAAACTAAGCAAAATATCCGAAGTAATGTCTTGAACACGGCTTTGTGTAAATTTTCTCCCAATTTTACTCACTGTGGATCTTGTGATAGATATATCTGGATATTTGGCGCTAAACAAATTACAAACTTCTGCTTGAGTTCTCGTTTTATTTACATATCCAATAGAAATGGAAATTTCAATCTCTGGGTTTCATTTAGATGAGGCATATTCACTTTCTTTACTGACAGAAATGTAATTGTAGTAATTTAAGAGCTTTACTGGTACTAGCTACTCATCTGTTCATTTCTTTTTTTTTGTTCATAAAGAGTGAGAAATAGATAGAGGGTATGCTACATGAATTATGCATAAAATTCGAAAATGGATTTTAAAAAAATGGTGTTCCTTTTAAAAAAAGAAACCTGGAAATTATGATGGGCATGTCAGAGCATTTTCTTAAAATTCAATACCTAATTTTTAAATAATTTTGCTCCATATTTAGCCGTTCACCGTATATGAAAAATTTGTTTTCTAATTTCTACAAATTTTTACTACTCTTGTAGTTACGCGTTGATTAGTAATTGACCAGATAGGAGATTTATTTCGAAGTGATTGCATTTAATAATCCAGTTAACCCCAAATAACTTAGGGCTGATTTGCAGACACGTGGCCAAACCTGCCAGCAAAAATTACAGTTCCAGGATCTGAAACGACGGCATCCTTACCCAATCTCCGACCCGCTCAGGTTTACCATTTACGGATATTAGCCGAAAACCGTCTTGGACTTAGCGAGCCAAGTCAAACCGTTCAAGTAAATACGTTAGAAGAAGGTAAATAGTCATTGAAATTAATTATTCCGAAACACTCTTTTGACTTCACAGACTATACAACTTTCAAATTATTACAAATACAATACACACAGTACATGATAAACACTTTATTTGATTTGTCTGCTTCAAAAGTTCCCAGCGGATCTCCGGTAGACATCAGAGCTGAGGCGAAGACATCGACAGAATTAGTGGTAACATGGGAACCACCTCCTAGAGAAACCTGGAATGGAAATCTGTTGGGTTACCACGTAGGATATCAAGAAATGGAAGATAGCAATAGCCTATCGCAAAATTATGTGTTTAAAAGTGTTGAAGTCCGGCCCCATTACGGCGGTGAAGCTATTTTACAAGGCTTACGAAAATTCACAACATATACTATTATTATTCAGGTTGGAATGTAAATATTTCGAACACTCTTGTAATTTATAATGCACTGGTATATAGGCCTACAACAGTAGAGGTTCCGGTCCTGCTAGCGAACCAGTAACAGCACGCACTTTAGAAGACGCTCCCACACTGCCCCCAGAAAACGTTCAATGTTCAGTACTCAATGCTCAAAGTCTTCACATATCGTGGGAACAACCCTTACGAGAAGGGTGTAATGGAATCATTCAGGGTTACAAAGTTACATATCATTCGGTCGGAGAATGGTACGGTAAGTTTCCGTAGCTAAGTAGCGAAAAATGTTATGATGGAGATGTTTTTATATATAATTTATTTTCAGACAACGACGATCAACAGACGAAAATTATCAATCAATTACGTACCACAATCTCGGGCTTAAGGAAATTTACCAATTATAGCATAACGGTTTTAGCCTACACCGGCAGCGGCGATGGAGTTAGATCATCACCGGTATACTGTCAGACCGAAGAGGATGGTACGTCTTATACCGATATTTCTTGGAGATTGTTTGAAAGCTTTCTTTCAATCTACCCATTGATTTATTCAATAGAAGATATCACCCCGAACGTCAAGTTTTGAACCCTAATCACTTAATATAAACAAACCTTTAACACTCAAAATTATTTCGGGTGGTCTCATCGAAGACGCAGATTAAGTTCTATATAAAAAGACATTTAGTAAGATTAAAACGAAAAATTAATCCCTGTGACCTGTTTTGCAGTTCCCTCAGCTCCTGCACAAATTAAAGCAGTTGTCAGTGCAGCTAACAAAGTTCTAGTGTCGTGGTTACCTCCAAAATTCAACAATGGCCCACTAACTGGTTATACATTTTATATGAGTGTTGTGGAAGATGGTCAGGAGGAGGGCACACACAAAAGGGCGCTTAGCCCAACCACGGAAATGCATGAAGTTGTGAGAGGTCAGGAAACATCAACATTACAGTTCTGGGTTACTGCTTCAACTAGAGTAAGTAACAATAATTATTAGTAAATTAAACCCAGTTTTACAAAATTGGAATATTGAATAACGAAATTGTCATGAGCTTTATAGGGCTGATAAGTATGTCTACAGGAAATTAAAGTTAACAAACCTTATTTTCAATTAATGAAAGTCTGAAAGTGGTATTGAAAAACAATTCAATAATAAACTTGGATATTCCCAGGGTTTTGTGAATTCGTGAATTCAGTCTGCGATTTTGGGATGATACCTTTTCCCGAGATATGTTAAAACGATCAAAAAATCTTAGGGACAAAAATAGTTCATTTATTCACTTATCCTATTAAAATATTATATTTGTATATATACAGAGTGTTTGTATATGCGTGAATAAGTATTTTTTTTAAATTTTAAATAAAACATTCTGTATATTAAACACATACAACACAACAATATATACAACAGATTTTATATATGATATCCTATACCTAAGTATCGTTCCTGACATATTTTGAAGTTTATGTCAGAAGTGACGTCTGGCCACCATTTGTTTAGATGCCAAATATGATAAAACTATAAAAATTGGGCGTTTTTATTATTTAAAAGTAAATATATGGATATATATGACGTCAGAAGATACATAGGCTTCAATTATACGAAATCTCAACAACACCCAATTGACATTGACTTTGAGATGTAAAAGGTTTCACAAGCAAAATTCTCATCAAATTTTCTTCAGATAGGTGAAGGTGAAAGTACAAGAGTTATAACCGTAATTCCATCAAAACACGTGCCTGCAAAAATTGCCTCTTTTGGAAGGGAGGTAGTTAGCGCTTGGAAACAAGATATTTTTCTACACTGCAAAAGCGTGGGTGTACCATTGCCTAACACCAACTGGAAAATGAATGATTCACCATTGGAAATTAGTGGACGACGATCTGTCATGTCCAATGCCACATTGGTAAGTTGCCCAAAGGTAACAAAAGCGAGTCCTAAATACAAAAATATTCCTTGATAGGTTATAAAAGACATTCAAAACGTTGATCAAGAAAATTATTCTTGTTCTGTTGAAAATCAATATGGAAAAGATGAGATCGTGTACCATCTTAAAGTTTTAGTTCCTCCTGATGCTCCGATATTAAACGTAATCGAAGCATTTACGGACAGTCTTCATTTAAGGTAACTTCGTGTTTTCGTTGTTAAGTTGGGTAAAAGAATCATTCGATTTCTCTTAGATGGTCGGATCAAGGTAATGGTGGGTCACCGATCTTGGGGTACGTCATAAATTATAAAAGGGATCATGGCGATTGGGAAGAATTAGAAATTGCAGCTAGAACTGACGAACACATGTTGCGAAGTTTATGGTGTGGTAGCAGATATTTGTTATATATAACAGCTTTCAACAGGATAGGAACCGGTTTACCGTGCGACATAATTCCTACCCACACTAAGGGTACAGGTAGGTTATGAAGAAAAATTCTTCCTTCTAAATATTCATTGATTTCTGTATTGCAATAAAATTGATGTGACATACTTGGAAATATGCAAATCTAAAATTAATTATATAATAAAATATTAAATAATGGAGTTTAGTCAAATTGCGCAAATACATTCAAAAAATGCTCATTTAACTCGACTAATTACATTTATTAAACATTTAATAAATGAAGAAGGTAGTGATTGCGGTTTAGATTAAATACTTTATTAAATAATTTTATTAAATATATTAGTCATAAAATGCAAGTGGCTCCAAAGCAGCCGTAAACATTTTTTAAATTGTCATAACCAGAATGGTCTCAGAAATCCAATAATGTCAAAATGCACAAGGTAATCCATTTAAATATTTGAAACCTGAGCCATTCCCGTTGGAAGCGGAATAAACGTTTAACAGCTAGTTAGTTAGCATAAGGCAGAATTTTGGGCTAGAGATTCACTTATGGGGGCTATACACATGCAGGCAAGTGTGTCCAGGTAAGTCTGCGAGCAAGTGCGAAACGAATTGCAGCCACACACTATTCAGCTAAACCTCGAGGTTCACCAGTTGGTGGGGCCTGCTGCTGTGCGAAAAATGAAGTTGGCCTTCGCACTTGCTCTGAAATCACACACAATCTGATTCGCTTCGAGCCGCGCTTGGAATTGAACGCGCCGTGAGTTTTGACACATACACATTCGCACTTCCTCGCGTGTCTCGACCTGTACAGGCAAGTCTTAACACTTGCCTGCATGTGTATAGGCCGCTTTAAACTCTATTGCACATAAGAAAGCAACGAATATTTCTGAAAATATTTACCCCTGCATTACTGACTTGTATTTCAGTTCCCGTACAACCCAAGCAATCCCAAATGCTCACTATGAATGCGACCGTGGCCACGGTGTGGTTAGATTCGTGGGGCGATGGTGGTTGTGGTATTCTTTACTTTTCTATTCAATACAAGAAAGTAACGTATTCGTCCTGGACAACTGCTTCAAACCACGTGAAGCCGACTGAAAGAATATTTTGTATTACCGACTTAACACCGGCAACGGAATACCAGTTAAAAGTGTGTGCTTATAATAATGCGGGTGATACAGAAGCCTTGTATAATTTTACAACTCTTACTTTTGATGGGAGTAAGTTTTACGAAATATTTTTAATATTTTGTTTTAACTTTTAGTATAGTATCAATATGGGTTGAAAGTTATGTTACATTGAGATTGGTACCTCAGTTTTTTATTGGATAAACTATTAGTTTTTTCCGAAATAGTTGTATGACATTCATACTCATCAGTTAAAACATATCTATCTTTATCTGATGTGAAAATTAATATGTAAATATTGTTTGCAGTAATCCCGACGGTATCGACAGCAGTGTATCATTCATGGGACGAGAAATTCTACACAAATACAAAAGTTTGGTTGCCAATTATCCTTTCCCTAATAGTTTTGCTCCTATTGATTGCAGCGTTGTTTTGGAGACACAGTAAGTGATGGTTATGAAGTGTTTAAGCGATGTGCAAATAAAGGACAATACAACACGAAATTCAATTTAAGAATTAATTTATCAGTTAATTAATAACCTCAATTAAATAATGGAGTTTCGAACTAAAAACGTTTTTAACGCGACATTTCGGCTACAGAATATCTCCAGCCGTTATCAAGTGAAAACTGAGCGCTACCATCGAAGCTACCTGCATTTATATATAAAGTGTCAGGTGGAGAGCGAGCCACTTCATCGATTGGTGACAGTTGACAGGTGGGGCAGGTCAAGGTTGCCACAGTGCTGAGATTTCCACGATTAGATGACTAAAAATGTTTTTGTTGCATTGGATGAAGGAACTTCTCTTCTTCCAGTAGGTTTCCTTTTGTAGAATTCTGGTGTCAGTCCTTTTAATTCTGATGTGTTCTGTCCATGTATGCCGTGCGCGACCAGATCTATTTGTTTCTTGCTTCGTTTCGCCTACGTAAGATGTTCTACACTCGCAGGTCACTTCATATATACAGTTTTTGTTGTCTGTGATGTTCTCTGGTTTTGTTTTCGTTATTAAACTTCTTATAGTTTTCCCACAACAGAAGGTGGTTTTGACGTTATATTTTGAAAAAATCAAAAAAATTGCAACAAAATACACGTATCAAAACAGTCTTCCATTGTGGGAAAAGTATAAGAAGTTTAATAAAGAAAACAAAACCAGAGAACATCTTAGACAACAAGAACTGTATATATATGAAGGGCCCTGCGAGTATGGAAAATATTACGTAGGTGAAACGAAGCAAGAAACAAATAGGTCTGGCCTCGGAGAGCACACACACTTGGACAGAACATATCAAAATCCTCTACCTCTACTGTCACGCGTCAGGAACCTCGGCCTGTCCCACCCGCCAACGGCCCCCGACCGATCACCCTCGCCACCTGACACTATAAATGTTTCGATTGTAGCAGTTTTCACTTGATAACGGCTAGTGCTACTTTCTAGCCGAAACATCGTGTTAAAAACGTTTTGTCTATTTTTAAAGAAACTCTATTAAATGAGGTATATCAAAAGGCAAAAAAAAGTCATAATGATAATAACAACAGAAATTGCAATCTTCTTTCTATTCAAGTTAAAGTGACTCAAAAATTAAAATATTGTTACGTTTATATAATAGTTTAATTATCACTTGGGTTCATCCAACTAAGACACTCCTTGTAAAACGGAACTAAATCAAAATCATCAAAAATTACAATTAAATTACAATTAAGTACTAAAATTTTCTATACACTGTTATTTACTATGCACACACTACTAATAATTTACCTAACCTCTATTATTTATCTATTGTTTATGTTTCCGCGCTCCATATTTTACTTTACTATATTCTTCTTCTTCTCAAGGTACCATCTCCACTAGTGAAGGTTGGATACAATCTCAGCAAATCACCCTCGGTCCTTAGCAACCTGGAACAGGGTGTGGGGATTCAGGCCGGTCCAATCACGAATGTTCTTTAGCCAGGAATGTTTTCTTCTCCCTATCCCCCGTCGTCCTTCAATCTCTCCTTCAATTATTAGTTTAAGTAGGGTATATTTACTGGTTCGCATTATCTGGCCAAGGTATGCCGTTTTTCTTCTCTTGACAATTTTTAGCAGTTCCCTCTCGTGTTGTGTTCTTCTCAATATTTCCTCGTTGGTTACACGTGCTGTCCATGGGACTTTAAAGAGCCTTCGCAAGGTCCACATTTCGAACGCTTCTATTTTGTTTATGGTGTTTACTTTTAGCGTCCAAACCTCGCACCCGTACAGCAATACAGAGTGGATGTAGCATCTTACAAATCTATATCTCAGCTCAAAGTTAAGTGCAGGATCACATAGAAGGTGTTTCATGTTGTTGAATGTGCCCCTTGCGTTTTCTATTCTGGCTCTTATTTCTGGTTCAGGACCCAAGTGGCAGTTTATCCAAGTTCCAAGATATTTGAAGTTTTCGACCACTCCGATGTCCTTTCCATTTATTGATATCCTTGGTGGAGGCTTTCGAGATTTGCTAATAACCATTACTTTGGTCTTGCGAACGTTTATTTTGAGGCCAAGCCTTTCTCCCGTTATACTTAGTTTTGTTAGTAGCCGTTGGAGTCCTTCTGGCGTGTCGGCAATGATCACCGTATCGTCTGCATATCGCAGATTGTTAATGATCTGTCCATTGATCTTAATACCATCAGTTTCTTCCTGCAGGGCCTCCGCGAAAATGCTTTCCGAGTACATGTTGAATAATAGGGGCGATAATACACATCCCTGTCGTACCCCTCGATGGATGTCCACCAGGTCCGTTACCAGCTTACCGAATCTAACATACGCTTGTTGGTGCCAGTACAAATTTTTGATAATCTGGATGTCTTGTTTGTCTAATCCCTTTCTTTCTAGCATTTTAATGAGTTGTACATGTTCCACTCTATCAAAAGCCTTTTCATAATCTATGAAGCAAGCGTAGATCTTCCGTTGTCGATCGTTACATTTCTGAAAAAGGACTGTCATGCTATATAAGGCTTCTCTGGTTCCCAAGTTTTCACGGAAGCCGAATTGCGTTTGGCTGATATCTTGCTCGCATTTTTTTGTTTTTGATTTTCCCGGTCACTTCTCTTACTTTCTTGTGCATCGCACCGTGGTCGTTCTTTCGCTGTAGCTCTTCTATTTCCTCGCATTTTTCTATCAGCCATCTTTGTTTAGCTTGTCTTATTTCTCTTCTTATTCTTGTGTTCACCTCTTTATATTTTTGCGCATTTCTGTTCTTATATGTTCTTCGCTCTTCCATCATGTCTATTATTTCATCAGTCATCCAATTTTTCTTTTTAGCTCTCTGTTTGGATCCAATTTCTTCTTCTTCTATCATGTTTAAGGTTTCTTGTAAGCATTTCCATTGTTGGTGTGGATCAGTGACCTTCTCAATTTGTAGTTTTGGTATATCGTTATTAATCCTTATTTGTACTCTAGTGCGTGTAAGAGGATCTCTTAATTTTGTAACATCCACCTTCTGGTTGTTCTTTTTCTTAACTTTCTTAAGTTTTACACGTATATTCCCGACTACTGGATTATGGTCAGAGCCTATCTCTGTTCCCGGGTATGTTTTTACACCATATATGCCGTTTTTGTATCTCTCGTTGACCAGAATATAGTCTATTTGATTTCTAACTATATTTTCTTCAGTATGTTGTGGCGATTGCCATGTATATAATCGCCGGGGGTGTAGTTTAAACCAGGTATTTGTGATGCACATGGATTCCGCTCTCCTAATCCGTATCTACCCACAATTCGATCTACTTATCTCGATCCCACTTTGGCATTAAAGTCTCCCAATAATATGGTCAATTCATTTCTTTTAGTGTAGGATAAAAGGTCCTTTAGTTCTTTATAAAAGTTGCTTAATTCCACCTCGGATTTGTCGGCAGTGGGTGCATAGCATTGGATCACGTTGATGTATACAGGATGTGCTCGTATTTTTAAAAGCAATGAACGATCTGAGTGAGGAATGAAACTGACCACTGCTCTTTCAATCTCTTCGGTTACTATGATACCGACTCCATTCGGGTGGGCTGGAAGTTCATTTCCAGAGTAACACATCACTTCACACAAAGGGATGCGCCTCGGGCAGCTATGATATTTTAGAAGATTAGAAAGTGATCTTCGGCACATACTTCTAAACAGAGATCTCCACTCACTTAACTCCAAAACATTGAACGAGATCTGGGCATATTTTGAGAGACTACTCCCGTACACATGCTACATCAAAACTAAAACCTGTTGGATAGTTGAACTGTTAACGGCCATATTGGTTGCAGATTCAGATTCAGATTTCATGCAATGAAATATTTATCTTCTAAACAAAATAATTTTTGTCCCGAACGGGGAATAACTAATAAATTACTGTTGTAAAGATTTAACATTGAAAGTGAGCAAAAATGCATAGATATGGTCTGTTCGTAGAAAGTAACCAATTGCTTTTGAATGGGATTACCCAAGGGTGGTCATTAACGTACAATGCAACAAGATTATTACCTAAAGTTTCGGAATTTCAATTCAGGTAAAATTGTGGTCAGTAATAGAAAATAATTTTATACCTAGCTGTGTTTAATATTCTTTGATTTGGTATACTACTTAGTTTAAATTTATTAGTAATCATTCTTATTTCGTGTGTAATACAGCGTGTGTTGAATCGTGTGCGAATTATGCAAAATATGTGCGAGTCTAGTGTATCTCAGGAGATGCTCCCGGCCAAATGTAGAAAACACTATTCTATTGAGACTAAGGAAGTTATAAACAATGTTTATTTGACTCTCATTGAACGTGGTACCAGCAAGCAAGCATCTTTAGAAGAAACGGGCACATTGACGAAAATTCCAACATTAACGGTATGGAAAATTGTGAATAATCCCATTTCAGCGAGGAAAAAAAGAAGCGATGCTGACATTTTCTCGAGTGTAGATGAAAGTGATCAAGATATAATACGGCGTAAAATTTACCAGTTATACGAGGAACAAAGAGTGCCTACATTAGATATCTTAATTAGGAGGCTTGAAAAGATGAAACCGGTATTAAATGTGGCAGAACTACTTTATGGAAGTGTATTCAACACGTGGGTTTTAGATTTAAAAAAATTGACAAAAGGCAAGTTTTAATGGAATCTTTTAGAATTAGGAAATGGCGACCGGAATATCTAGAAAAAATTAGGATTTACAGAGAACAACAAAGGTCAATTATTTACTTGGATGCAACCTGGTTCGACACTTATGATACCCCGGAAAAGGTTTGAGTTGACTCAACTGATAAGTGTAAAACAAACGCGTCATCAAAAAGAGGTAAAAGAATAACTATTTTGCATACTGGCTCTAAAGATGGTTGGATTCCAAATGGACTTTCTCTGTCTGCGAAAAATATTAAAGATTCTTCTCTGGATTACCATCAGGACACCACCGCTGATTTATTTAAAAGTTGGTTTAAAAACAAACTAAACAAATTATAATGGACAATGCAAGTTATCACAGTAGACAGTTGACTAAAATCCCTTCCTCGTGTGACACAAAAGCAACAATCCAAAACTACATATATAATAACCGACATTTATTTTCACGAAGATTATACCAAAAGTACTACAAAGTTTGAACCTACAAAAGGAATACGTCTGTGCAAAAAATCTAGGGCATATAGTTTTAAGGCCTTACCACTGTATATTTAATCCCATTGAACATGTTGGGCACCAACTGCAATCTGCCATTCGTCGTAACAATGTTCTTCCCCGTGTTAACTCCAATGTCCACAAACCTATAGAAACCGAAGTTTTTAACATCCCTCCACAAAGTTGGCCAAATTCTGTTAAACATATGGAAAAAGCAGAACAATCGTACATTCATATTGCAAATAAAATAGAACAAATAATAGTTAGAACAGGCGATGATAGCGATAGTGATACTGATAAATTATGTCAATAATTTTAAGTAATTTAAGTATTTTAGATTTAAACATAAATACATACATAAATAAAAAAATATTGTTTAGTATCTTTCCTAACAGTTAGTCGCTTTCTTATATCTATGAACAAACTTTGCATAGGCAATAATATTTTTGTTTAAAATAATTGACGGAATTATTACATGTCGTCACCTCTCTTGCGACAATTTAATGTTTGAATACCTATAATCTCGGCCAGATTTAACACTTGTTCTTTCTTATCTACCCGCAACTAGAACAACTACCTATGCTATGATATGTCTTTTAAACTATTTGTTCGGGCCACCTTACATTTTCTCCAACAACTAAGTTTTCCTCTTACATTAATTTTGCAAGAACACTCTAATGTTATTTTTTGGATGAATATACTTTATGTCATTTATGCCTCTTTCGGTCAAATGAATATTTTTTGGGACTTGATTAACCAAAAAATAAATAAATAAAAGTAAATGTCTTTTTTTTTTCAGAAATTATACAAGACCGCAGCGTCCAAAACCATTCAATCGGCGAATCGCCGTCGATGGCGCAAATACAGAACAAACAAAATCGAGACCAACAATATTTAGCCGTGCGAGTGGGACGCAGCCCACAACCGATTGCAATCGAAGACGCTTATAAAACGGAGTCCTCGGATTACATTGAAGATATTTGTCCCTACGCCACTTTCCAGTTATCCAAGCCAACTTATAGTGAAAGCTCCTACAGCGGAAATGTTTACAGCGGACCGTACCATTCGGTACGCGGATCTTTTGTATATCATGACGTTAAACCTCCACCTATTGATAAGTTTATGTTAGGACATGTAAGTTTTGGTTAGACATTGCCTTCATCGGCTTTTCTATTTGTCATTCCATGGCAAGCGTAAATATAACATAATGGTTGGACCGTTGAAAAAATTTTCCAGCTGGTTGATAAGGTCGCTTATATCTCGCAGTAAATTTCAGACGGAGCATAGAGATGATATTAAATATAAGGTTCTGTAAATATCATATTATTTAATAGGGAGGTTTTTCTATTAAATTATAAATTTTTATTTTACTTTTTGTTCTTGTATACCCTCCTGTCAAATATAAATTACTTAATTAAATAATTAAAAATAGTGCCTAAAATTTTAAATTTATTTTTCCACAACTTTTTGGAAAAACCTGTATGCATTCCAATTTGTCCGAGTTTGTGTAAATTTTTAAACAAAACCCTTTTTGCTAGCCCCTGTATCATTGGAAATAATCGATTGGCAACTGCTCCAATTTCTGTATAGGTGAAGTAAAATTTAAAAAATGTTTTCAAGCATGGGAAAGTCTTCCTCTGCCTTCAATGCTCAAATACTGCGCAAATATAATGACTAGTTCAATATATTTGTATAATGTACTATTTAAAAACTCATTAAGTTGTGTTTCTAAATCTGCCTTGCTAAATCTTATTTTTACACCCTGTTGCCGGGATAAAATGCGCATAGTATTGGAAAAATGAAGTTTTCTGTTGAATTAAAGAAAATTTCTTCAATGGTACAAATTGCAAAAAACTTGCGGAAAAAAGGAGATATAGTTTCTCTTTTCTTTAAGCCAACTCGTATTACCGCTTATACCTACTTTTAATAGGTCATCCGGTATATTTTGTTTGTCATTGATATGGACATTTCAGTCAAGAAATTAAAAACTGAACATTTATTTTTTAAAACTTTTACAATTTTTACAGTTTTGGACAAGTGACTTAGAATGAACTTGAACCGGCCTATTTCAGTAAAGTGCTTTAAAATTTTAGAATATAATTTAAAGGTTTTGTTTATAACCCAATGGAATGCATCTATTTGGAAACCTAGTGTTACTATTCTTTAGAACTAAATGGAATCATTCTGTACATATAATATATTGGATGAACAAAAAGCTTAGGATAGGTGAATATTATTAAATAAGACATTTCATTTGAACTATTTTGAACCATTGAATGATTTGGCGATCAACACCTTCACTTCAAACAACAGTCGTCTTAACATATACACATGATAATAGAGTTATGTTAAACAAACATTTGTCTTGTTTTATTATAAGGAATGCGCCAAAATTGGATATCGCTCCACACTTAAATGTAATCTGAACGGGCGCTTGCATTTAGTGAAATGCAAAATAAAGGTTCTGCCAATCAGATAATTCGTTGTTAGATCCAGGAGGCCTATATTTGAAATCATTCACATATTTGCGTCTGCGCATGACTTGTGCAATTGGTTCGCCAGTTTGGGCGATTTATCCTAGACGGGATTAATTGCGTGTCTTAGTGTGCTTGGCTGGGTATAATTTAATGCAAAAACTTTACCGCTTTGTTTGTTACAGAACAAAGAACCGGAATACACAAAAGTAAGAAGAAAAGGAGGGAGATTGAGAGATCCGCATTCCGAAAGCCAAGGTATTCTTTATAAATGCCAACGGGACATTTTAATGTATTTTCTGTGTAACAAGATCACTCACGGGGACCATTGTTTCACAAATAGTACATTTTCCTATATAACCCCATTTCCATTATGGCCTTAAAAAAAAACAATATTGCATACTTTCTTTAATTGTTCCGATATTTCAGAATCTGATAATTTGGGCAGCACTGATTCCGAAGTTAAGAAGATACTAACTCTGCACCTGCCTATTTCAGAGTACGACACACTTGGTTCAGATTCCGAGGGAGATGGAATAAATGGAGGGAGAGTCACAAGCCAAGAAATGATGGCATCATTCGGCCACAACCGAAGGAGAGGTACGTGACGTAAAATCCTATGTGGTGCTGAATACTGACAGTTCGAAAAGCAAAAAACAAAAACTAACGCAGAAAATTGGCTTATCGAAATAGTATATTATGCAACAAGTTTCCAAATGTGTTGCATACTTATCACTATTTGAAAACTCAATTTATTAACTACACACAACAGACACTGACTGTAGACAATAATTGAATCAGCTGGGATACTCTGGCATGGCCAACTGGATGGAAAATAAACGCAGCGATATCAAATGAAATCTTATTATATTTATTTTTTCGGATTTATCTTGACCAAACATAAATATTTTCCACTTGGTTGAAAAGCATTTTTAAAGACGGTTTTGAAACTGTAGAAATTCAATATGGCGCCCATAAAAAAAAACAAAAGTTGACTTCTGCCGTACGTAATATAGTAGATCTAATTTTTTTTGCACCATTTTAAGCATCGGTGTATACTTTTACCCATATCCTTTTCGTCTCCTATAATAAGGAAAATATTGTGGTTTTTCAAAAATGCACATTTTTTTTTGAAACTGTACCTACGTAAGGGTATCGATTTAAAATAAAACTAAGTTAAATTATTTTTTGGCATATACATACGCTACTTTTCTTCCTTTAAGCGACGCTGTATCTCTTACAGTTTCCAATATCGCCATGATTTATGCTCGCTCTCTAATTAATTTGACGAAGCTCATAAAAATGATTTGGTTTTTTGATACCTACCTTTGGAGGAAGAGCAAAATTGGTTTTTAAAGATGATATAAAAGTGAAAAGTGTTTTACGTTAATATGGTAACTTCCAGGAGGGGCAGAAGGGTCATCTTCCTCATCTGAAACTTCCCCTCCATCCGGTAGCGTAGGCCGCAAATCTTATGCATCCAGAAAGACGAAGGGGAAAGCTGCACCATCTGGGAAAAGCCGACATGTACGTAGTAGTAGCGGATACTCTAGTCACAACGATGAGACCACCTTCAGTATTTCACATGCGCCCAGCTTTAATGAACGCATTCACCCCCCTACCAGGTAGAGTGACATCTACGTTTATTTGGTGTTCTTTGAGCAACCGCATAAAATGCGATACTTGAGCAAATTTATTAGTTTTTCAGCTTACATCAGAATGTCATCTAGGATAATTAACCTGCACGGTTACATAGAATCACTTTCCAAATACCTTATTATACTTTACGATAATTGACATAACAGCGAAAACTTAATATATGCAATATATGTAAATTTTCATTTTTAAAGATAATCGATTGTGTGCAGGGAGATTCTCTCTACTCTAGACTGTAAGCAGAATCGAACGGCAAATTTTAACTACAGAGTCCCCTTTACTTAAATTCCGGTGCCACTTTAACATTTGATAGGAATAATGGTCTAAGTTAAGCCGACAACATTTATATCATTGTAAACTCAAACAGTTTTTAGTTTTAGACCTTTATCAAATTTTTGCGACTTAGCTTCAAAGTTTTTTCTCCTGTCTTACCGTTTATTGTAAGGTGTATGTTGAATTTCAAGACATACAGCTAAGAGCGGTACGCATGTGCAATAAATATCCTACGTTTATACGACGACTAACTAATTATGTAAGTCTGTTCATAGATATACTGACTGACTAACTGATACGAATTAAGGAAAAACCCGGACAAGCGGTAAGAATAAAATATGGCCGAACAGGTCAGTACTTTGCTTACAATTTAATTATTTGGGGTTTTGTTAGGAAAGATACTAAACAATATTTATTTATTTATGTATTTATGTTTAAATCTAAAATACTTAAATTACTTAAAATTATTCACATAATATATCAGTATCACTATCGCTATCATCGCCTGTTCTGCTTTTTCTATATGTTTAACAGAATTTACCCAACTTTGTGGAGGGATGTTAAAAACTTCGGTTTCGGGGAAAAACATTGTGACGACGAACGGCAGATTTCAGTTAGTGCCAAACATCTTCAATGGGATTAAATATACAGTGGTAAGATAGAAGCCTTAAAACTGTACGCCCTAGATTTTTTGCATAACTATCACATACGTATTCCTTTCGTAGGTTCAAGCTTTGTAGAACCTCAATTAATTGGTTTTTGGTATAATCTTCGTGGAAATAAATGTCATTATTATACATGTAGTTTTTTGTGTCACATGAAGAGGGGGTTTTAGTCAACTGTCTACTGTGATAAATTGCATTGTCCATTACAATTGCGCTATTAGGAGGAATGTTTGGAGCTAGTTTGTTGTTAAACGAACTTATGGTAATCCAGAGAAGAATCTTTAATATTTTTCGCAAACAGAGAAAGTCTATTTGGAATCCAACCATCTTTAGATGCTTGCTTGCCGGCACCACGTTCAATGAGAGTCAAATAAACTTTGTTTATAACTTCCTTAGTCTCAATAGAATAGTGGTTTCTACATTTGGGCGGGAGCATCTCCTGAGATACACTAGACTCACACATATTTTGCATAATTTGCACACGATTCAACACACGCTGTATTACACACGAAATAAGAATGATTACTAATAAACTTAAACTAAGTAGTATACCAAACCAAAGAATATTAAACACAGGTCGGTATAAAATTATTTTCTATTACGGACCACAATTTTACCTGAATATAAATGCCTAAACTTTAGGTAATAATCTAATAACAGCCACGTCTTATTTTAACTTACAGACTCTTAATCTATAGTTTAACTTGTTTCAGGTTCTCCGATATGAATATTAGAGCCTTTAGTGAATCAGAATATGAAAAAGGACATAAACCAAGAGGAATGTCGAAACTAACTAGAGAAGCTTTTCAGATAAATGTGTAACATATGAAATTCTTGTTTGGGTAAAATTTGATTAATATGCAACCTAATTTCACTGAAAAACAATAGTGACAATTCTAATTATACTTTCAGTTTCACACCCTCAAAATATCCTGCCTACGTCGTTTTTTCCCGTCGACAAATAAGAATTTGTGCATTGCGAGATTTTTTTAGAGAAAAACGCGTACAATTTTCTTTATTACCTAGACACACATGACATACATACATACATATACATGAAAAATAAATAAAACATACACCAACTATGAATTAATATATGAGACACACTTTATTTGCTTAATCCCGAATATAAAACTGATTATAAAATAAATATTATATAACGAATAGAAATTCATAAAACTATAAATACATATTTTATTTGCTTCTGATGTGTTCCATAATCTACAACATACTATATAGTCAATTTTTTATTTTTATAGTTTTGTATCAAATAGGTTTAAAAAACGATATTATAGAATATATGAAAAGATGATGGAGTTATGACCTTAAAAGCTTCTTTCCATTTCTCTTTCTCCATTCTCTCATTAAACAAGTAAACACTAATGTCTATTTTCATTGTTTATTACTATCATTTTTAACATTTGTTAGTTGTAATGACGAGTTTTGACCCCAAAAAAGCCAAATATGTTAAATGTATTAGATTTCTCTTAATGTGTAATAGAGCCAAAGTCTGAAGCCAATTTATAGAAAGTTTTTTTAGCTATCCTTGATTATTATATTCTTGAAAGGTACCTATGCGAACGCGTAGCAGATATTTTAGTTATTATTGTTTATCCATTATTTTCTTCTTAACGTGGTCTGGGACTATTTTCGGTTCTAGTTCCAGTTACAGTTTGATTTGTAGCCCTCACATGTCGAATTTATTAGTGAAACTGTTAAAGATAATTATGTCTTAATTTTCAGATATTTTAAAGCTTTTGTTTTTATAACGCACTGACAACAAGCAAAATGTTAAACACAATTTTATTGAACGCTTCTTTAATCGATAAACCAAACTTGTGGCAAATGAAGGAAAACGTATAGAGAAACAGTGTCAATAGATTTTATAGGGTCTTTATGTATTAATTAACAGAAAATAGTTAGCCTTTCTTTTGTTAGCATTTAGTCAAAGCAACAAAAACTGAATACTATTTGCAAGTTATTTATTAAAATTAAAAAATAAAGAAAGTCATACTTGAATTTTTCCCAGTTACTCTTAGATTCACGTGATTTTACATCTTGCTCTATTTGTATATAATATAAAACAAACGATAATACAAAGAATATGAAGTGCTAAATGACAGAGACTTAAAAAAACATTTTTGTATTACAGGTTAAGAATTCCTAGTAAATACTAAGTAGTGTCATCCGTTGGCTAACACTAAATGATTTGAATCACGGCATTTTTAAGCATTACTCGTTTTATTATTGTGAGAAATATGTTTAGTATAAGAAAGATTAATAAAAATGTTGTGTTAAAATGTTTTTAATTAATAACATACCCTCATAGAAGCAAACTAATTTAAAATGTCCTATAATTTTTCTATTTGGCATTTTTGGTTCTCTGTTAAGTAAATATGAATATATAACCCAGAAAATAAAATATGATCCTACCTTAACAAAATAGCAGCAACATCGAATAACTTTGTTCAACAAGGCATAGTCATATTGCAGAGCACAGTTGAATTTTTTCATTTATAAAATTATCTATAAAATCTTACTAAGTTGTAAAGTCAAATGGTTCAAAATCCACTCTTATTCTTTGAACCAACTCCTTCTCCACATTTTCTTCTAAAATGCACTCTCTGTATTCAACTTTGGATGGAAGATTAAGAATTGGACCAGAGGCCAACACTTCTCTTACAAAATTTAAAGGAAAATTCACAGAGCCTTGAATTTTAGTGTACAGAATCAATTTGTTAGGCAATTCAACAGAAAAAAAAGGAATTTTTGGTGGCATGACTTGGTGAAAACGACTATTGGGTCCTAGTTCCTCTAACTTAAAACCTTGAACTTCTGACTCCTCCTACGAGAATAGATGTAAAATAGCAATTTACGAGAAATCTACTTGCATAATAATTACAATAAAAATATCTTGCAATTCATTGGTAGCTTTTCTTGGAATTGGAATAACTTGAAGTTGCATATGGGACGTTTTATAATTTCTCTCTGAGAATATAGGTACTTGGTCTTTTCTCTCATAAAATTTCCGTAGAGCTTCTTTAAAGTGAATCATTTCTCTTTGTATATCTTCAGAACAGCTTAAACTACTTTGGAAATGTTCAATTGGACAAATAAGCAAGTGCTCGTCAACTAACCCACCTATGGCATATTAGTTGTCACCGATTAGGTCTTTACTCCTATTAGTGTAAAAGTCTTTTTCACCTACCTTTCGCCATCGAAAGATAACAACTTTCTCCAACAGTAACAACCAAATGTTTCTCAAATGAAGGGCTAGCTAAACAAAACCAGCATTTACTTTGGTCAAAATCAATCTTTTGCCTCTTTTGCCCTTTTAGTATGACTATGTCATCATTAAGAAGTGTATTGACATCATAAAAGTATTGCTTGGGCATGGACCGTTTAATGTTGTTGGTGCTACATACTGAAATCAGAAGAAAAATTTGATTAAACAGTACCTAAATCATAAACTACTACTACTCGTAAATACTAATTTCAGAAAAGTATCAAAATTTCCCAAGATAATACAATCCAATTGAATCGAAAAATACAGTAAGTAAATCCTGCCAATACTATTTTACTATACAAATGCACTCATCTAATACTTTACCCTGTGCCTCCAACCTGGAAAAATCAAATGGGCATGGTGTTTCATCTGTAGTTTTTTGAATTAATTCAGATAATTTCATTTTGTCTAAGGGAGTTAGACTAAGAGCATACAACCATTTTTCTTTCTTTGGATTCCCTACCCTTGCCAACCCTAAAAATATAGAGATGGTAAGTGGCCGATTAAATATAACATCATAAAGACTTTTTTCACAACAAATATTGCATATTCGACCTTATATAAATTTTTATTATCTGAACACTCCACCTACTTGAACGTAAAGGGTTAGTAATGTTTATTTTCAAGACATAGGGAATACTAACAAAAATTCATAAAATATAAAGAGAAAACAATAAAGATTACTTTATTACACACACAACACACTGCAATAACGGAAACTGAAAATTAAAATAAAAGTCATCCGTAGAGCACTAACCTAAAAAGCGAGTTACTATCTCCAAAGCTGTGCCACTCTCTAATGTACTGGGACATCTGAATGGTGGTCTTTCATAATAAACCCCTTCCAATCCACTAACAACATAGCGAGGCTTTAATTTCATACACAAGTAGCTTACATACTCATGCTGAAATTTTGAAACAAAATGATCCTGTAAAATATAAATATAAAATATTATTATTTATAAGAAAATTTTGTAATCATATTTTCCTTTTGCACAATATCTTTGGGCCACTGGGAACTAACTAAAATGTCTACACCTCTAAATCCAGTATTCCCTCTTAGAGGTAAATCACATAATTCCCTAACATCTTGAAAATTATAGGTCCATGGTCCTGATTCTGTTAAACTTGCAATTCCACTAATGTAAGCAATTCGCACACCTTTACTATCAGTATAGATACCTCTTTTACCTATAATTTTTAAAGATTTGTCACTATTCTCATAAGAGAATCAAGAAAATGTAAACAAATATCTCAAACCGGTAAATTCTTTATTCATGTTACAAGCATACTTGCCTAAGTGATAGACATTTTCACACAATTCGTATTGTTCATTTTGATATTCCTTAACATGATAGTCATAATTAGGCCCCAAAATATATGTGGCAAGTGGCACTACAAATATAATTACTGAAATTATAATGATATATTCAGCATGAAATGCACCTTTTTTCTCCCCCATTTTATAGGGAATAAAGTCTTGATTATTAATTCCAAAAAAGTTCCCCACGCAAAGTACCAGGTCAAAAGGTCCTGTTTTTTTGTTAACGATTTCAACTCTTTTACATAAAGTGTCAAAATTACCCTCCACGTCTCCGCAAAGTAATCTAAAAATGAATAAAAATAACAGTTTGAAAAAAAAACACTAAATAAAATCCAGAAATCCGTGGAAAAAGTTGAAATACAAAAACAAAGCTGAGTGATTGACAGGAAGCACAGTCGGTAATTATTTAGTGCCATTTTTTGACCGATTTTGAATTGCGTTAACGGTATCGAAAACTGTTAATTGTGGTGACGAAAACTGTGTGTGCAAGTTAAAAATTGATCATCTAAGTTTAAGAGGTAAGTTTTAGTTTTTCGTACTTACATTTTAGCTCTCTCAGTCATTCTTAAATAATGGATGAAATATTAACAGCGCAGGCAATATTTCGCCTTATTTAAAAGCTTCCAATGATTACAACTTGAAATTTGTGCAAAATATTTCCACCTAAGGATATATTTTATGGTAATGAATACTAATAATTTTCACACTCAGGTAATTATTACAAAATTCAGAGGTTAGTGGCACAGACCACAGATGGCAAAGATGTATTTTTCAATATTTCTTACTATTGGTTTGTCTGAAAAGATACTTATAAATGAATTTTTATATTTAGGTACTTCTAAGCGAACCCCAAGTATTTTTACGTTAAGTGTAAAGTGACGGCGTGGTTTTTATGTTCTTACTAAATGTCAATATTTTCCATTAAGTACTTTGATAGACGTTAGATTAATGCTTTAATATCAAGAGTCGCATCTTCGCAACCTAGCTCCGTAAAGATTGATAAGCGTCTTAAAATGTTCTATTCCAACGAACAAGTCATAGCGTCATCGAGAGTGAATTAACGCGTCTTAACTCCTTTCCCAGGCTAAGTCGTAAATATCCATCCTGCGCGAGATTCTTGCTCGGAAGCTTTTTTGTTTGGAGTTAGTTCTGTTGTGAATTTATAAACACACGGATGTATTAAACTAAAATAACTTTATTAATAATGAATACACTTATTTTAAGTTAACACTTTCTCTCATGTTAGGTTAGGTTCTATTCTGCACCGTTTCCTCTTCTCTTTTTACAGTGGATAAAATGACAAGTAATCACAACACTCCTACTCGATTTGAAGTTTTACAAATGTATGGATAAATGAAAATTGTGATTACAAGAATAAACAATTGCAGTGTTATACAATATTACACTTATCTCTAAGTTTTACAAATAAATCCTTGCTTAAAGGTTTTGTTAACATGTCTGCTAAATTTTCCTCAGTTGGTACATATTCAACAAGTATTGAGTATTGATTAATTGTTAACTATAAATTGTCACCAAAAGTTCCTAAAACTGTTTTTGGTAATTCTAAATAATAAGGCAAAATCGTGTTCCAGGTATTGTTTTACAGTCACAATCACGACTTTTCATTAAGTGGAAAAGGCATGAAAACAACTTATCTTAGTTCCAACATAGCAATATATTTTTTTTTTAATTTGAAAGTGTCTGCATATACCATTATGTTTTGTGTTATGTAAAACGTTAAATTATTTCCTATTCCTGTAATATTGTAGTTTTATTTTCTGTGTTAATATTTGTTTTTTATAAATAGTTTCCTTGTGATGTTTTTTTTTGTGGACAATTAAAAAATAATAATAAAAATGCTACAAGGTACTATTTCAGATTATTTTATTGTCTAAAATATCTATTAACAATTTCTGACCATAAAACCGCAGATGCGCAAATAATTCTGCCAACTTTCTCGGGAGTATAACATAGTTTTGCGCTCCCCGTTATGCATCTAAATCGCGTTTTTAAAACACCAATGCATCTTTGCACAGTACTTCGGGTTTGTCACAAGTAATGCATACCCTGGATCTCCTAATAACCAATATATTCCTTTTATCTCGAATGAAGGAAACAAATATAATTAAAATGTACCTTGAAATACATAGGTTGGCATAAAAATAAAATAAGTGCTGAAGAGTGCAACCTTTTTATCATATTAATTCAAAAACAATGATTGATATATCACATACTATACATAGTAAGAGCAGAAAATAAAATTATGTAAACCTTAGGCTGCAGCATATTAGTTTCCATTCATCAAAGCACGCCACATAAATGTGTCGGTTATTAATCCGTTTCGTCCACTTATTATGTGCAAGTTTTTGGAATGAAATCCTTTTCTGCTGACGGCGTCATGAAAATGCGGTGTGATGATTTGTATGTGAGTCCTATCTACATAGCCAATAATTCCTGAGCATCCACCTTTTTCCACTAAAGCTCTTTTAATTTAAGCATTTCCTTTCCAGTTTGGGGAAAACATATCCAACAGTTGTTGAACTATACACTTTTATACACGGATTGAGAGTCTGTGGACTTGCTGCAAATAAGTATTCCTCGCCCACATTCCTTTGGGAGGACCCAATTGACAACTAGCTCCTTATTTAGCCGAAACAATTCAATGAATCTCCGCTCTTGCAGATTAAATGGATCATTTCTATCTCTCATTATCTTTTTTGCAGTATTTAGATTTGAGATCCGTTCGTCGATTCTCCTCCTTATGCAGTAAATGTCTCAAAATAGGATAAATCTGTAATTTAAGTTGGGGTTTATGAACACAAATTTAAAAAAAAAAATGTCTTAAGAGGTTTCAGGATGGAATACGAGCATAACAAATACCTACCTGTAATGTGGTTATTCTGTTCCATATTTTAGGCTAATTTGAATTAAATTAAATTAAATTAAATGTACAAAAACGAACTAACAAATATTAGTCAACCAAAATGAAAAACGTTTTTTGGTTAAATTTTAGGTTGGGATTTTTTCATCGTTTCTATGTTTTTAACATAATTATCAGTGCTCGACCGATGAAACGAATCTTGGCGAATGATAGCCGAGAAATCTAGAGAAATGCTTACGTAATCACCTCGGTACGTGACGACGGTTTCCCTTCGCGTCCGCATCTCTTTCGTTTAGGAATATAATACAAGTTACAGAGCCTCAGTCCAGGACGCTAAAGGCTAGTTTACATTGGTCGAGTAAACGGATAAGGAAAATGCCGAGTTAAGAAAAGCACGGCAGCTCGACTAATGTAAATAATAGTCAAGTTAATAGGTATAGCATAAAGGCAAGTACCCGGCGAGTCGAGTGGTTCAGCGGCCAGCATAGTAACTTGCCCAAGTTACTATGACTTTACTCTATACTACTACTCTACCGTGAACTTGATTGAACACTTGACCCATCTAAACCTGTTTCTTGCGATTAGATAGTAGAGTAATTCGCGGCAAAATAAAAAAAAAAACGATTTGTGATTGTTGATTGAAGTGGCAAAATAGTAAAAATGAAGTGGAACGAAAATGATACCCTAAAATTTGTTGAACACTATCGTGACCATGAATGTCTGTGAAACTTGAGCACGTCGATTTATAGAAATAAAAACATGCGCCAGAGAGCTATCGAAGCTATAATGACCGAGATTTCTAGAGACGGATTTGGAATTGCGGAAGTTAAGCAGAAAATAAAAAATATTCGATCTACTTACAATTAGGAAGTGCAAAAAATTAAGAAAAGTCAGGAACCTGCCCTGAAAATATGTACTCACCTGCTGTGAAATGGTTTGATATTATGAATGAGATAATGGGAGGTGCAAAGGATCCAGGTGAAACCGTTAGCAAGTTGGTAAGTTTTTTTTATATTATTAATTAAAATTTATGTATACATGTAACAAAAATATTTATTTCATATAACAAGTAATGTAAGTATCAAAAATCATTTAACACCCCTTTAAGATTCATTAGGTCCTGAGCACAAGCAGCCGCTGCAACATACTCCGCTTCGGCGGTAGAAAGAGCAACGCATCCCTGTTTCTTTGAAAACCAGCATACAGGGTTGTTACCAAGTAAAATTAAGCAACCACTCGACCAACCACCGATCATGTTTATCTGATGCCCAATCTGAATCTGAAAAAGCTTTTAATTTTACTTTGTCATTGTTTGATTCATTTTTCACAAAAGTTAATCCTTTAAATTTAGAAGTATTTAAATAACGTAATATTCTTTTTCCTGCGTTCCAAGTATCATTTGTTGGCTTGTCCAGAAATCTACTTAAATATGAAACCTCCATATGCAGTTCAAATCTCTGTTGTCCCTTTCTTCTGCTCTAACATTTACAGTTGTTTATTACGGTACCTTTGGACTCGAATTGTTGAAATCGAAGATATGGTTTTAGCAGGAAAATAACTGAACTGAAAATATTTCAGACCATGCTCTAATACTGTTTCATGCATAATCCTGCTTAATTATTTTTACTGCTTCTTCAATTGAAGATTGAAGATTGGCAAATTAACATTTCTTCAAACTCGATACACGAGTTAATCGTACCGGCCCTTGAAAAAGCTATATTACAACTTTGCTATAATGTACACGCGAATATTTGCCCACCTAAAAATTTACATGGGATTTCCATTCGGCAATGCATCACCCGGTATAGTAATTCCTAAAGTGTATTTCTGTTTGATCGTCGAAAATTCCGTAATATCCGGCCGATTCTGTCAGTACGTACGTCCAGCTGCACGATCCGCAAGCCACACTATATACTCCTTGGTACTCCAAAGTAATTTTTTGTTTTGGGTTTCTTAATATTGCTCCAATGGTATGATCAGGTTTGTATGCCGTAGATATCTCGTGTTTCCGTAATATCCAGCCGATTCTGTCAGTAAGCCCCTTGATGTATGGCAGAACAGCGATCGATCCCTCTTGGGTTTCGTCCTGCACACTCTGTTGCGGCTGCTGTTGTTTGCTTATTGCCCTGCTGATGGTGCACCTTTGGTATCCGCTTTGCCGACAACTGGTACTAATTTTTTTCTGTTCATCATCTCTGTTCTTCTCTTTCGTAAACCTGAAGGACCGAGCAATTAATGTGTTTGCCACTGCCTGTTGCGCCACTAAAAAAATCTCCTTCCTCGCCTCGAACTATCAGCTTCAGTTTTGGTCGCTGATTTAATTTCTTTCATCGGAGTCAGCTAGTGTGACCTAGGTTTTGAATCCATTTTCGCATGGTCTGACTAAATGGTAGCTCTTGGTTGGATAAGAGCACCTCCATATAAATGGAAAACCTACATTTCCAGTCGCGTGTCGCACATTCGAAATATTCTTCTCCTAACTTCTTGGAGATTTGTCACATCACAATCTAAACCAGGTGATATTGCATCACGTGGTATGTTGCCGAAAGAGCTATTGAATAATTCTATGCGGTGGTACGGCCCATAGTGGCTTTGTTGTTCGTCTGACCAATGACCGAACAATCCCACTCCTACTCTCGACTCGCCAGATATTGGGAAAGAGGAATCAAAAAAGCATGTTTGCTCTACGACTTCTCAACAAAAGTTCATCCCTTTTTTGAATTTCAGAAAATTCTTGGTCATGTCACTTATGTTTTGCGTTTCATAGATGTGGAAATAAAAATACATGATACTTCAGTGATTACTGAAATTGAATTATATAACTCATTACTCGTCTTTGTTCTAATCATTCAACAGCAATGTTTTCGGCAGGAATTTGATCTTGTTTCCAAAGGTGTCTTGTAATTGACACTCAGGGTATCCTCAGGGTGGGCGGAAGGCTAATTATGTCATATGAGCAAAAACACCATACTCTCTTACACTTGCACCACAAAGTGACAGATATTGTAGTCTGTTATTATCACAATAAATACATTCATCCAGGTTTTCAAACTATCTTATTTGTGGCTACAACATTTTTGGATTATTGCTTCGAAACAAGTTATCAGGTGGAATTTGTCTCGATGTTACCGCTGTTTCCGAGCAAGCCCTAAACCATACATTCCTCGTATGGTAATTTTGCCCTCTTATGGCATCTCACAACTCAAACTCAAACCATTTCAGTGTGTTCCTGTCGAAATGGCAGGTCCTTTCAAATCACCAAGCATCGCATCACAGACAAGAGCATATCCTTGTCTTTTCATCTGCTGTTGAGTTCGTGCTATCCACCTTGAATTAGTTTCGGGTTTATCAACTGATGCATTTTTAGCAGCATTGCGACGAATTATTGCTCGCCCAGGAAAACTTTCTGCTCTCCACAGTGACTGTGGAGCGACTTTTTATCTGCCTCAAAATACATAGCCAATAACATCTCCGATGCAGCTAGAGAAAAGCAGATCTCTTGATCATTTAATCCTCCCTCTAGTTCACAATTAGGTGACTTGTGGGAAGCCGTCGTCAAAAGCGTCAAAAAACACCTAGTACGCGTCGTAGGTGACCTCATCATGACCTACGAACAACTCAATACATTTTTTGTTCAAATAGAAGCAATTGTTAAGGCGAGACCAATATGTTCTATTTGTAACGGTCCCAATGACATGAGTTGTATTTCACCAGGCCACTTCTTGATGTTGGCCCCAGTGTCAGCACTTCCTGACTCTGATCTTCTTCAAACGTGTGAAGACTAGACCGTTGGCAGCTAATCTTGCAAATGCAGCAGAACTTTTGGTGCCGATGGCGCAATGAATATCTCACAAGCCTCAACCAACGTAATAAATGGTGCCACAATCACCCCAATCTTGATGTTGGTTGGTGGTCCTAAAGGAAGAAAACACTCCACGTCTTTAAGAGACCTGTCGCAGAACTCTGCCCTCTACCAAATCACCAATAACTGGGTAAACACATTTTTCACCGTACCGGTGAAGCGTGAAATCGGTCGCTCTGACCGTGTGGTTCAAAAAGTGCCGTTGAACGCATCGGAACCGTAGGCGTAGTGATTCCCCCAAATTCTCTTAGGCACATGGGACGCAGCATGGGCCACCCCTTTGATAAGGAGGACCATCAAATCGATGTAGGGTCAGTTAAGTTTCGCAAAAGAAATAGAGTAATTTGATCCTTTCGCTTTCGCGACTTCTTGCTATGCCAACTTCGGTCAAAGTCCGTTTCCTCGCGGACAAATCAGTTCGGGTTGATATTAATGTCTAATCATCCCTAATCCCTAATTTATCTTTATAATTTTTTCACAATACCTTCAAAGGACGTCAAATTACCCCGATATTCCTACTTTTTAATATGGTTAGCCGTTTTCAAATATTTAGTACCAATTATGTAATTATTGAAGTAGTAAAAGGGGGATCGAAATAATCTTCTTTCGTTCTTGACACGTCAGTTTTTTTAGGCAAGGGATTACGATGAATTTAAATAAGATATTTTTAATGCAATAAAAATTTAGAAAAATTGAACTAATTAAAACAGTTGGCAAACAAGAGACTTTGACAAGGATCAAATAAGTGCATGAAGATGCGTAGCGCTTGGTCAGATAAAAAAATGGCAATCTTGATAATTAGAAATGAATTATTCCTGTCAACAGAGATGTTGTATAATTTTTTTAATGGTTTTATAGTATATTATGCGACAAGTGCGGTAAACAGCATTTGAGTCATAAGTTTATTTGGCCCGAGCGGAGCGAGTGTTTAATAAACAAGTTTGTTTAATAAAAAGTTTACCAAACATGCTGCATACTGTACTTTTTCCACGACCGTGCGGTAATATCACGGAAATGTCTGAAAGCGCTCGGATCCGTGGGACACGTGGTAAAGTGACGCTTTCCGGACCCTAGATCAGTGTATAATTAAGTATTCTACAGAAGGGAGTAGAAAAAAGATTTTACTACTTAAATATGTCAATAGTTAACACAAATTGTTAATCTCCAACAATTGATTGGTGACCAGGTTGCGATTAAATCTGATTTTAAATGAGAAAATAAACAGTATAATTGAAAAAAATGAGCCTTTTATTCGACAAATTTATTAGGCAAAAATTAATGACATCCCGTAAAATTGAAAATTTTCCCAAAATCCAGCTTGTTTGTGAGCGTTAAATTCTTTTATTCATATTTTAGGTTACTATTACTTTTACTGAGTAAACTGGCAACCGACCAAGACACAATACAAATCCATAGACATCCGCATACAACATACACTAATTCAGAGAACTCTATTCAGTGCGCCTCCAACGATATGCTAATCAAAATCTAAAATTAAATAACACAATTTCTCAACGGATTGTCAACTTTACTCTCCACCATGTACCTTACAAAGAGAGAGAGCAAAAAGTATATAAGACAAAGATTTGAAATTTTCTCTGCTTTAACTATAATCAACATTAGAAGTTTTTGTAGAAACCGAGTGTAAAAGTTATGAGCTAACAATTTTTTTTTAAATTGTATTATAAATTAAACTCCGTTTTTTTTGCACAGCTCCATATATCATATTTTGAGGCTTAACTTTTGCTAATAAAATTATTGACTTAAAAAACTTTAAACTTAAAAAAAAAGGAGTTAATAAATTTTAAATTTTAAAACAAATGTATTATAAATTAAAGTACGTTTTTGTGCACAGCTGCATATATCTTATTTTAAGGTTTAACTTTTGCTAATAAAATTATTAATTTAAAAAGCTTTTAAAAAACGAGTTAATAAATTTTTAATTTTGAAACAATTGTAACATAAATTAAAGTCCGTTTTTTTGCACAGCTCCATATATTTTATTTTAAGGCTTAACTTTTGCTAATAAAATTATTAACTTAAAAAACTTTTAAAAAACGAGTTAATACATTTTAAATTTTAAAACAATTGTATCATAAATTATATTAAATTAAAAAAATGAGTTATAAAATTTTAAATTTTAAAACAATTGTATTATAAATGAAAGTCCGTTCTTGTGCACAGCTCCATATACCATATTTTAAGGCTTAACTTTTGCTAATAAAATTATTAATTTAAAAAACTTTTAAAAAACGAGTTAATAAATTTTAAATTTTGAAACAATTGTATCATAAATTAAAATCCGTTTTTTTTGCACAGCTCCATATATCATATTTTAAGGCTTAACTTTTGCTAATAAAATTATTAATTTAAAAAACTTTTAAAAAACGAGTTAATAAATTTTAAATTTTAAAATAATTGTATCATAAATTGAAGTCCATTTTTTGCACAGCTCCCTATATCATATTTTAAGGCTTAACTTTTGCTAATAAAATTATTAATTTATAAAACTTAGAAAAAATGAATTAATAAATTTTAAAACAACGTATTATAAATTAAAGTTCGTTTTTTGCACAGCTCCATATATCCTATTTTGGAGCTTAACTTTTTGTTAATAAAATTATTTCGAGATGATTTTAAGATTCCTTTTCTCTTTCTCATTACTTATAATTGACTAAGACCGCTTTTCTTTTCTTATCCCTAAAAACTTTTATTTATTATCATTTGTAACGAACATTTTAAAATCGCACGTCCATGTGTGGCCCGGCACGTCCTAGAGGTAACCGCTGCGACGACCCCCGCGCGCTACAGTGCATCAGACGAACCGCGGAGAGGTCGTACAACCCCGGAGTTCGGAATTACATAGTGGTAGTGACACATAAATTGTTTAATTTCATATACCCGCAAACCCCCACCTCACACATTTACTTTTTTAAAACTTTATGACGAAGAATAATGTCAAATTGGTAGGGAAATTAGGAAATAACGAAGTAAATTCTCCTCACATTTGTTTACTTTTCATTAATCAATCCTACATTGATCAATGCAAACAGTATTATTAGCTGCACAGTATTTTCCATTAAATATATATCCTCTGGGACAGAAGAGTGGCAACTTTTCATTGTGCGTACAATAATAGAACTTTTCGCAGCTATACATATCTCTTGCCAAATTGGCATCGTTACATGGGCTTATTGTCTGTACACATTTTGCAAATGTCTGACATTTCCCTGTCTTGGTATCGAATTTTTTCTTACCTAAAAATTAAATTTTAAACGTTATATAATTATAAATTATCGAACAACATATTCTATTTTTCATTTTGTGTTTATTCGGATTTAAACTTACCCAAACAAGTTCTTATCGTTAACAAATACGTTTTTGTTTTTTTGTCAAAACGACAGTGATAATATTTTGAGCAATCTTCTGGTACTGGAAAAATTCCAGGTCCGGTACAGGATCTACAAAAATATGTAGGGGAAATGGAAGTACTCATCACCGTAGCTCATAAAGCTCATAAGGCATTAGTTTTAAATTATATTTTATACTTACAACGCGTAAGTTCCTATTAGACTTTGATGAAAAGAATGACTTAAAATAAAAATCATGGAATTTGATCGTTTATACTGAGCTATTTATTGGAAAAATTTATTTATTGGTTATCAAACTAACCTTATTCTTGGAAAAGTTTTAATACTGTTGAAACCTCTGCTTGCAACGCTATATGAGCATTCCGCCACATTTTCTGGAAGATCGCAACGTTGCTTCTTAGCATTGAATTTCAAGCAAAGGGGACAAGTCATTATTGATGAGACTACCACACTGCCGCATTTGTTACTAAATGCGCAATGATAGTAATTGCTACAAGATCGATTCATACGAAAATATCCTTCGAAGCTACAGGGTGTATCTGAAACACTTTTATTATTGGTTTACGTATTATTACCTATCTAGATGTTTACTAGTTTTAAGCAGGACCCTTCGTTAGTTTTAGTTAGAAGAAACTTAAGTAAACTTTTTAAAATATATTGGGTACTCAATTTGATAGAAAATCGTTAAGTCTACAATATTTTGATTTCAGGGAACCACTGCTTGAAAGTCTATTATTCAGCAAAGTTTTGAGCAGAAATATGAAGAACAAGTATTTTTTTTCCTATATGTCACCTGTGTAAACTGTAGAACTTTACTCGATCTTATCAGATTCTTCACCAGAATATTTTTTGTGCTATCAAATAGGTCATGAGCAAATGAAAATAAGATGGCGCAAAATAGCATTGTTTGTCACTAGTTGTTTGTTCTTGAAATAATTTTTATGTGTGAATACAAACTTATCCTAAGCTCTGTACATAAGTTACTTGTACGTATTAGGCCAAGGGCTTTAATTATTAACAAAAAATTGGTAGTAGTGAGTAATATTTGATGTAGCTACAGTATCTAAAAAATTTTGTCGAAACATCGATACAAAAGTTTATGATTAAAAGTAGTAGCAAAACCGAAATAGAGACCAGAACTCGATCGAGAGGTGTTGAACTATAAGGGTGAGTGTTTTGAGCATTTTATACAGTGTTTTCCTGGTTTTGTAGGCAATTCGTTGCCAGATATTCAGTTATAAATTAAACAATCAAAATTCGCTACTAGAGTTACCTACGTTTACCCAAAATTAAATCCGAATCAAATACAAAGCAACAAACCCATTATCAATATTATAAAGTTGGCTGAAGAAGCCAAAGATGGTAACCTACCATATGTAGGAAAATGACAGATTTGCTTGCCCGGCCCCTGAAAATCCTTTAAAATAGGTGCAGTAGGTCTAAGCACTGATGTCGTAACTGCAGAATCTAGTACCTCAGAATATCCCTTGTCACCACGCTTATACGTAGGTATAGTTTCGATTGTTGTAGTTGAAGTCGGTGGTACCAACAACATCGTGTCTGTAGCCTGAACTCTCCTCGATTGGCCGTCGGCATGTGGCTTATACCTAGAGATGGTTTCGGTTGGTTTAGTTGAAGTCGTAGGTAACGACAACGTATCTGGAATTTCTGCTACCCCTAATTGTCCGTCATCATTTGGCTTAGAGGTAAGGATGGTTTCAGTTGTTGTAGTTGAAATCGTAGGTACTGATGACATTTTCGGAATTTCTAACACCCCCGATTGTTCGTTGTCATATCGCTTATAGGTAGGAGAGATGGTTTCGGTGTTTGAAGTTAGAGTCGCAGATTCCGAAGATATTTCTGGAATGTTTGTTATCCTTGACTGTCTTTCACCACTTGACTTATACGCAGGGATAATTTCTGTTCTCGTAGTTAAAGTCGCTGATATCGACAACCTTTCTAGAATGCCTAACACTCTTGTTGGCCTGTCATCAATTAGCCGATACGTATCGAGAGTCTCAACCAACCTCGCGTTTCCGTCTCCACTTAGCTCATGGGCACGGATGGTTTCGGTTGTGGTAGTTGACGCCGCTGATACCGACGACGTGTCTCGAATTTCTGCCACTCTGAATAGTCCGTCGACACTTGGCTTATAGCTAATGATGGTTTCTGTTGTTGTAGTTAATGTTGCTGGTACCGATAGCGTTTCTGGAATATCTACTACTCCCAATAGTCCGTCGCTGATTGGCTTATAAGTGACAGCGAAGCTTTTGGTTGTTGTTGTTGGCGTGTCTGGCACCAACAATGTTCCCGGGATCTCTACCACCCTCAATTGTCTGTCGCTAATTGGTTCATAGTTGGCAGAAAGAGTTTCAGTTGTGGTTGTTAACGCTGCTGGTACCGACGACTTTCCTAGAATCTCTACCACTCTCAATTGTTCATCATTACTTGGCTTATAGACGGCAGGGATGGTTTCGGTTGTTGCTGTTGACATTTCTGACACCGACGATGTTCCCGGAATTTCTACAACCCACAATTGTCCGTCGTTATTTGTCTTATAGGTGGCAGGAAGAATTTCAGTTGTTGTAGATGACGTTGTTAGTAACGTTGACGTTTCTGGAATCTCTACCACCCTGAATTGTCCGTCGCTACTTGGATTAAAGGTGGCAGGTATGGTTTCGGTTATTGTTGTTGACGTTTCTGGTACAGACGACGTTCCTGGTATCTCTACTACCCTCAATTCTCTGTCGCTACTTGGTCTATAGGTGGCAGGGATATTTTCGGTTGTTGTTGTTGACGTTTCTGGTCCCGACGACGTTCCCGAAATCTCTATAACCCTCAATTGTCCGTCGTTATTTGGTTTATAGGTGGCAGGGATGGTTTCGGTTGTTGTTGACGTTTCTGGTACCGTCGATGTTCGCGGAATCTCTACAACCCTCAATTGTCCGTCGCTACTTGTCTTGTAGATGGCAGAAAGTTTTTCAGTTGTGGTACTTGACGCTGCTGGTAACGACGACGTTCCTAGAATCTCCACTACCCTCAATTGTCCGTCGCTACTTGGTTTATAGGTGGCGCGGATGATTTCGGTTGTTGTTGTTGACGTTTCTGGTACCGACGATGTTCGCGGAATCTCTACAACCCTCAATTGTCCGTCGCTACTTGTCTTATAGATGGCAGGAAGTTTTTCAGTTGTGGTACTTGACGTTGCTGGTAGCGACGACGTTCCTAGAATCTCCACTACCCTCAATTGTTCGTCGCTAGTTGGCTTATAAGTGGCAGGGATGGTTTCGGTTGTTGTTGTTGACGTTTCTGGTACCGACGATATTCCCAAAATCTCCATACCCCTCAATTGTCCGTCGCTGCTTAGTTTAAAGGTGGCTGGGATGGTTTCAGTTGTTGTTGATTTTTCTGGTACCGACGACGTTTCCGGAATCTCTACAATACTCAAATGTCCGTCGCTACTTGTCTTATAGATGGCAGGAATGGTTTCGGTTGTTGTTGTTGACATTTCTGGTACGGACGACGTTCCCGAAATTTCTACCACCCTCAATGGTCCCTCGTTACTTATCTTATAGATGGCAGGAAGGCTTTCAGTTGTGGTAGTTGACGCTGCTGGTATCGACGACGTTCCCGGACTCTCTACCACACTCATTTGTCCATCGCTACTTGGCCCGTAGGTGGCAGGGATGGTTTCAGTTGTTGTAGATGACGTTTCTGGTACCGACGACGTTTCCGAAATATCTATAACCCTCAATTGTCCGTCGCTACTGGGTATAAAGGTGGCAGGAATGGTTTCGGTTGTTGTTGAAGTTTCTGGTACCGACGACGTTCCTGGAAACTCTACCACCCTCAATTGTCCGTCGCTACTTGGTTCATATATGGTAGGGATGATTTCGGCTTTTGTTGTTGACGTTTCTGGTCCCGATGACGTTCCCGAAATCTCTACCATTCTCAACTGTCGGTCGCTACTTGTCTTATAGATGGCAGGAAAGGTTTCAGTTGTGGGACTTGACGCTGCTGGTACTGAAGACGTTCCTGGACTCTCTACTACCCTTAGTTGTCCGTCGCTGCTTGGTTTATAGGTGGCAGAGATGGTTTCGGTTATTGTTGACGTTTCTGGTACCGATGACGTTCCCGCAATTTCTATAGCCCTCAATTGTCCGTCACTACTTGCTTTATAGGTGAGAAGGATTGTTTCCGTTGTTGATGTTGACTTTTTTGGTACCGACGACGTTCCCGAAATCTCCATAATACCCAATTGTCCGTCGCTACTTGGTTCATAGGTGACAGGGATGGTTTCAGTTGTTGTTGTCGACGTTTCTGTTACTGTAAAAGTTCCCGGAATCTCTACCACCCTCAATTGTCCGTCGCTATTTGGATTAAAGATGGCAGAAATGGTTTCGGTTATTGTTGTTGACGTTTCTGGTACAAACGATGTTCCTGAAATCTCTACCACTCTCAACCGTCCGTCGCTACTTGGCTCATATGTGGCAGAGATGGTTTCAGTTGTTGCTGTTGACGTTTCTGGTACCGACGATGTTCCTGAAATCTCCATAATACCCAATTGTCCGTCGCTACTTGGTTCATAGGTGGCAGGGATGGTTTCAGTTGTTGTTGTCGACGTTTCTGTTACTGTAAAAGTTCCCGAAATCTTTACCACACTCAATTGTTCGTCGCTACTTGGATTAAAGGTGGCAGGGATGGTTTCGGTTATTGTTGTTGACGTTTCTGGTACAGACGACGTTCCTGGTATCTCTACTACCCTCAATTGTCCGTCGCTACTTGGTTTATAGGTGACAGGGATGGTTTCGGTTGTTGTTGTGGACGTTTCTGGTACCGACGATGTTCCTGAAATCTCTAAAACCCTCAATTGCCCGTCGCTACTTGATTTACAGGTGGCAGCGATGGTTTCAGTTGTTGTTGTCGATGTTTCTGGTACCGTCGAAGTTCCCGGAATCTCTGCCACCCTCCATTGTCCTTCGCTAATTGGTTCATAGGTGGCAGAAAGAGTTTCAGTTGTGGTTGTTGACGCTGCTGGTAGCGACGACGTTCCTAGAATCTCTACCAATCTCAATTGTCCATCATTACTTGGTTTATAGATGACAGGGATGGTTTCGGTTGTTGTTGACGTTCCTGACACCGAAGATGTTCCCGGAATTTCTACCACCCGCAATTGTCCGTCGCTATTTGTCTTATGGATGGCAGGAAGAGTTCCAGTTGTTGTAGCTGACGTTGCGGATAACGACGACGTTCCGGGAATCTCTACCACCCTCAATTGTCCGTCGCTAATTGGTTTATATGGGGGAGGGATTATTTCTGTTGTTGTTGTTGACATTTCTGATACCGACGACGTTCCCGAAATCTCTATAACACTCAATTGTCCGTCGCTACTGGGTATAAAGGTGGCAGGAATGGTTTCGGTTGTTGTTGACGTTTCTGGCACCGACCACGTTCCTGGAATCTCTACCACCCTCAATTGTCCGTCTCTCCTTAGTTCATATGTGGCAGGGATGGTTTCGGCTGTTGTTGACGTTTCTGGTTCCGACGACGTTCCTGGAATATCTACCACCCTCAATTGTCCGTCGCTACTTGGTTTATATATGGCAGGGATGGTTTCGGCTGTTATTGTTGACGTTTCTGTTCCCAACGACGTTCCCGAATTCTTTACTCCTCTCAACTGTTCGTCGCTACTTGTTTCATATATGGCAGGAAGGGTTTTTGTTGTGGTACTTGATGCTGCTGGTACCGACGACGTTCCTGGAATCTTTACCACCCTCAATTGTCCGTCGCTACTTGTATTATAGATGGCAGGAACGGTTTCATTTGTCGCACTTGACGCTGCTGGTACCGAAGACGTTCCTGGAATCTCTACTACCCTCAGTTGTCCGTCGCTGCTTGGTTTATAGTTGGCAGAGATGGTTTCGGTTGTTGTTGATGTTTCTGGTACCGATGACGTTCCCGAAAGCTCTATAGCCCTCAATTGTCCGACGCTACTTGATTTATAGGTGAGAAGGATTGTTTCCGTTGTTGATATTGACTTTTCTGGTACCGACAACGTTCCCGAAATCTCTATAATACCCAATTGTCCGTCGCTACTTGGTTCATAGGTGGCAGGGATGGTTTCAGTTGTTGTTGTTGACGTTTCTGGAAAAGACGACATTCCCGGAATCTCTACCACCCTCAATTGTCCGTCGCTAGTTCGTTTATAGGTGGCAGGGATGGCTTCGGTTGTTGTTGTTGACGTTTCTGGTCCCGACGACGTTCCCGAAATCAATACCCCTTTCATCTGTCCGTCGCTACTTGTCTCATATATGGCAGGATGGATTGCTGTTGTGGTACTTGACGCTGCCGGTACCGACGACGTTCCTGGAATCTCAACGACTCTCAGTTGTTCTTCGCTACTTGTCTTATAGATGTCAGGCACGGTTTCAGTTGTTGGACTTGACGCTGCTGATACCGAAGACGTTCCTGGAATCTCTACTACCCTCAGTTGTCCGTCGCTGCTTGGATTATAGGTGGTAGAGATGGTTTCGGTTGTTGTTGACGTTTCTGGTACCGATGACGTTCCCGAAATCTCTGTAGCCCTCAATTGTCCGTCGCTACTTGGTTTATAGGTGGCAGGGATGGTTTTGGTTGTCATTGTTGACGTTTCTAGTACCGACGACGTTCCCGAATTCTTTACCCCTCTCAACTGTTTGTCGCTACTTGTTTCATATATGGCAGGAAGGGTTTTCGTTGTGGTACTTGGTGCTGCTGGTACCGACGACGTTCCTGGAATCTCTACCACTTTCAATTGTCCGTCGCCACTTGTCTTATAGATGGCAGGAAAGGTTTCATTTGTGGCACTTAACGGTGCTGGTACCGAAGGCGTTCCTGGAATCTCTACTACCCTCAGTTGTCCTTCGCTACTTGTTTTATAGGTGGCAGAGATGGTCTCGGTTGTTGTTGATGTTTGATATGTGGCAGGGATGGTTTCAGTTGTAGTTGTTGATGTTTGTGATACCGTCGAAGTTTCCTTAATCTCTACCACACTCAATTGTCCGTCGCTAAAGGTGGCTGGAACAGTCTCAGTTTTTGTTGTTGATGTTCCTGGTACCGACGACATTCCTGGTATCTCTACTACCCTCAATTGTCTGTCGCTGCTTGGTTTATAGGTGGCAGGGATGGTTTTGGTTGTCGTTGTTGACGTTTCCGGTATCGACGACGTTCCTGTAATCTTTACCACCCTCAATTGTCCGTCGCTACTTGTATTATAGATGGCAGGAACGGTTTCAGTTGTGGCACTTGACGCTGCTGGCACCGAAGGCGTTCCTGGAATCTCTACTACCCTCAGTTGTCCGTCGCTACTTGTCTCATATATGGCAGGATGGATTGTTGTTGTGGTACTTGACGCTGCCGGTACCGACGACATTCCCGGAATATCTACCACCCTCAATTGTCCGTCGCTACTTCGTTTATAGGTGGCAGGGATGGCTTCGGTTGTTGTTGACGTTTCTGGTCCCGACGACGTTCCCGAAATCAATACCCCTCTCAACTGTCCGTCGCTACTTGTCTCATATATGGCAGGATGGATTGTTGTTGTGGCACTTGACGCTGCCGGTACCGACGACGTTCCTGGAATCTCTACCACTCTCAGATGACCGTCGCTACTTGGTTTATAGGTGGCAGTGATGGTTTCGGTTGTTGTTGACGTTCCTGGTACCGATGACGTTCCCGAAATCTCTGTAGCCCTCAATTGTCCGTCGCTACTTGGTTTATAGGTGGCAGGGATGGTTTTGGTTGTCATTGTTGACGTTTCTGGTACCGACGACGTTCCCGAATTCTTTACCCCTCTCAACTGTTTGTCGCTACTTGTTTCATATATGGCAGGAAGGGTTTTTGTTGTGGTACTTGGTGCTGCTGGTACCGACGACGTTCCTGGAATCTCCACCACTCTCAGTTGTCCGTCGTTACTTGGTTTATAGGTGGCAGTGATGGTTTCGGTTGTTGTTGTTGACGTTTCTGGTACCGACGACGTTCCCGAAATCTCTACCACTCTCAATTGTCCGTCGCTACTTGTCTCATATATGGCAGGATGGATTGTTGTTGTGGTACTTGACGCTGCCGGTACCGACGACGTTCCTGGAATCTCTACCACTCTCAGTTGTCCGTCGCTACTTGGTTTATAGGTGGCAGTGATGGTTTCGGTTGTTGTTGACGTTTCTGGTACCGATGACGTTCCCGAAATCTCTGTAGCCCTCAATTGTCCGTCGCTACTTGGTTTATAGGTGGCAGGGATGGTTTTGGTTGTCATTGTTGACGTTTCTGGTACCGACGACGTTCCCGAATTCTTTACCCCTCTCAACTGTTTGTCGCTACTTGTTTCATATATGGCAGGAAGGGTTTTTGTTGTGGTACTTGATGCTGCTAGTACCGACGACGTTCCTGGAATCTCTACCACTCTCAGTTGTCCGTCGCTACTTAGTTTATAGGTGGCAGTGATGGTTTCGGTTGTTGTTGTTGACGTTTCTGGTACCGACGACGTTCCCGAAATCTCTACCACTCTCAATTGTCCGTCGCTACTTGTCTCATATATTTCAGGATGGATTGTTGTTGTGGTACTTGACGCTGCCGATACCGACGACGTTCCTGGAATCTCTACCACTCTCAGTTGTCCGTCGCTACTTGGTTTATAGGTGGCAGTGATGGTTTCGGTTGTTGTTGTTGACGTTTCTGGTACCGACGACGTTCCCGAAATCTCTACCACTCTCAATTGTCCGTCGCTACTTGTCTCATATATGGCAGGATGGATTGTTGTTGTGGTACTTGACGCTGCCGGTACCGACGACGTTCCTGGAATCTCTACCACTCTCAGTTGTCCGTCGCTACTTGGTTTATAGGTGGCAGTGATGGTGTCGGTTGTTGTTGTTGACGTTTCTGGTACCGACGACGTTCCCAAAATGTCTACCACTCTCAATTGTCCGTCGCTACTTGTCTCATATTTGGCAGGATGGATTGTTGTTATGGTACTTGACGCTGCCGGTACCGACGACGTTCCTGGAATCTCTACCACTCTCAGTTGTCCGTCGCTACTTGGTTTATAGGTGGCAGGGATGGTTTTGGTTGTCATTGTTGACGTTTCTGGTACCGACGACGTTCCCGAATTCTTTACCCCTCTCAACTGTTTGTCGCTACTTGTTTCATATATGGCAGGAAGGGTTTTTGTTGTGGTACTTGGTGCTGCTGGTACCGACGACGTTCCTGGAATCTCCACCACTCTCAGTTGTCCGTCGTTACTTGGTTTATAGGTGGCAGTGATGGTTTCGGTTGTTGTTGTTGACGTTTCTGGTACCGACGACGTTCCCGAAATCTCTACCACTCTCAATTGTCCGTCGCTACTTGTCTCATATATGGCAGGATGGATTGTTGTTGTGGTACTTGACGCTGCCGGTACCGACGACGTTCCTGGAATCTCTACCACTCTCAGTTGTCCGTCGCTACTTGGTTTATAGGTGGCAGTGATGGTTTCGGTTGTTGTTGACGTTTCTGGTACCGATGACGTTCCCGAAATCTCTGTAGCCCTCAATTGTCCGTCGCTACTTGGTTTATAGGTGGCAGGGATGGTTTTGGTTGTCATTGTTGACGTTTCTGGTACCGACGACGTTCCCGAATTCTTTACCCCTCTCAACTGTTTGTCGCTACTTGTTTCATATATGGCAGGAAGGGTTTTTGTTGTGGTACTTGATGCTGCTAGTACCGACGACGTTCCTGGAATCTCTACCACTCTCAGTTGTCCGTCGCTACTTAGTTTATAGGTGGCAGTGATGGTTTCGGTTGTTGTTGTTGACGTTTCTGGTACCGACGACGTTCCCGAAATCTCTACCACTCTCAATTGTCCGTCGCTACTTGTCTCATATATTTCAGGATGGATTGTTGTTGTGGTACTTGACGCTGCCGATACCGACGACGTTCCTGGAATCTCTACCACTCTCAGTTGTCCGTCGCTACTTGGTTTATAGGTGGCAGTGATGGTTTCGGTTGTTGTTGTTGACGTTTCTGGTACCGACGACGTTCCCGAATTCTTTACCCCTCTCAACTGTTTATCGCTACTTGTTTCATATATGGCAGGAAGGGTTTTTGTTGTGGTACTTGGTGCTGCTGTTACCGAAGACGTTCTTGGAATCTCTACTACCCTCAGTTTTCCTTCGCTACTTGTTTTATAGGTGGCACAGATGGTCTCGGTTGTTGTTGATGTTTGATATGTGGCAGGGATGGTTTCAGTTGTAGTTGTTGATGTTTGTGATACCGTCGAAGTTCCCGTAATCTCTACCACAATCAATTGTCCATCGCTAAAGGTGGCTGGAACGGTCTCAGTTGTTGTTGTTGATGTTCCTGGTACCGACGACATTCCTGGTATATCTACTACCCTCAATTGTCTGTCGTTGCTTGGTTTATAGGTGGCAGGGATGGTTTTGGTTGTCGTTGTTGACGTTTCCGGTATCGACGACGTTCCTGGAATCTTTACCACCCTCAATTGTCCGTCGCTATTTGTAATATAGATGGCAGGAACGGTTTCAGTTGTGGCACTTGACGCTGCTGGCACCGAAGACGTTCCTGGAATCTCTACTACCCTCAGTTGTCCGTCGCTACTTGGTTTATAGTTGGCAGAGATGGTTTCGGTTGTTGTTGACGTTTCTGGTACCGATGACGTTCCCGAAATCTCTATAGTCCTCAATTGTCCGTCGCTACTTGATTTATAGTTGAGAAGGATTGTTTCCGTTGTTGTTGTTGACGTTTCTGGTACCGACGACGTTCCCGAAATCTCTACCCCTTTCAACTGTCCGTCGCTACTTGTCTCATATATGGCAGGATGGATTGTTGTTGTGGTACTTGACGCTGCCGGTACCGACGACGTTCCTGGAATCTCCACCACTCTCAGTTGTCCGTCGTTACTTGGTTTATAGGTGGCAGTGATGGTTTCGGTTGTTGTTGTTGACGTTTCTGGTACCGACGACGTTCCCGAAATCTCTACCACTCTCAATTGTCCGTCGCTACTTGTCTCATATATGGCAGGATGGATTGTTGTTGTGGTACTTGACGCTGCCGGTACCGACGACGTTCCTGGAATCTCTACCACTCTCAGTTGTCCGTCGCTACTTGGTTTATAGGTGGCAGTGATGGTGTCGGTTGTTGTTGTTGACGTTTCTGGTACCGACGACGTTTCCGAAATCTCTACCACTCTCAATTGTCCGTCGCTACTTGTCTCATATATGGCAGGATGGATTGTTGTTGTGGTACTTGACGCTGCCGGTACCGACGACGTTCCTGGAATCTCTACCACTCTCAGTTGTCCGTCGCTTCTTGGTTTATAGGTGGCAGTGATGGTTTCGGTTGTTGTTGACGTTTCTGGTACCGATGACGTTCCCGAAATCTCTGTAGCCCTCAATTGTCCGGCGCTACTTGGTTTATAGGTGGCAGGGATGGTTTTGGTTGTCATTGTTGACGTTTCTGGTACCGACGACGTTCCCGAATTCTTTACCCCTCTCAACTGTTTGTCGCTACTTGTTTCATATATGGCAGGAAGGGTTTTTGTTGTGGTACTTGGTGCTGCTGGTACCGACGACGTTCCTGGAATCTCTACCACTCTCAGTTGTCCGTCGTTACTTGGTTTATAGGTGGCAGTGATGGTTTCGGTTGTTGTTGTTGACGTTTCTGGTACCGACGACGTTCCCGAAATCTCTACCACTCTCAATTGTCCGTCGCTACTTGTCTCATATATGGCAGGATGGATTGTTGTTGTGGTACTTGACGCTGCCGGTACCGACGACGTTCCTGGAATCTCTACCACTCTCAGTTGTCCGTCGCTTCTTGGTTTATAGGTGGCAGTGATGGTTTCGGTTGTTGTTGACGTTTCTGGTACCGATGACGTTCCCGAAATCTCTGTAGCCCTCAATTGTCCGGCGCTACTTGGTTTATAGGTGGCAGGTATGGTTTTGGTTGTCATTGTTGACGTTTCTGGTACCGACGACGTTCCCGAATTCTTTACCCCTCTCAACCGTTTGTCGCTACTTGTTTCATATATGGCAGGAAGGGTTTTTGTTGTGGTACTTGATGCTGCTGGTACCGACGACGTTCCTGGAATCTCTACCACTCTCAGTTGTCCGTCGCTACTTGGTTTATAGGTGGCAGTGATGGTTTCGGTTGTTGTTGTTGACGTTTCCCGTACCGACGACGTCCCCGAAATCTCTACCACTCTCAATTGTCCGTCGCTACTTGTCTCATATATGGCAGGATGGATTGTTGTTGTGGTACTTGACGCTGCCGATACCGACGACGTTCCTGGAATCTCTACCACTCTCAATTGTCCGTCGCTACTTGTCTCATATATGGCAGGATGGATTGTTGTTGTGGTACTTGACGCTGCCGGTACCGACGACGTTCCTGAAATCTCTACCACTCTCAGTTGTCCGTCGCTACTTGGTTTATAGGTGGCAGTGATGGTTTCGGTTGTTGTTGTTGACGTTTCTGGTACCGACGACGTTCCCGAAATCTCTACCACTCTCAATTGTCCGTCGCTACTTGTCTCATATTTGGCAGGATGGATTGTTGTTATGGTACTTGACGCTGCCGGTACCGACGGCGTTCCTGGAATCTCTACCACTCTCAGTTGTCCGTCGCTACTTGGTTTATAGGTGGCAGTGATGGTTTCGGTTGTTGTCGTTGACGTTTCTGGTACCGACGACGTTCCCGAAATCTCTACCACTCTCAATTGTCCGTCGCTACTTGTCTCATATATGGCAGGATGGATTGTTGTTGTGGTACTTGACGCTGCCGGTACCGACGACGTTCCTGGAATCTCTACCACTCTCAGTTGTCCGTCGCTTCTTGGTTTATAGGTGGCAGTGATGGTTTCGGTTGTTGTTGACGTTTCTGGTACCGATGACGTTCCCGAAATCTCTGTAGCCCTCAATTGTCCGTCGCTACTTGGTTTATAGGTGGCAGGGATGGTTTTGGTTGTCATTGTTGACGTTTCTGGTACCGACGACGTTCCCGAATTCTTTACCCCTCTCAACTGTTTATCGCTACTTGTTTCGTATATGGCAGGAAGGGTTTTTGTTGTGGTACTTGGTGCTGCTGGTACCGACGACGTTCCTGGAATCTCTACCACTTTCAATTGTCCTTCGCTACTTGTCTTATAGATGGCAGGAAAGGTTTCATTTGTGGCACTTAACGGTGCTGGTACCGAAGGCGTTCTTGGAATCTCTACTACCCTCAGTTGTCCTTCGCTACTTGTTTTATAGGTGGCAGAGATGGTCTCGGTTGTTGTTGATGTTTGATATGTGGCAGGGATGGTGTCAGTTGTAGTTGTTGATGTTTGTGATACCGTCGAAGTTCCCGTAATCTCTACCACACTCAATTGTCCATCGCTAAAGGTGGCTGGAACGGTCTCAGTTGTTGTTGTTGATGTTCCTGGTACCGACGACATTCCTGGAATCTCTACTACCCTCAATTGTCTATCGTTGCTTGCTTTATAGGTGGCAGGGATGCTTTTGGTTGTCGTTGTTGACGTTTCCGGTATCGACGACGTTCCTGGAATCTTTACCACCCTCAATTGTCCGTCGCTATTTGTATTATAGATGGCAGGAACGGTTTCAGTTGTGGCACTTGACGCTGCTGGCACCGAAGACGTTCCTGGAATCTCTACTACCCTCAGTTGTCCGTCGCTACTTGGTTTATAGTTGGCAGAGATGGTTTCGGTTGTTGTTGACGTTTCTGGTACCGATGACGTTTCCGAAATCTCTATAGTCCTCAATTGTCCGTCGCTACTTGATTTATAGTTGAGAACGATTGTTTCCATTGTTGTTGTTGACGTTTCTGATACCGACGACGTTCCCGAAATCTCTACCCCTTTCAACTGTCCGTCGCTACTTGTCTCATATATGGCAGGATGGATTGTTGTTGTGGTACTTGACGCTGCCGGTACCGACGACGTTCCTGGAATCTCTACCACTCTCAGTTGTTCTTCGCTACTTGTCTTATAGATGTCAGGAACAGTTTCAGTTGTGGCACTTGACGCTGCTGGTACCGAAGACGTTCCTGGAATCTCTACTACCCTCAGTTGTCCATCGCTACTTGGTTTATAGGTGGCAATGATGGTTTCGGTTGTTGTTGACGTTTCTGGTACCGATGACGTTCCCGAAATCTCTGTAGCCCTCAATTGTCCGTCGCTACTTGGTTTATAGGTGGCAGGGATGGTTTTGGTTGTCATTGTTGACGTTTCTGGTACCGACGACGTTCCCGAATTCTTTACCCCTCTCAACTGTTTGTCGCTACTTGTTTCATATATGGCTGGAAGGGTTTTCGTTGTGGTACTTGGTGCTGCTGGTACCGACGACGTTCCTGGAATCTCTACCACTTTCAATTGTCCGTCGCTACTTGTCTTATAGATGGCAGGAAAGGTTTCATTTGTGGCACTTAACGGTGCTGGTACCGAAGGCGTTCCTGGAATCTCTACTACCCTCAGTTGTCCTTCGCTACTTGTTTTATAGGTGGCAGAGATGGTCTCGGTTGTTGTTGATGTTTGATATGTGGCAGGGATGGTTTCAGTTGTAGTTGTTGATGTTTGTGATACCGTCGAAGTTTCCTTAATCTCTACCACACTCAATTGTCCGTCGCTAAAGGTGGCTGGAACAGTCTCAGTTTTTGTTGTTGATGTTCCTGGTACCGACGACATTCCTGGTATCTCTACTACCCTCAATTGTCTGTCGCTGCTTGGTTTATAGGTGGCAGGGATGGTTTTGGTTGTCGTTGTTGACGTTTCCGGTATCGACGACGTTCCTGGAATCTTTACCACCCTCAATTGTCCGTAGCTACTTGTCTTATAGATGGCAGGAAAGGTTTCATTTGTGGCACTTAACGGTGCTGGTACCGAAGGCGTTCCTGGAATCTCTACTACCCTCAGTTGTCCTTCGCTACTTGTTTTATAGGTGGCAGAGATGGTCTCGGTTGTTGTTGATGTTTGATATGTGGCAGGGATGGTTTCAGTTGTAGTTGTTGATGTTTGTGATACCGTCGAAGTTTCCTTAATCTCTACCACACTCAATTGTCCGTCGCTAAAGGTGGCTGGAACGGTCTCAGTTTTTGTTGTTGATGTTCCTGGTACCGACGACGTTCCTGGTATCTCTACTACCCTCAATTGTCTGTCGCTGCTTGATTTATAGGTGGCAGGGATGGCTTCGGTTGTTGTTGTTGACGTTTCTGGTCCCGACGACGTTCCCGAAATCAATACCCCTCTCAACTGTCCGTCGCTACTTGTCTCATATATGGCAGGATGGATTGTTGTTGTGGCACTTGACGCTGCCGGTACCGACGACGTTCCTGGAATCTCTACCACTCTCAGTTGTCCGTCGCTACTTGGTTTATAGGTGGCAGTGATGGTTTCGGTTGTTGTTGACGTTTCTGGTACCGATGACGTTCCCGAAATCTCTGTAGCCCTTAATTGTCCGTCGCTACTTGGTTTATAGGTGGCAGGGATGGTTTTGGTTGTCATTGTTGACGTTTCTGGTACCGACGACGTTCCCGAATTCTTTACCCCTCTCAACTGTTTGTCGCTACTTCTTTCATATATGGCAGGAAGGGTTTTTGTTGTGGTACTTGGTGCTGCTGGTACCGACGACGTTCCTGGAATCTCTACCACTCTCAGTTGTCCGTCGTTACTTGGTTTATAGGTGGCAGTGATGGTTTCGGTTGTTGTTGTTGACGTTTCTGGTACCGACGACGTTCCCGAAATCTCTACCACTCTCAATTGTCCGTCGCTACTTGTCTCATATATGGCAGGATGGATTGTTGTTGTAGTACTTGACGCTGCCGGTACCGACGACGTTCCTGGAATCTCTACCACTCTCAGTTGTCCGTCGCTACTTGGTTTATAGGTGGCAGTGATGGTTTCGGTTGTTGTTGACGTTTCTGGTACCGACGACGTTCCTGGAATCTCTACCACTCTCAGTTGTCCGTCGCTACTTGGTTTATAGGTGGCAGGGTCGGTTTTGGTTGTCATTGTTGACGTTTCTGGTACCGACGACGTTCCCGAATTCTTTACCCCTCTCAACTGTTTGTCGCTACTTGTTTCATATATGGCAGGAAGGGTTTTTGTTGTGGTACTTGGTGCTGCTGGTACCGACGACGTTCCTGGAATCTCTACCACTCTCAGTTGTCCGTCGTTACTTGGTTTATAGGTGGCAGTGATGGTTTCGGTTGTTGTTGTTGACGTTTCTGGTACCGACGACGTTCCCGAAATCTCTACCACTCTCAATTGTCCGTCGCTACTTGTCTCATATATGGCAGGATGGATTGTTGTTGTGGTACTTGACGCTGCCGGTACCGACGACGTTCCTGGAATCTCTACCACTCTCAGTTGTCCGTCGCTACTTGGTTTATAGGTGGCAGTGATGGTTTCGGTTGTTGTTGACGTTTCTGGTACCGATGACGTTCCCGAAATCTCTGTAGCCCTCAATTGTCCGTCGCTACTTGGTTTATAGGTGGCAGGGATGGTTTTGGTTGTCATTGTTGACGTTTCTGGTACCGACGACGTTCCCGAATTCTTTACCCCTCTCAACTGTTTGTCGCTACTTGTTTCATATATGGCAGGAAGGGTTTTTGTTGTGGTACTTGATGCTGCTGGTACCGACGACGTTCCTGGAATCTCTACCACTCTCAGTTGTCCGTCGCTACTTGGTTTATAGGTGGCAGTGATGGTTTCGGTTGTTGTTGTTGACGTTTCTGGTACCGACGACGTTCCCGAAATCTCTACCACTCTCAATTGTCCGTCGCTACTTTTCTCATATATGGCAGGATGGATTGTTGTTGTGGTACTTGACGCTGCCGATACCGACGACGTTCCTGGAATCTCTACCACTCTCAATTGTCCGTCGCTACTTGTCTCATATATGGCAGAATGGATTGTTGTTGTGGTACTTGACGCTGCCGGTACCGACGACGTTCCTGAAATCTCTACCACTCTCAGTTGTCCGTCGCTACTTGGTTTATAGGTGGCAGTGATGGTTTCGGTTGTTGTTGTTGACGTTTCTGGTACCGACGACGTTCCCGAAATCTCTACCACTCTCAATTGTCCGTCGCTACTTGTCTCATATTTGGCAGGATGGATTGTTGTTATGGTACTTGACGCTGCCGGTACCGACGACGTTCCTGAAATCTCTACCACTCTCAGTTGTCCGTCGCTACTTGGTTTATAGGTGGCAGTGATGGTTTCGGTTGTTGTTGACGTTTCTGGAACCGATGACTTTCCCGAAATCTCTGTAGCCCTCAATTGTCCGTCGCTACTTGGTTTATAGGTGGCAGGGATGGTTTTGGTTGTCATTGTTGACGTTTCTGGTACCGACGACGTTCCCGAATTCTTTACCCCTCTCAACTGTTTATCGCTACTTGTTTCATATATGGCAGGAAGGGTTTTTGTTGTGGTACTTGGTGCTGCTGTTACCGAAGACGTTCTTGGAATCTCTACTACCCTCAGTTTTCCTTCGCTACTTGTTTTATAGGTGGCACAGATGGTCTCGGTTGTTGTTGATGTTTGATATGTGGCAGGGATGGTTTCAGTTGTAGTTGTTGATGTTTGTGATACCGTCGAAGTTCCCGTAATCTCTACCACAATCAATTGTCCATCGCTAAAGGTGGCTGGAACGGTCTCAGTTGTTGTTGTTGATGTTCCTGGTACCGACGACATTCCTGGTATATCTACTACCCTCAATTGTCTGTCGTTGCTTGGTTTATAGGTGGCAGGGATGGTTTTGGTTGTCGTTGTTGACGTTTCCGGTATCGACGACGTTCCTGGAATCTTTACCACCCTCAATTGTCCGTCGCTATTTGTATTATAGATGGCAGGAACGGTTTCAGTTGTGGCACTTGACGCTGCTGGCACCGAAGACGTTCCTGGAATCTCTACTACCCTCAGTTGTCCGTCGCTACTTGGTTTATAGTTGGCAGAGATGGTTTCGGTTGTTGTTGACGTTTCTGGTACCGATGACGTTCCCGAAATCTCTATAGTCCTCAATTGTCCGTCGCTACTTGATTTATAGTTGAGAAGGATTGTTTCCGTTGTTGTTGACGTTTCTGGTACCGACGACGTTCCCGAAATCTCTACCCCTTTCAACTGTCCGTCGCTACTTGTCTCATATATGGCAGGATGGATTGTTGTTGTAGTACTTGACGCTGCCGGTACCGACGACGTTCCTGGAATCTCTACCACTCTCAGTTGTTCTTCGCTACTTGTCTTATAGATGTCAGGAACAGTTTCAGTTGTGGCACTTGACGCTGCTGGTACCGAAGACGTTCCTGGAATCTCTACTACCCTCAGTTGTCCGTCGCTACTTGGTTTATAGGTGGCAATGATGGTTTCGGTTGTTGTTGTTGACGTTTCTGGTACCGCCGACGTTCCCGAAATCTCTACCACTCTCAATTGTCCGTCGCTACTTGTCTCATATATGGCAGGATGGATTGTTGTTGTGGTACTTGACGCTGCCGGTACCGACGACGTTCCTGGAATCTCTACCACTCTCAGTTGTCCGTCGTTACTTGGTTTATAGGTGGCAGTGATGGTTTCGGTTGTTGTTGTTGACGTTTCTGGTACCGACGACGTTCCCGAAATCTCTACCACTCTCAATTGTCCGTCGCTACTTGTCTCATATATGGCAGGATGGATTGTTGTTGTGGTACTTGACGCTGCCGGTACCGACGACTTTCCTGGAATCTCTACCACTCTCAGTTGTCCGTCGCTACTTGGTTTATAGGTGGCAGTGATGGTTTCGGTTGTTGTTGACGTTTCTGGTACCGATGACGTTCCCGAAATCTCTGTAGCCCTCAATTGTCCGTCGCTACTTGGTTTATAGGTGGCAGGGATGGTTTTGGTTGTCATTGTTGACGTTTCTGGTACCGACGACGTTCCCGAATTCTTTACCCCTCTCAACTGTTTGTCGCTACTTGTTTCATATATGGCAGGAAGGGTTTTTGTTGTGGTACTTGATGCTGCTGGTACCGACGACGTTCCTGGAATCTCTACCACTCTCAGTTGTCCGTCGCTACTTGGTTTATAGGTGGCAGTGATGGTTTCGGTTGTTGTTGTTGACGTTTCTGGTACCGACGACGTTCCCGAAATCTCTACCACTCTCAATTGTCCGTCGCTACTTTTCTCATATATGGCAGGATGGATTGTTGTTGTGGTACTTGACGCTGCCGATACCGACGACGTTCCTGGAATCTCTACCACTCTCAATTGTCCGTCGCTACTTGTCTCATATATGGCAGGATGGATTGTTGTTGTGGTACTTGACGCTGCCGGTACCGACGACGTTCCTGAAATCTCTACCACTCTCAGTTGTCCGTCGCTACTTGGTTTATAGGTGGCAGTGATGGTTTCGGTTGATGTTGTTGACGTTTCTGGTACCGACGACGTTCCCGAAATCTCTACCACTCTCAATTGTCCGTCGCTACTTGTCTCATATTTGGCAGGATGGATTGTTGTTATGGTACTTGACGCTGCCGGTACCGACGGCGTTCCTGGAATCTCTACCACTCTCAGTTGTCCGTCGCTACTTGGTTTATAGGTGGCAGTGATCGTTTCGGTTGTTGTCGTTGACGTTTCTGGTACCGACGACGTTCCCGAAATCTCTACCACTCTCAATTGTCCGTCGCTACTTGTCTCATATATGGCAGGATGGATTGTTGTTGTGGTACTTGACGCTGCCGGTACCGACGACGTTCCTGAAATCTCTACCATTCTCAGTTGTCCGTCGCTACTTGGTTTATAGGTGGCAGTGATGGTTTCGGTTGTTGTTGACGTTTCTGGAACCGATGACTTTCCCGAAATCTCTGTAGCCCTCAATTGTCCGTCGCTACTTGGTTTATAGGTGGCAGGGATGGTTTTGGTTGTCATTGTTGACGTTTCTGGTACCGACGACGTTCCCGAATTCTTTACCCCTCTCAACTGTTTATCGCTACTTGTTTCATATATGGCAGGAAGGGTTTTTGTTGTGGTACTTGGTGCTGCTGGTACCGACGACGTTCCTGGAATCTCTACCACTTTCAATTGTCCTTCGCTACTTGTCTTATAGATGGCAGGAAAGGTATCATTTGTGGCACTTAACGGTGCTGGTACCGAAGACGTTCTTGGAATCTCTACTACCCTCAGTTTTTCTTCGCTACTTGTTTTATAGGTGGCAGAGATGGTCTCGGTTGTTGTTGATGTTTGATATGTGGCAGGGATGGTTTCAGTTGTAGTTGTTGATGTTTGTGATACCGTCGAAGTTCCCGTAATCTCTACCACAATCAATTGTCCATCGCTAAAGGTGGCTGGAACGGTCTCAGTTGTTGTTGTTGATGTTCCTGGTACCGACGACATTCCTGGTATATCTACTACCCTCAATTGTCTGTCGTTGCTTGGTTTATAGGTGGCAGGGATGGTTTTGGTTGTCGTTGTTGACGTTTCCGGTATCGACGACGTTCCTGGAATCTTTACCACCCTCAATTGTCCGTCGCTATTTGTATTATAGATGGCAGGAACGGTTTCAGTTGTGGCACTTGACGCTGCTGGCACCGAAGACGTTCCTGGAATCTCTACTACCCTCAGTTGTCCGTCGCTACTTGGTTTATAGTTGGCAGAGATGGTTTCGGTTGTTGTTGACGTTTCTGGTACCGATGACGTTCCCGAAATCTCTATAGTCCTCAATTGTCCGTCGCTACTTGATTTATAGTTGAGAAGGATTGTTTCCGTTGTTGTTGTTGACGTTTCTGGTACCGACGACGTTCCCGAAATCTCTACCCCTTTCAACTGTCCGTCGCTACTTGTCTCATATATGGCAGGATGGATTGTTGTTGTGGTACTTGACGCTGCCGGTACCGACGACGTTCCTGGAATCTCTACCACTCTCAGTTGTTCTTCGCTACTTGTCTTATAGATGTCAGGAACAGTTTCAGTTGTGGCACTTGACGCTGCTGGTACCGAAGACGTTCCTGGAATCTCTACTACCCTCAGTTGTCCGTCGCTACTTGGTTTATAGGTGGCAATGATGGTTTCGGTTGTTGTTGACGTTTCTGGTACCGATGACGTTCCCGACATCTCTGTAGCCCTCAATTGTCCGTCGCTACTTGGTTTATAGGTGGCACGGATGGTTTCAGTTGTTGTTGACGTTTCTGGTACCGTAGAAGTTGCCGGAATCTCTACCACCTTCAGTTGCCCGTTGCTACTTGGTTTATAGGTGGCAGGGATGGTTTTGGTTGTCGTTGTTGACGTTTCAGGTACCGACGACGTTTCTGGAATCTTTACCACCCTCAACTGTCTGTCGCTACTTAGTTCATATATGGCAGGGATGGTTTCGGCTGTCGTTGACGTTTCTGGTACCAACGACGTTTCCGAAATCTCTACCCCTCTCAACTGTCCGGCGCTACTTGTATCATATATGGCAGGAAGGGTTGTTGTTGTGGTACTTGATGCTGCTGTTACCAACGACGTTCCTAGAGTCTCTACTACCTTCAGTTTTTCGTCGCTGCTTGGTCCGTTGCTAATTGGTTTATAGGTGGCAGGGATGGTTTCGGTTGTTGTTGTTGACGTTTCTGATAACGACGATATTTCTTTAATATCTGCTACCCTCAATTGTCGGTCGCTACTTGGATTATAGGTGGCATTTATGGTTTCGGTTGTTGTTGACGTTTCTGGTACCGATGACGTTCCCGAATTCTCTATAATCCTCAATTGTCCGTCGCTACTTGGTTTATAGGTGGCAGCGATGGTTTCAGGTGCTGTTGTTGACGTTTTTGGTACCGTAAAAGTTCCGGGAATTTCTACCACCCTCAATTGTTCATCGCTACTTGGATTAAAGGTCTTAGGGATGGTTTTGGTTGTTGTTGTTGACGTTTCTGGTACAGACGACGTTCCTGAAATCTCTACCTCCCTCAATTGTCCGTCGCTACTTGGATTAAAGGTGGCAGGTATGGTTTCGGTTATTGTTGTTGACGTTTCTGGTACAGACGACGTTCTTGGTATCTCTACTACCCTCAATTGTCTGTCGTTGCCTGGTTTATAGGTGACAGGAATGGTTTCGGTTGTTGTTGTGGGCGTTTCTGGTACCGACAACGTTCCCGAAATCTCTATGACCCTTAATTGTCCGTCGCTACTTGGTTTATAGGTGGCAGGGATGGTTTCAGTTGTTGTTGTTGTTGACGTTTCTGCTACCGTCGAAGTTCCCGGAATCTCTATCACCTTCAATTGTCCGTCGCTAATTGGTTCATAGTTGGCAGAAAGAGTTTCAGTTGTGGTTGTTGATGCTGCTGGTACCGACGACGTTCCTAGAATCTCTAGCACTCTCAATTGTCCATCATTACTTGGTTTATAGATGGCAGGGATAGTTTCGGTTATTGTTGTTGACGTTCCTGATACCGACGATGTTCCCGGAATCTCTACCACCCTCAATTGTCCGTCGCTACTTGGTTTATAGAAAGCAGGAAGCGTTTCGGTTGTTGTTGACATTTCTACTACCCCCAATTGTCCGTCGCTACTTGGTTCATATTTGGCAGAGATGGTTTCGGTAGTTGTTGTTGACGTTTCTGGTACCGACGACGTTCCCAGAATATTTATAACTGTCCGTCGCCCGTCGCTACTGGGTATAAGGGTGGCAGGCATAGTTTCGGTTGTTGCTGTTGACGTTTCTGGTACCGAAGGCGTTCCCGGATTCTCTACCACCCTCAATTGTCTGTCGCTACTTGGATTATAGGTGGCAGGGGTGGTTTCGGTTGTTGTTGACGTTTCTGTTACCGATGAGGTTCCTGAAATCTCTATAGCCCTCAATTGTCTGTCGCTACTTGGTTCATAGGTATCAGGGATGGTTTCGGTTGTTGTTGTTGACGTTTCTCGTACCGACCACGTTCCCGGAATCTCTACAATACTAAATTGTCCGTCGCTACTTGGTTTATAGGTCGCAGGAAGAGTTTCAGTTGTGATAGTTGACGCTGTTGTTACCGACGACGTTCCTAGAATCACTATTACCCTCAATTGTCCGTCGCTACTTGGTTTATAGATGGGATGGCTGGTTTCGGTTGTTGTTGACGTTTCTATTACCGACGATGTTCTCGAAATCTCTACCACACTCAATTGTCCGTCACTAGTTGGTTTATAGATGGCAGGGATGGTTTTGGTTGTTGTTGTTGACGGTCCTGGCGCCGACGATGTTCCCGGAATTTTTTCAATCCACAATTGTCCGTCGCTACTTGTCTTATAGCTGGCAGGAAGAGTTTCAGTTGTTGTTGTTGTCGTTTCTGGTAAGGACGACGTTCCCGGAATCTCGACCACCCTCAATTGTCCGTCGCTACTTTTTTTATAGTTGGCAAGGGTGACTTCGGTTGTTCTTATTGACGTTTGTGGTACCGATAACACTCCCGGAATCTCTACAACCTTCAATTTTCCGTTGGTACTTACCTCATCGGTGGCAGGGATTGTTTCGATTGTTATTGTTGTCGTTTCTGGTACCGTCGACGTGCCCGAAATCTCTATCACCCTTAATTGTCCATCGCTACTTATCCTAAAAATGGCAGGGATTGTTTCGGTTGTTGTTGTTGACGTTTCTGGTAACGTCGACGTTCCCGGAATCTCTACCGCCCTCAATTGTCCATCGCTACTTATTTTATGGATGGCAGGAAAGGTTTCGGGTGTTGTTGTTGACATTTCTGGTACCGTCGACGTTGTGGTAGTTAACTCCGCTAGTACCAATGACGTTTCTGGAATCTCGACTATCCTCGTTTGTCCGTCGCCAGTTGGCTTATAGATCATCATCATAGACATCGTTTCTGGAGTCTCTAATACTTTCAATTGTCCGTCGCTTCCTGTCTTGTAAGTGACAGGGTTTGTTTCGGTTGTCGTAGTTGACATTGCTGGTACCAACGCCGTTTCTGGTATCTCTACTATCCTCAGCTGGCCGTCGTTACTTGGCTTGTAGGTGATAGGAGTGGTTTCCGTGGTTGTAGTTGAATTCGCTAGTACCGACGACGTTTCTGAAATCTCTGAAATCTCTACCACCCTGAATTGTCTGTCTCCACTTGACTTATTGATGGAAATACTTTCGTTTGCTCTAGTTAGATTATGATGTATGTTTTCGGCAGCATCTATTGACATCACTGGTTTTGACGCACCACGTGGCTGAGTTTGTTGAATTATGATTTCCGTATTTAGCTCAAGGGGATTTATATGAAACCGATCCGTATAAATGGACAGTGTGTCCATTAGTATTGTTGCAGTTGTCTTGGAGGGGGTATATAATGGCGTGGTATATTCAGTTCTAGGACACTGAATTGCTAGATCAAACCATCCTAAGTCTTTATCATTACAGAGGTAGAAACATCCACTACATACTCCAGTATTTTTCACATTCAGTGGAAAAACCCCTGCCTGGGTACATTCGATGAGTGGCGCTTGATTGCACATTGTGAAGAGAAGTAGAGTTTTTTTAGGAGCATTAGGTACACATGCCATTTTACTTTCATCAAAATGACTCTGACTTGGGCAAACTGCTACCACAATTTTGTCCGGAAAGCATATAAGATAATTTTTATACATGGTAGGCTGCGGGTGACTCATTATGCCTGTTTCACGATCTAAAATATAGAATATGAAAATTAACTAGCTAATCACAACTTAAGCCATTAGATAGTCAAATAAGGACCGAAAACCCCACTGAAAACAGCTTCTCAATTTCTTTACTTTCATATACAATATGAATAAATGATCTTTAAACTCAAAAAAAAAAAATTTTTTCGGAAGTATTACTAATATAGGGGTTGCTATTAATGTCTAATTATACGTAGTTTAGCGAATAAAGAGTTAATTAGTTATTTAAGATGCTAAATAAAATTTAAAATCAAAATAACATTTAGTAATTTAAATTTATTACTTTTTTATGATACCTTGGAAAGACATGAAATTATCCAGTAATTAGACATATTTAATATCCTTACACCGTTCTCAAATATTTGATGTTATCACTTATTTTTATCAGTTATTGACTTTTTAAGTATTACAATATGGAAAACCTTTGGAGAAATATAGAAAAAACCTCCTTTGACACAAAGTCAGAAATTATGCAGATCATGCTTATTTAAACCGTTGATAGGAGGGGGAGTTTGCTTCAGTAGCATGTCAGTTCCCCCTTACTGTTGTTGAATTTTAAATTTGGTGAACAATAAAAAACATTTTTTATCAAACTCGCTCTACCACACCAGAAAACATGTGTGACCGTATCCGGAATGCTATGGCCAACGTTTCAAGAAATGAAATAAATACAGGCAGATTAAATACAAAACCCGCGATAAACTACTGCATAGTGACGGAAAATTTACAAAGATTTTTTTTATTTTCCTCTTTGTGGTTTTTTTATCGTCATCATCATAGGTTGTTGTTCCTACAGCCTTATCATTTTCTAATAGTTGTTTTGGCTCGTGCTTCAGGTTTTTGTTTCTAATAGTGAGTATTTGGACCGACCCTTGGCCTGGATAAAGTGTGAAAGAAGCTGAACAGAAATATGCTAAAAATTTTACCAAACACCTATTTTTAGTCATTAAACCAATTAATGCAAAAATATTTGAAACTATCAAATGTTCGCTACTGTGCATATTAGCTACCGGCTTTGAAAAATTAAAAATTAAAATTAAAAAGCAATACATATGATGTGATCTTAAACATCTTAGCAAATAAATAATTGTATAATAATATTTTATGTAACAGGTTTGATAAACGCCACTTTAGTCACGAGTATATATATATATATATATATATATATATATATATATATATATATATATATATATATATATATATATATATAGTGTTCGAAGTGTTTTCGGAGCGCGAGCATTGAAGATGCCAAGTGAGATTTTGGCGAAACGTCTGCAGGATTCCAGTCGGATGCAGGATTTGCAGGATTCCAGTCGGAGTTCAACGAGCGAACGGATGATATCCCGGAATATAGTGTCATCATATATATATATATATATATATATATATATATATATATATATATATATATATATATATATATATATATATATATATATAACAAAAACTTGAAGCACGAGCCAAAACAACTATTAGAAAATGATAAGGCTGTAGGAACAACAACCTATGATGATGACGATAAAAAAACCACAAAGAGGAAAATAAAAAAAAATCTTTGTAAATGTTCCGTCACTATGCAGTAGTTTATCGAGGGTTTTGTATTTAATCTGCCTGTATTTATTTCATTTCTTGAAACGTTGGCCATAGCATTCCGGATACGGTCACACATGTTTTCTGGTGTGGTAGAGCGAGTTTGATAAAAAATGTTTTTTATTGTTCACCAAATTTAAAATTCAACAACAGTAAGGGGGATCTGACATGCTACTGAAGCAAACTCCCCCTCCTATCAACGGTTTAAATAAGCATGATCTGCATAATTTCTGACTTTGTGTCAAAGGAGGTTTTTTCTATATTTCTCCAAAGGTTTTCCATATTGTATTACTTAAAAAGTCAATAACTGATAAAAATAAGTGATAACATCAAATATTTGAGAACGGTGTAAGGATATTAAATATGTCTAATTACTGGATAATTTCATGTCTTTCCAAGGTATCATAAAAAAGTAATAAATTTAAATTACTAAATGTTATTTTGATTTTAAATTTTATTTAGCATCTTAAATAACTAATTAACTCTTTATTCGCTAAACTACGTATAATTAGACATTAATAGCAACCCCTATATTAGTAATACTTCCGAAAAAAAAATTTTTTTTTTGAGTTTAAAGATCATTTATTCATATTGTATATGAAAGTAAAGAAATTGAGAAGCTGTTTTCAGTGGGGTTTTCGGTCCTTATTTGACTATCTAATGGCTTAAAAAAGTTTTAACGTTTTAATTTTTTCCTTTGGAAAATTTAGAAATAAAGTTTTTGCTGTAATGTCAGAAAACGCCATCTGATTGCAACGTAAGCAATAGCAATCGCACATATCACGATTGATAACCTAGATTTAGGTTTTTTGGAGTTATCAACACTTATTTCCAAAAATGTTCGAACACTTTCCATTACTTTCACTGTAGAGATAGAGCAAAATACTTTAATCATGATTTGTTACGCCTTCTAACCATCATTTCAGAAACTCGTGTAGTGTTGTTAGTGTTATGGATTAATACATTTTCAAGTTAAAATTTTAAAAACGTTTGGGGAATACTAGTTCGGCTAGTAGCACACGGCCAATACTTATTGTCGCTATTTTCAAACAAAGAAGAAACATGTTGTTACAGAGTGTCAATCAGAATCAGAAGTTTGTAAAAAGTACACGTCCCAACTAGAGTTCATTGATCCTATCACATAGTTTTTGTAAAACTGTAAAACATTGAAACCATTAATTGACTGGTTGATATACTTAAATAATATATCAGTAAAGTTGCGAATTTAATTTGCCACGAGCGGAACGCAGCTTAAACAGTGCTTAATAAACGAGTGACTACGACGATTAGTTCTTGGGTACACGAATACATTCACTGAGTGACATGTAACTGAATTAGAATTAGAATCAGAATTCCGTGCGCGACAAACCAGTGACTAAAGCACTGGAAATGCCCGAAGATGCCATGGACTGTGGAATAAGGACTGGAAACATATTTTATTCCACCCACCCTGGCATTTAGCTCCTCTAATTACGCATATTGCAGTACCACCTCCTTCCAAAGGTTGACATTTTTTTTTGGCCCTAATAAAAATTTCGCCATTCTTGCAGTGGCGCGTGACCACTTCAAGTTTTCTCGTTTTCTTGCTTTGGATGCAAAAGCAATAAGAAGTCATATGGGGATTCTCGAATATTTGTCCATTTGCGACGCATTTTGTCGGACACCAGTCCACCTGAATAAAGTAAAAATTTCAGTTTAATGCTTTATAATAAATTCGTCCAGATGAACACATTTTCTATTACAGTTTAAATTAAAATAATTTAATTAGACTCGAACACGTGTATATTTATAAGTACCTCTAATAAATAACGTTTGAATATCAACTCCTTTGCATCAAAATAATAATTAAGAGAAACAAAACCAAGAAAAAATGCTCTACGTGGCAGTAATTATTTTCAATGTGTTAAGTAATTGCTTTTAGGCTTTTTGAGATTCGCATAAGTCCGAATAAGTTATGTTATAGATTTCCTGCATAAGGGTTTAATGACACGGTTGGAATGAAAGCCTGCGGCTCATTCGCAATGAATGCATCCCCTTCCTCTGCTAGCGATTAATTTGAACAATATATGGGCATATAAGTGGCTCCTGTCAATCTACTCGTTTATTCGTTAAATTTTTAATTTTTACGCATAGGAACAAAATAAGAAACAGTGAAGATAAAGACCCCTACCGGTTAAATTAGTACCTGTAGTACAAATCTCTGTGTTGCTAAGGGCATTCGTATCAATAAATTTAGTTGAGTCAACTGTATTCGTGTGGCTTTAAATTATTTATTATAATTTTTTTAAACATGATTTACAAATGCAAATTGCAATTGCAAATTTCATTTCTGGAACTTCGGTTGACACTTCCATCGCAGGTTCGGTAGAGTTTGAAGTCCTAACCGAAGAGGTAATTTATGACATTGTCATCTGTGATTTTTATTTACAATTACAGGACGAAATAATAAACGAAATTAAAGTCATAGTTAATCCAATAATTAATTTCCTGTGACTCCAAATCTGGTTCCTTAGAAAAGTTTAAGCCTTTGATTAATTCATCAAATTTAACTTGATTGATCATATGTCATATGTCTAACAATACTTTCCGTTTTCTCCGACTTCAAATCTACAAACTTCATACTTGAAAAGACTCATAAATTTTAGGTAACTATTATTGCTAATAAACTTTTTAATAATAAAGGAGTAAAATGGAACAATAAACACTATGTTTGTATTTTGAGTCGACATCTGATAAAGTTTGTTTTTTTATCCGCTCCTTAGCCTTAGAAAAAAGTCAATTTACTTACGCGAGTAGCTACAAAATTTTCCAAATTTCCCAGTAATCGGTGTTTTTCATCGGCTTTTAATGTTTCATTTTGACTCGGAACAAAGTGCACGTTTACTTTTCCACTGGACTTTAAAATGCTTTGAAACCCTAGTATCCACCAAATAATTTTCATTTTCGTCACATAATAGAAACTAAGATTTGTGAAATACTGAAACTACGTGTCAGCGGGCTAATTGGGAACAAACGATAATACGTGCTCGTACCTAAATTGGAGACTCTTAATCTATTGCAATTTGTAGTTTACCTGCCATGTGTTATTGTTATGGCTGCGAGACCTTTTTTATTTATAGAAACGTTTCCTCTTAAAATGACTTAAACTACAACGTGATTTTGAAACACCCTGTATAACTATTACACTTCACTCTTGCAGTATCGTCAGGTCGATTAAAGAATAGACTCGATTTTTCTCATTTAATTTACGTGAAAACACTTAAAATTGGTCAATACTTACAAAAACAATAGTTAAATTCACCAATTAGAAAATTAACGGTAACCAAGTCGAACACCGGGCTACATGGCGTCGTTCATTTTACTATTATTAAATCAAAATTTCTTATAAATTGTTTAATTCCAAAGTATAAAAGACATATTATTATTCTACATTCTACATTCAGCTAACAAACTTAAACTAATTTCCATATAACAAAGCTGAAAATTTATTGCGATTAATCAAAATAAAGATACATAAACTCTGAAGCGAAGAATATTTTGATGAAAATGTCCACTCCATAATTATAGACAAATACTAGGCGGTAGAAAGCTTGTAATTATTTACTGATATTAATAGTAAATTTAAAAATTTAATCAGGAATTCATCTAGAATACTGTTTCTCTCATAGTATTATTAAAATTCTCCGTGCCGACAAGAAGACGTAAAATACAAAATCTATTTATATTTTACACCTGCGCCTAAGCTAACTTGATTTAACCTGCCTTTTTACTGCGAAGTCAATTAAGTTGCGAAGGATTTGGAAGTGAACATCAACATAATCTAGTAATAATATTTAATAATCAAGTTGACTTAGTATAAGAACGATTGCATTCCTTAAGATATAAATCTTTTTCGACAGTCGGAGTATATCACTGGGTTTGCCCTTCGTATAATAACAAACACCATGTCGCTTTATTAGGAAATTAGATATTAGAAATTAACGGCAACCCAAAGTTCCGAAAACAACCGTATTTATTAAACATAACCAACTTTTCGTGGCGTTATTGTCTCTTGATTTATTTTAACACCGACGGAGATTTTCTACGTTTTGGTGTAACTGCGATACTTCTCAAACTCCTCGACCGTTCAAATAGAGACGGATCCGTATATATTGGTTCGCTGGGATCCTCAAATGGTCCTCCAGGTGCTTGGCCAAAACAGTGAAAACCTTCTCCCGCTTTAGACAGGATTGGCATACTAGGATGTCCCACCCCAAATCCAGAAAATGGTTTTTGAATTGTGCCAAAAAAGGAAACTCCTGCGAATAAGTCAGTGGTAAAAGTTGGTGAATGTATATAAATTGAAATAAAAAGACCACAAGATACGAGGATTGCTCATATTTTAAAAAAGGAAGTATATTATTTTGAATTTGAATAATTAAGAGCAACATATCTCTCAGGGATTTAAAAGTAATAGACCAATTTATTTACTTTTTCCAAAAAGCAGTATACAATCATATTAACTTAACTGCTGGATACTAGGAAGCAAGTAAATAAAACTCGGGATTGTTTATTTATTGAGATAAGGATATTGTGAAAATGATGTAGTAGTTTTTAAAATTTGTAACACTTTGACTCACCAAATATACTTGAAATTTAATGTCATTTCATTTTCATACAAATTTCAATGTATCTTGATTTCGGACGTTTTCCGATATGTGTATGTTTACTTTTCGTGGTCGATATCTTGAGAATGAAATGATTTTTTTTAATTTTTGAATTTTGAAAAGCAAATGGTAACCAAAAACAATAAACAATAAAAATACATATCTCGGCCACATTAGGTGTAAGTATTTATCCCAGCACGCTCTGAGTGCGAAAATTTATTTAACGTTAACATTTACGTGAGAAAGATAATAGTTTTTACTTTTATAAATCGGTGCATTGTATACTCTATTAGCATTCATAAAGAGATTCCTGTTTGATTGTAGAAATATTTATAAAAGTTACCTGGGGATAAACCGCTGCTTCGGGTAGTGGGATACGAGGGCGACGTTGAAAAGTTGGACGATGATATTCTGTCACCCAACATGTTTTTTCTCATAACTAGCCAGTATTTGCGATATGCCAATCCAGCCAATAAGGAAGCGGTCAGTAAAACGGCAATCAGCACAAATACGGTGCTGACCAAACCGTGGTATTCTCCAGCAGTAAGGCAATATGCATCCGAAGCTGGCTCAGCCCTTCGCGCCTGCGGCATTTCGTCTCGCGTATCAAAAACCTACAATACAAAAGTCAATGAAAATTGTGGATTTTCAGAATTATATAAACTTATAACGATTGAAACGAAAAAGATACTCAAATAGTGACTTTTTAGTTAATTTTGATATTCTTTGTTTTAATAATAATGACATATCGTTATTCTGTCAACACTACCGTCAGTTTTTCGTATTTAAATTAAACCTACATTTGCTGCAATTCCAAAAAATGTTAAAATATTTTTGTTATTTTTTTTTTAATCATCACAATCGAAGTTCATAACGGTACTGCACGCAAGTGCCTGAAGGTGCTGCAGCCTGGACTAGCTGCAGTGTTCAAGGTTGGGTTGGACAACACTTTATACATTTATTTTTCTAATTATCGAAATACCCGAAATAAACGAAGACTTAATAAAAATAAAAATAAGCCAATCGACCTGTATGTAATTATTATGATTAATTAATGAATAATATAATTAATTCACATTGTAGTCGTGTGCCTAAGTAAAGTAATTCCAGAAGATTACCGGAAAAAACTAAACATTAATAGAATTGCCGTAATGCCATAGTTTTTATATATGTTGTGAGTGGAAATTATTGCAATATGCTGAAGATACTCTCACCTCAATCATTTCTCTAACATATTCTTCTTCTTCATTAGTTTTCTCCTCTACTATGCTTTTCTCGTCTGTTACTCCATCGGCTTCCTGTTTATTAGACATATCTTCGGTTTCTTTTTTTTGATTACTTTCAACTAGATCGCGTTTTATAAACGATATTGTCGGATCATTAGCGATTCTTAATTCGGTCAAATCCGTCTTTATTTCATTTGAAACGGAAGAAGCGTTATTTGCGACGTCGGAAAGTGTGTTGTTCAGTGATCGCCTACGCCGTCTTCCGAAGGATGGCTCTGATCTTCAAAGCAAATATAAATGATTAAACTTGATATAAGCCCCACACATTCGTTACTTTAATGTTAGCCACCAAATTGGAATAAAGCTAATCAAAATGAGTAAAAAGATAAAAATATTTAGGCGCTGATGTCACTACATGTTAAATCAGAAGATATGGAAAATAATAGTATATTATGCAACAGTGCGGTAAACGGCATTAGACTCACGTGTGATTGGTTTCGAAAAACAACACGAATACATTTACTGACATGACCGTCATAATTGACGCACGCTAGATCGGTGTGTAATTGGGAATTTTACAGACGGCAGTAGAAAAACTTTTTTTTCAACTCCTTAAGATACTGAATATTAAACGTCAATTTCATGTTTACTTTTTGTGTTTTTTTTTAACAATTACGTTAACATTTAACAACAAACCTTCCAGTTCCAGTTTGGCAGTAAGCAGGCTGGCACCCATCTCTACATGTCCTCACCGTTGCTTCAAATACTAAGAAGTTGGATTCCGGTATCTTAAATGCGTTAAATCGCGCTTCCAAGCTGTCACCGCTTCTCCCCTTATCCAGTTCGGGAAAAACGAAACTGTCTATCGGACAGCTACAGAGATATGCATACTGTAATTTAAGTTCAAATTTTTCAAATTTTCACTTTACCCAAATCGGTCGATAAGCTGCACTGATCTGCCGGAATACGGATCTCTCGCCACTACGTTCGTGGCAAATATATCATTTGCGTAATTATATCCATCTTGCGCTTCAATTCTAAACGTCAACGGATCACCTACTGCTATTGTAGTGGTTGGTCTACCCTGGTAGAGAATCAGAAGTCTAACCTTGGAACTCAGTGTATTTTCGGCTGGCAAATATTCTATCGGTATGGGACTACCGGATCTAAAATTCGATGGTACCCAAATACACTTGATTTGAAAGATCTTGCTTAAATTTACCCAGCCCCGATGAACCCTGAAGATACGACAGCTTCACCGGGTCCCCTAAATAAGCAAGTCAAATTAAATCTTTTATCTTTTCCGGTTTGAACGTAGTCGCTAAATTGGACCACTACGATGTTCGTCATTGTGTCGCCATATCGTTGCGTGCCACACTCAGGATATCCCTATAGAAATGTATACGACTTAGTATTTTCAGTAGAAAAAAATGTTTTTCTTACATGAGCCCCGCTTATGCGTAGAACATTTATGGTTCCACCATTTCCTCTGAAAAAGCAGCGGTCGTAGAAGCCGTAAGTATAGATCCGGCCATAGAATCCTTCAGGTGTGCGTAATGTAAACTCCATTCCATCATCATTACATACCTGACTCACTATAAGCAAGGAGTTTTATTAAGTGCTTTGCTACATTTCGTAGAGTATGTACCGTCTAAACATTCGCCGTCAATGCCGTTTCTAGCCGGCGATCTTTCGTAGAAATCAAAACCTCCATTCGAATCGAAATACTGCGGATTACCAATTTCTAAATCCCTGCTATCTCGATCGCTAAGCTCGCAGTTATCTCTCTCAGCATCATATGAACCCAATCCAGATTCTCTAAAAAATCAAAACATTCGTTGAAATTGGCGTTGCCTTAATTTGACTTTTAAATCACCTGTAATTAAAAGCCCTACACGTAAAATCTCTGGCATCCATACATTCTTGCTGACATCTGATTAGTGTCGGTGCGTACACACTTATCCTTATGAATTCCTTTCGAGCCCGTTGTCGTGTTGCCATTTGCTTAAAATTATCTCCATCGTCGCACCTAGAATATTGTTAAGTCCACTCCCATAACACACTTGATGTCCTTTACCTGGTGTTGTACGGTCTATTTGGACCAACTCCGCCAAAGCTATCATAAATTGGCCCATCTGGACCTGGCGACACTGGCCGGGGATGTCCGTACGGTCTGTCTTCAAAAAGAGGTCGTTCCGGGGGAGGTCGTCCATCTACAGGCCGATCGTAACCCGGTCGGAGGTCTAACGGTCGTCCGAGTGGGCGTCGATCGGGTCGAAAAAACCATCTGCTACCACCGTCACGGTCGTCGCCATAGTAGTCATAACGTGTAGAATCGTAACGGTTACCTCCACCTCCGCGATTGCCATATCTACGCAATTCGCTTCTGAGTAGGTTTCCATTGTAAATTTTGATATCGTTTTTACCTGTCACCATTGTATATTCTGTTTCCTCCACCACCTCCTCTATATCCGTAGCTAATTCTGTCATCACCATAAATTCCTCCTCCGTACCGCCCACCAACCTTGTCTCCGAGGGGGCTGTCGTGCCTGTAGTCATATTTATCGCCAAACCTGATTTATAAAAAGAAATTATTATTTAATGTTTTTGAAACTTATTTAATATATCAGAAAGAATATAAGTCCACGTAAACGCGAACAAATTTAATTAACAGCAACGGCCTTTATTTCATTTTACTTAAGTAGAAAAAATGGTTTATCAATTAATTATAATGTCATGTGTTTTCCAGTTTTCCCTCTTTATCCCCCCATCGTAAATCTTGTTCCACCTGCAAAGAAAACGTGTTTTTATTATAGGCTGCCGCATTGATAATTTGAAATATAATCGATTTTTAAATTCATACCTGTCACCGTAGCGCACATCGTATCGGTCACCATAACCATCGCCTTCGCTGGGGTATCTCGGTCGATAGGAGCCAACGCCATATATAATACCACTCGATGAAGGCGGATAACCGGGAAACCTAGGAGTCAAATTATTTAATAAATTCCTTGACAAGTTAAAAATATGCTGAATTTGAGTTCAGTTTTGTTAACATTAACGGAACGATGGATCTTTATCACTCGATTATTTAGAAACCCTCATAACCACCATATGCAAAATCTGTATCAAATGTATGGCATCCAAATTAACTATGGGTAAATCAACATTTCCATTTTAATTGACAAGCTAGCAAAAGTGTTCCAAGCAGAGATTACCGCAGTAGAACATTGTGCAAGAGAAATAAAAATGAAATAGATTCCCAAGAAACCAAATACTATGTACTCCAACAGCCAAGTGACAATAAAAGCTATTCAATCCAGCAAAACAACGTATCCGCTAGTTTTCGGTTGTCATATGACAACAAACGAGACGGCAAGTCGGAATAAAGTGGCGCTGTCTCGTCAAAGCGTTTCATTGGACCAAATCCCTTTGATTGATTGATTGGTTGATGATTAAACCTTTTGCAAAATCAGCTTCAAAAATAGATGGACAGAAAAACTCGGCATGAAGTTGAAGCGCGCCACGATAAGAGAGGCTAAGGAATTCCTTTCAAGCCCATCGGGCGAATTTAGTAGCTAAGCTACGAAAGGAAGGCCGAAAGAATAATGGTACGTTTACTGACGGGCCATTGCCACCTAAAGTTGAATGCCAGGAAACAGCCACACACGTGTTGTGTCAATGCAAAAGCATATCGAATCTAATCAGAGAGACTATTACTATCTAAAACTTGAATTTACGGAACAAGAAGAAGGTTTGGATCCTCTCTGTAACAAAATTAATTTAAGTTAATTAAAGTTAAGTAGAATATTGTATTAAATATTTTGGATAAAAAAACCAATAGGGTCAATTTTTTAACTATTATCAAATCATATGCTCGTTTGAATGTGTACTTAAGAGTATCGCGCCTACGCAACAGAGGTTTTACCAATATCAATGACGAGTTTCTGAATTTCACTTAAATTACAATATCGCGGAATACCTATCCCGGTCTTCTATCGGGTATTTTCCACCGGAACTAGACGGTGAATATTTCCCTCCACTGGACGATAGTGGATATCTTCGACCGTCTGAAAAATGATGGTATCTATCGGGACCGATAGGATATCTGCCGGGCCTAACGGGATATCTGTCTGGCCTACCTTGAAATCTATCGTCGTATCTGTAAATTATTTCGTATATCGCCTATAGTTAGCTCCTGATCGGTATCGTCAATACCTATCATCATACTCGGGATATCTGTCGTATGTCGGCTGACCTATGGGATACCTATCATGATACCCCCCAGATGGAGGATATCGACTGCCAGTAGTGACGGGATATCTTCCGCCGGAGGCAGGAGGATATCTGCCACTATCAGAACCTGGGCGATAAGTTCCTACGCCAGGGTGGTCACCAGGACGATAACTTCCTCCTTCTCCAGGTCTTGCCAGATCCCCGTCTCCACCGACTGAAATGATTTGCTCTATATTTATACACTTTCGTCATTCGACCAAACTGTTAGAATTAGAATAAAAACAGAGTCCCATTTTAAATTTTGATCTAATTTAAACATTTTTTAATATAATCGCTCCCTTATCAACCACAAAAATTCAAATTTGTTCTTAAAATATTATCCTAATAATCTTTTAATGACCGGTTTGCGTCAATAACCGTGTATAGAAAACAACCTCGTATTTTTAAATTGGAGCAGTTTCTAGTCGAATCAGTTGCGGGTTTTAAAACAGAACAAGCTGTCGGCCGTTACTTTTATTGAATGTTGTGTTTTGTGTTTAATGTCTAAACCCGCATCGGGCGCAGATTTTAAAATTTTATACTCACGCATTAGGTTTTCGTAATAATCGTAGTCGGCGTCATAAATTATCCTCATACCGTCTTTTTGGCTATACCTCGTCAAGCGGCAAGTTCGGAATCTCTCGCTATATTCTGCCGACTTACATTGAAAACTGGGTTGTCGCAAACATTCGTCCAAACATTCGCTCAGTGACCTGTCTGATATTTCTGAATGATGTTCGCCCCCCAATCGGCTGTTACGATATCTTTGGAACGCAGTGTCGGGTTTTTTCCCCGCAAACAAATGAGATGTAACAGAATTGTCCGGATACTCGGACCCACGAGCTGAAATTGAATTTGCATTTAAAAGCAGGTTTAGATTTGATATTTTGATAGTTCAATATATACGTCGTCTGACTTTTAAAATTCACCCGAGGAATGATGAATTGTCTTCAAAATGTTTGGGTTTAGGGTTGATCTTTTAAAGTTGTCATTTGTTAAAAATGTTATTGCCAAAAAGTTTTCTGGAATTGTATACTGTTTTTGGCTATTTTGCGAATGTCATTTCGGAAAATTGTCAAAAGAGTTCATTTCAATCCAACTACCACGATAAAACGTCGGAATGATTGGTGTTGCAATCTTTATGTACCAATACACAATCACTTCTACAACTTACGGCTGTCGAGGCAGACGAAGTCGTAAAAGTGGTGGCTCGGGCTACTAGCAACCCCGATGTCATCTTTTTGCGAAACAGAATCTTCTTCAGATAGGGTGCACTGTTTCGTCATTTCATCGTACTCCACAGATCTGCAATAATGTTATTGAGACTATGGGTTTCACGCAATGCGTTTAAATTGTATACCGACACAAATATTTTTCAGCTCTTACGCACATTCCCTGGCAATCTTCTAGCGTTAAGTTGGTGAACATATCGACCTCAAATGGTCCGCCTAGTCGTTTGTTTTCTTCCTTGATGAAAACGGCTAATCCATCACATCTTCTTTCGGCTAAAATTCATCAATAGGAATGGAAAATAACCGTACTCAAAAAAAATTTAAGATCAACATAATTAGAGCACTACAATGTGATAAATTCTTTTTGAGTGGATACATCAAAAACAATTAAAGAGCGTTTAATTGAATGCAATAAGCTGAAAGGGTTGATATGTCAACTGACTGTTTTTTAATTAAAAAAAAATGTTTTGGTTAAATTACCGAAATATCAAAATTATCCCAGTAGATAGTCCATCTGTACAAAATTTCTCATAAACTTAAAAGTTAGGGTGAAAGGTGCAATTATTACCAGAAAAGTCCACGGTATTAAGAAAAGCTGTTTGTAAATTAAAACTAAAGAATAAACCTAGAAATATAAGTTTCTTTTTACATTGTTACTTTGTCTATTATTATTATTAAACGCAAAAAAATAAATTGGTATCGTTATAAAGAACTTAAATGGGCAACTTGAAATTTAAATAGAACAGCATATTTTTAGCCTACCTACCGCTTTATGTTTCATTCGGTATTAGTCGGCAATGTCTGCAATTTCTGATTTCCATTTCATATTAAAATTATTGTTTGAAAAATACCAAAAGGTGCAAGATTCTTAGTCTCGTGATGACATTTAAAATTTAATTTTAATTTAAAATTATTCTGTTTATAATTAAGATATAAATTGCTATCTTTTCACTGTAAATTTCGCTTAAATAATGGCGGCACTTCTTCACTATTAAACATTATTCGAATATATTTCGACATAATTAACATTTTTATAACGTACTATATATCTTAATAAAACTTGCACTTATTTGGGCTGAAGGGTTAAACCAGTTGTAATACTTTTGTAAAAGTTTATATATATATATATATATATATATATATATATATATATATATATATATATATATATATATATATATATATATATATATATATATATATATATTCTCACGTATTGATTCACGGATGGAAAAATGTGATGACACTATACTCCGGGATATCATCCGTTCGCTCGTTGAACTCCGACTGGAATCCTGCATCCGACTGGAATCCTGCAAATCCTGCATCCGACTGGAATCCTGCAGACGTTTCGTCAAAATCTCACTTGGCATCTTCAATGCTCGCGCTCCGAACACTGGGTTCGAAGTGTTTTCGGAGCGCGAGCATTGAAGATGCCAAGTGAGATTTTGGCGAAACGTCTGCAGGATTCCAGTCGGATGCAGTATTCCAGTCGGAGTTCAACGAGCGAACGGATGATATCCCGGAATATAGTGTCATCACATTTTTCCATCCGTGAATCAATACGTGAGAATATCATACACCTTTACGGGAAGGAGACCTTTACAGCCACCAAGTGTTATGAAAAACTAAGACACCAGTGTTCGAAGTGTTTTCGGAGCGCGAGCATTGAAGATGCCAAGTGAGATTTTGGCGAAACGTCTGCAGGATTCCAGTCGGATGCAGGATTTGCAGGATTCCAGTCGGAGTTCAACGAGCGAACGGATGATATCCCGGAATATAGTGTCATCACATTTTTCCATCCGTGAATCAATACGTGAGGATATATATATATATATATATATATATATATATATATATATATATATATATATATATATATATATATATATATATATATATATATATATATATATATATATATATATATATATATATATATATATATATATATATATATATATATATATATATATATAAAATGAAACTTTTATTCGGGAGTGATAGGCTGAAATAGATTGATTACCCCATTTGTAAAAGTCGACTAAAATGGCCGCGTATCTTATTCCTGAGTAGAAATGTGGAAGACGTTTTCAAATGTTCAGCCACGAGTTCTTAGGCAAGTAGTACACTAAACACTAAGATGTATTCAGTTACGATAACACAATGTCTTAAGCCAATATACTCGACGAAAGGCGAATAGAGAAATAAACCAGAGCGCTCGTTACCTATAAAGTGCTCTTACATCGTAATCACAAATTTAAACAAATCATCAAATAGACCAATGGTCAAACAAATAAATAAAAATTTCAGTCACAATGTAGTGAAAAAAATACGTAAATTTTTCAGACATTTTGAAATGTCTAAATTTCAATTTCACGCTCACCATTAAGGCAAGTATTTTCCAAGTACTCCGATTGGGAATCATCCTGCAATAATTCTGGATGGGTCCTTCTTGTAAATCTACTGAGAATACAGATGCGCATTTCGTTATCAAAAGTGGCAGACCGACAAACGAAACTGAATTCATTTAAACAAAGATCTTCGCATTCTGTTCTGTTGAATGCCGGCATTTCCTTTATATCCGCGTTCGGTAGTTTCAGCTTTTTCCTCGGATGTCTTTCAAAAACATATCTTCTATTGGGACACTCTCTTTCCGGCCTATTGGCTAAAAAACAACGTTTTGGCAGTATTAATCGATTTTTTATATAATCGTGACTATTCACTGAAAACATAAATATACATAATATTGTGGTTTATTACATGTTATACAGATCTCATTAAAGTGGATGCTGTTCGGAACTACACTTAAAACACCTATGCCATCTGGCCTGGCCTGTTCCTGTGTCAGATAACAAGTGCTTTCTTCGTACTCTGCACCTCCATTAAAAGTTGCTATTCGACTGCCAGGTTGGAAATCCAGAGATGAACATGTCCTAAAACAAAAAATATGTTTGACGACCAAACCAATGTTTGTCGAACAAAAAGTTTCTATGCGTCAATTATTGAGCAAAATAGAAATATTGTGCATTCATCTGGAAAGAAAAAGTATAATTTTTGCACGTTCTGTTTATATCTATTGTCAAATTGATAGCCCTCCTTAAACTTTAAAAATATTTTAATAGGGCATCAGAAGGCGTAGATCGAGTAGCTATCAAAATGGAAGCTAACCAGAAGGACCATGGTACAGGACAGCTATTGAACTCCAGAAATCAAGCAACAAATTTGACAAATTTGAAAAGTAGTAGAATAAGCAATCTTATTGGCAAGACTTGACAAGCTGGGCGTTATATTTCTGGAAAAATTTTTCGACTCAAACGGAGGAATGAAAGAAGCGATCTTCCAATCTATGTAAATTTGCCATAAAGTTTACCACCTAGTATTTTTAAACTGTTCCGAGCTATGTGGTGTTTCTTAATATACCTGACTATATTGTTGGAGGCTCTATTTCGTAGACATAAATCTTGACACTTCTCTAGAACTGTAAATGGCGGTCCAGTATCCCTAACAATGTCATCATCGAAAGCTTGTAACTGTATGTTGGGTAGTCGTTCATACATAACTTTACCATTCATTGAACCAGAGCCACACGATGTTTGAGCTAAAAGGTATTACTTAATTTGAAAAAGTGAAGGAAAACAACCAAAAGAAAAAGAACATTTTTTAAAAATTATTTTGACTCTTTCGAAGAAATGGAGGTACTTAAATCGAATTGATTAAAATGTGCAATTATGACGTATTTTTTAAATTTGTTCATTTAATCTGATAATGTAGGACATCCTCTTTGATCTGGGGATCTCTTAATCATTATGATTTTTTAATTATTGAAACTACGCAAGTACTATCTTTACCTTTGGTCATCATCTTCAATACCGTCAGAACTGTAATAGCTTGCACCATGCTGGGTATGTAACTTCTCATTTTGATCCACCTGTCGATTTTTTTTAATACTATCTGGACATACTTTTCTTCCTGAAAGCAAAAATACACGGATTAATGTATTTTCTTAAATGTTCATTGTATAATATTATTAAAGCAGTGATGTTAAGTAATACAACGGTTAGCGATGCGTGCATCACCAAATGAGGATGTCTGGTATAATCAAATATATACGGATCACTGAACTATAATACCGTTGCCTATTGATACATATACTTTGTAACAGGCAGTGTACTGAGTTGAGGTATCCTAAAAGCACCGAACTGTTTTTGGCAGGTTCCCACACCAATTAGTGGCAATTTATTTCTTGTCAAATAGGTGTAGGGTCTTTTTGCATTTTATCTTAAAGTCTAAATATTCTTCTGTTTTCTGATTTCTGAGAATCACCACGATATTAACAGAAACAAAAATTTTGGAATAGCCCAGGATATTGCAAAAACATGCATCTACATTTGGTTGTCGAAAATTAATGGAATATGTTCTAACGTCGGTCACGAAATTCTTTCGTTATGAATATACAGGGGGTTGTGGAAAATAATTAAACTTGTCATCAATAGCAATAGCAATTTTCTACATCGGATCTCAATATAATTGTAGCAAAATTAAAACATGATTGTTTCCTTTTTCGGATGTTTGCAGATGAAAGATAAAAAATTCTTGATTGTACTCCACCAAGTCTCCGACCCAAAAAATTGTTATGTTTAAACTGCCTTTATTTAAAATGCACAATAAATATAGGTATTTATACACACGCTGTGTTATTTGAGACATCTACTATAATTATGAATCCATAATATGCTCTTTCACGGTCAGTATATCCATCCTCGTATGTGACCATGGGGCTTGCAATGAAAATATGCGTAATGCCTCGAAAAGAAATATTTGACGGCCAAATAGGGACACGTCCAATATGACCAATCCGCAGTATTGTACAGCCTTGACCTCGAGGCGTGAAAATATTTTTTCTACTATCTAAAAATGTACATCATACAAGATAATGAAAATAAATGACTAATTTCACTTGGTGTATGTAAATTTGCCGTCACTCGTATGCAGTTAACACATTAACATTATAACACATTAAGATAAGGAAAGATATCTTGAAAGGGACTAAGCCAAAAAAATAATTTTGCAAGTTTTAGTAAATTCGGCAAAAGCTTTCTTTATCTCATTATTAAATTTTAAAATTAATTATAAAAGTATGCAATACTAATTTATTTTTTGATATTTGGACTTTGATAGCAAAAATCTTGTAAAATCGATTATTGCAATTTGTCTTCCTCCAACGGTTCCTTTTAGTTTTCATATTTTTTAATGGTTTGTTTCAGATGTCGCTTGCAAAGATGTTTTCCAGATCTTCTCGTCTGTTAGGGCAAGTATTAAAACGAAATGAGGCCAAAAATCTACCGAAAACTCATTTCCCTCGTCCTATATACTATTTGTCTGTGGAAAACGAACCCGTCGAAGAAATGATTTGTAGGTTTGTACTTTCCGGACTAACAGTACTTTTGTATTACTTGATATTATAAGATTTCCAACAAACTTTAAAAAATGCCTATTGGTAGCATTTAATGCGGAACTTCTCAGCTAACTGAGCGACGGAAAATTGTAGATTTTGATTAGTCTAATTCGCTAAATATTTGTGACCATTATGGTTCCAATGTTCTTTTCCTTTTTTTGCTTTTACATGAAATACTATACATATTACGATTTAAACAAGTGATTTTGTTTTTTAATAATTAATATTGCTTAAATTCAGCACCATACAGGACAAAAAGAGACTCTGAGCTGCGCCTTGCCGTTTCATGTCGCTCTCTGGTACCACCCAAACATCGAGAGGTCAACCGCAAAGCAAATAGTGTTCACCGCAATTCCTTTTCCACTTGTAATTTCTTAAAATTCCTCTTGAATTTTTTGGTTATGTTTGTTATTTTTTTTACCCACATCGTTAAGCTTATGTGAGTGTGTTCATTTTGCACTTGTAATGTCTTAGAATTCCTCATGAATGTTTTGGTTATTTTTATTATTGTTTTTTACCCATGTTGTTAAGCTTATGTGAGTGTGTGTAAATTTGTTCTTTTGCTCGTGAGTCAAGAAAGCTGATCATCGAAGAACAAAATCGTGTACTAGGGGTACCTGTTAGAACTCAGAACAACGCTCAGGGTAAGTCAAGGCAAGTCAATTGAAAACAAATTAAGCAAAATTCGGAAGAACCAAAGGAAAAGGAAAATTCAGTTGATTGATAAACATTTCTGTACTCAATTTATCCGGTAACAGCACATTTAATGTTTCAGCCAAACACTAATCCATTCTAAAATATAAAATCACCCGCGGTCCTTCTTCAATTTTTGAAATAGCATATGGAATTCAATTTTGCTCTCTCTATTTACGTAGTATACATTCGTTCTTTTAGGTCAGGATCACTAATCACTGGTTATCTCTGAAACACCAGGTAGTTTTAAACATCTCTGTTTTTGACTGTCTTTCTCTGTTTTTTCCTTTTTTACCTGCCTCTCTCTCTCTCTCTCTCTCTCTCTCTCTCTCTCTCTCTCTCTCTCCCTCCCTCTCTCTCTCTCTCTCTCTCTCTCTCTCTCTCTCTCTCTGTCTCTGTCTCCCTCTCGAACAAAATATGGCATAGATAACTGCATCCTAACAACGAAAAGATCCCGAGATAAACAAATATTAAACCAGATACAAATTTTAATTCATTAATTAATTTCACTATTTTATTCAAAAATTGGTTTTATACCAACTCCAAACATATCCGAACATCCTACTTTCCTACGTTCCTCCTTTTCAGATACGAATGTATTTTTGGTCGCGAAGATGCCGATGGCTGGGACGTTCGTCAGGCCATGAACGACCTTACTGGGTATGATTCAGTCCCGGAACCTCGAATCATTATTGCCGGTCTCCACGCTTGTCGACGTTTAAACGATTACGCAATGGCAATGCGTTTTTTGGAGATGGTCAAAGATAAATGCGGAAACCGGGTGAATGAGATTTACCCCTACATTGTGCAGGTGCGCAAGGTCTTTAAGCTCTGTTGCGGCTATTCCGGAAGAACTACTTTTATTGGGAATTTTAGATATTTCAAGGAAAAGAAATTGAAAAACGAAGATTTTGCTATTTCGAACCATATTAAGTTATTTTTACATTTCTTTTTGATTGTTGATCGCCAATTTTTGAATCTAATCTAATTATAATACGAACCGACATTCGTTTTCTAAAATAAACAGTTTTGTGTGAAATATGGAAATCCGACGTGGTATTTTCTTGTAAAAATTTGTTACTTTTAATTGCCATAGACTTGGAAGCATGTTTTTTTTTTGTTTTGAGTTCGTTTATTCAAGTTTTTTTCTAGAGATTTTATTAAAAATTTAAAGAAAAGGTAATTATTACAAGGCAAGCATATGTTATATATTGTCGTCGGTAAGCGGGAAAAAGTAAAAATCTGGACTTGTAACTCTGTCGAAGTCTCCAACTTAATCTTATCATTCACTTATTCATAAACTCAAGCAACCTGTATATTAAATGAAAAATAATTATATTGACTCAAATATGGCTTAGCAAAATGTTTCTCGTTAATATAATACAGGTCATTAAAATTTAGTTCCTGAGCTTGGAATTTCTCTATTGCTGAAGGTGTTGTTGCCACTTCGCCATGAAGACTTGAATTTGCAGGTTTTTGGGGAAGGGGAATACGATTACGTTTAATTTTTCACAAAAGATGTAGAGGGCGCTAGCTACACTCTGGAATCTCATTTGGTGATGCTACCATTTTTTAATTTTTAAGTTTAACTTCGTGATTTTTACCGAGGGTACTATATTAATTCGCAAAACCTATCCTATTTTATAATTTTGAATTTGAATTTAGGAAGTTGGACCAACCGTCGCTGAATTGGGATGTGATTTTCCCGAAGGCTTGGGTTACGACAAACCGGAATTGTGGTTAAGTTCCTTGTTTGAATTATAAATTGATATTCGTATGCTTTATTTAGTCATAAAGTATTAACTTTATATAAATGACATGGAATAAATTAATTTTGGTCTTAATTGACTGTTGCTTATTTTGGTTACTTTGTTGCAAATTTATTATATGCGGAAGATTGAATATTTAGTACGGAAGACGACGACCGTTTCAATTCTCTTTTCTATGACTGCATTCATGGTCCAAGTCTCGCATCAATACAAAACTGGGAAGATGTCGCAGCAAAATATTCTGGCCCGGAGTTCAAGGCTGAGATTTCGGTTTGACACCTCATGTTCTTCAGAGTCTTCCGCGCTTGCTCAGTTGTAGGGTTTTGGGTCGCATTGTCGATTGACGATTGAGTCCAGCCCTTTGCAATGATCTCTCCATGAAGCCTCAGTTATCTCTCCATGAAGTGTGGTGTGTCTTTGAGAGTTTAATAGTTTGGTCTTGAACATATTCACACAAAAGTTTTGATACTTATATCTCCATATATATTTTCGACAGCTTCGTTAAATACTGCCTCAGAGTAGAGGTTAATCAATAGAGGGAGTAACACACATCTTTGTCTCATACAATTGTTAATTTCTTCAGATGTGGACCCTTCGATTTTGACTGTTGCTGTTTGATGCCGGTAAATTTCAGTTATGATCTTTAGATCTTATGAGTCAATCCCCGTTGATTTTAGGATGTTGATCATTTTTTCATGTGACGTGCAGTGAAACCTTTTTTATATTCAATAAAGCATGCGAACACAGTTTTGCAGCATATTCAAAGATAAAAAAGATTCTAGGTTCCCATTCCGTTCCTAAAGCCAAATTGCGAACAATAAACCAGGCACTCACACTTTTGCCACTGAAAAATGAGGAAAATATACTATGCATATTTTTTACTTTAAGGTTCGTAAATCACCAACAGGACAAAAAGATCATATTATTATTAGCCTAAAATTGAAAATAACAGAATTATCAGCACATTTCTCTTTTAGACTTGATGGCTATGAGTGGTTGCCAAATAAAACTCAATTTTTCTCCATTGCTTTATTTGAGCGAAAAAACATGGAAATAAGAAAATAGAAAAGAAAATCCTAATGAATTTATTAACTATGATTAACTATTAAAGTTATTTTAAGAGGATTTTTTATTGAGCGAATTGCTTTTACTATTGTTCTACCATCTATCTAGTTTATTTTTTTCTCTTATTGTAGCCTTTAAAACGTCAACGTATTGATACATTTCCTAATAAATGTCGTCCTTTAAAAAACACCACAAGAAGAAATGAATTGAATTGTAGAAATCCATTAATTGTTGAAAATGGCTGTCAAAAATTGATTTGTGCTTCGGAAGTTATGAGCTGGTCCGCCATTCGAAATTAACCAACCAAAACTAACCAATTATACCGCACCAAATTTTAAAGCTGAACTGAACTTGTGGACCTCGGGCATGTACTAGCAATAAATTTTCTCTTGACCAATAATAATTTTGAATTTGAAAAATTTGATTCGTCAGTCCACAAAATATACCGAAAATAATTTATGTTTTGGCTGCAAAAGGTAACATCCTAATGACAAAAAAAGTGTCGCTGCATCCCCTGCCAAGAGGACCTGAGCTGGTCGGAATTTGTAAGGGCAAAATTTGTATTCTTTTTTAAATCCTTTGGACAGTATTAAAGGATAGGTTAGTCTTCGACCATGTCTTGCATAGAATTGTCACAACATACTTCAAAATATCCAAAAACACCAATTTCTACCTAGTCACTTATAATAAAATTTTTTCGTCTCCTGTTTGCAAAAACTGTTTCATTATATCTAAAGATTTGATAAAGCCGCTGAAAAAAGTGTTCATCTTGATATAGATCGCCGTGCATATGTATCATTCTCTTGCATTGAACTGAGGTGACTCCGTGTCTTTATCAAATGTCATAAAGAGACGGTGTCGTCGAAACAATTGTCATGTGAAAATATATAACTTCGTGAAAATCTGAACTTTTAGTTCTAATTTATTTCGTTCCCTTGCTCTTACAGACGACTTACTGTATACCAAAAATCATTCTAACATGTCGCACTTTTCATTATTTGTAAAAACCATTGTTGAATAACTGATACAGTAAAATTAATTTAAATAATTGATAACAATTGATATAACAATACTAATAATTAACATTAACTAATTTTAGACATTTGATTTTTTCTGCGGCTTTTTCAAATCTTTAGAAATAATGAAACCGTTTTTGCTAAGAAAAGAAGATGAAAAATTTTTATAATAAATGAAGACGTGGAAATTTGTGTTACTATTATTGTTTCTGGTGCTCAAATAAAAAGAAAATGGAATTTTATTCTGTGTGTATATTGCATATGAACTTTTTCGTTCTGTTGATGATTTACGAACGTTAGAGTAAAAAATATACAGGGTCTTTCATTTTTCCTGATTTTTTCGTAAACTATATATATTTAGTTATTTTTCTGTTTTCGCTATCGTAATCAGTTGAAAAGTTCTACTAGCATGCTAATTTCACCGACTTTGTATCTCTACTTATAACAAAGTTACCAATGATGAACATTTAATTTAGATCCGCCGGTATACGTGTATGAATGATCTGCAAGAATATTTTGAACATTGAACATCATTCGTCCCAATGTGATACGTAGTTTAGAAAGAAAAGTTTGAATTTTAAAGTAAATTGCAGATTTATACTTCATTTAACTGATATTAAAAAAGCGCTTTGTCCTCCTCTGAACGATAGAGGCAACATTTATAACTAATGACAGATTTTATACAACAAACTTGTTGTCCAGAAATTCGCAATCCATAAATTTTGAAATACATGTTGTAAACTTTTAAAACAAATAACTTTTTCAGAAGAGTAAAGGATAAATATAAAATAAAATATAGATTCCAGCTTTAGGCACCGGACATGTTCGGTGGTTTAGTCGCCATAGAAATTTTTATATTAAAACTGGACCCTGTGGTGGAAGCTCAATATAATACCAGTTTACAGCCCTAACTTCTACGACTTCTGAACTCGCGTTTTTTTAATCAAGTTGACACTTCAGCTGATATAAACCGATTTCGAGTTGTTTTGGATACAAACTAATATCTCATTTATCACTATATACAAATAAAACTTGCGTGCAAATAATTTAGGTTTTGTTAATGGAATAATAAATAATCTGGAATTAAGGCTTCCCAAAGGAAGAAATAGGTGCACATAGCTTGCACCGACGTTATCTCTTATAAAAACGTTTTTTTATTTCTCAAGGGGGCGTTCCATCCCTTGTTACGCCACTTTACAACATGTGCTATCGCGTCAGCGAGATAATTAATGAAGTTCAAAAATGGAGAAAATCCATACCGAATCGTTATTCAAAAATATACCCTTACCAAGTATAATCCTTGCAGTGACCAGTAAACAGAAAATTCCTAACGAAACAAAAACAGGCCCAGGTCACTGTGATGGTCACTTATAAACAATGTCCACAACAGCTTGTCACTGAATCACGGCATATACACCGACTGGCTCGATGAAGAGGAGCCCCTAGGTACCTAGTTGTGTATTCTCGGACCTTGGGGTTCCGCGCTTCGGACTCCGGAAACGCGGACAAAAGCGTTTCCGGGAAAGCAACAAACGCGAGAACGGGTCACCGATACTGGTCAATGCTTATAATGCGATGATGATGGTGATTGTGATGTTTATTACTCTAAACGAGGTTAAAACAAAAAATAAACTGGTTCTTTAAAATGCGACATTGTCGCGGCACACCGTTTACTTTGATGCTGCCATCGATCTCAACATTAGTAAATGTAAAGTTATCTGGTTTAGAATCAAAATATCTATTTAGTGTAGCTGTTTACTGAATACAATACAATATTAGTAATTTAGGAGTTTTGTTTGATAGAACATTATCTTTTGTCACATGTTGCGTGCAATGTCAATAAAGCTTTAAGAATGTTCCACCAAGGGAACGTCTACTGACTTTACCAATTGCAATTCCAAATTCTACAATATTATGTTCTTATATACTACGGCCGAATTTGGAGTACTATTCTTCGATCTGGTTACTACACTATTACTATGAGTGGGAAGCGTTTCAGATTATTTGAAATCTGCCATAAATAATAATAATAATAAATAATAATAAAAGATTAATTAACTTTTATTATTCTAAGACGGCTTAACATAACCGGTTTACTTTACGTATATCTACATGCATATGTGTATTTGTTCGGTTGTTGATTTATTTTTCTTTCTTTTTTTTTTCTCCAAACTCTTAGCGAAATAAATACATTATTATTATTATTATTAATTATTATTATTTCATAACTTTAGTTTTTATTTATGAGTGCCAAGGGAAAAATTAGTCCGTTTTGCTAATATACATAATTATTATTTTTATTTATGCCTTCCTTTCCTTCTTGGAAAAGTATTTTTAGACAGCATTTTGTAACAACAGATAAGATTTTGTCTCAATCTAATATTTAGTTTTGGTTTAGTTTGGGGTATCTATTGCCTTCAATTACTTTCAAACACTCCTAGGCATGGACTGTAATAGACGTCTGGAAGTGTCTATTGGAATGTCCAAGCCTCTCTCACAACCTGGAACAGTTTTTCTAAATTTTGGAAAGTTCTTGAACCTAACTTTCTTTTAACGGTCATTCACAGCTTTTCTATTAGGTTAAAGTCTGGGTTACCAGATGGCCACTGTAAAACATATGATTATCCTGTCGCCAGGCAGCTGAATGTTTTGAATCATTGTATGCTAATGTATTTATACTGATCCATGGTACCAGTCATTCTGTAAAGGGGACCATCACCATTCCAGGAGAAACAGCCCCATACCATGATACAACCACCTTCAAATTTCACTGCTTTTATAGTTTAGTATGGGTCATATTCTTTGTGGTGGTGGATGCCAAATAAATTTTTTTTGATAGGAATAACGTCCTATTACAATTCTTTTGCAACCACATATTACTGGCATCTGCAGAAATTCAAAGAAAGATTAACATTAATTTATTGACAGGAATGGTAGTTGACAACCCATTAAATCTCTATAGTAATTAGTTGCCGTTGAAAATGTAGTTTTTTAAGTATATTAACTAATAAAATTATTGTTTATTGTGCTTGATACGAAAATAATATACGTCCTAACAATAGCAACAAATATAATATTGCAAATATCTCAGTACGAATAATTAGAATTATCGTAAGTTATCGTTTCCAATTAGTTTTGCCGTTACTGTATGCGTATTGTGTCACTCTTATGGGTTATACATGTTTGAAAAGCCAATAAGAACTCTAAAAAATTATTCAAAAAGTAAATTTTAAAAACAAAAACACACTGCAACGTCTAAATTTTTAAGTTTAGAAATTCAAACTGTAACTAAAAATACAAGATACGAGGGCAGCGCCAAAATTTCCCGGCCTGAATATGAAAGAAACAAAGTAGAGTATTTTTCAATACAATCCCCCTTAACTTCGTTACACTTATGAAAGAAACAAAGTAGAGTATTTTTCAATATAATCCCCCTTAACTTCGTTACACTTATTACATCTCTTTATTAACAGCTCAATCCCTTTAAAAATATATTCTTTTGGTTTGTCTGCAAAATTAGCTAAAACAGCTTCTTTTAACTCAACTTCGTCGTTAAACCGCCGTCCAAGTAAGTCCTTTTTCAAATATCCAAACAAATAATAGTCGCTGGGGGGCATATCTGGACTATAGGGAGAATGATCTATCTGTTGGAACCCACACTCTAAAATGGTAGCTTGTGCAACACCAGCAGTATGGACAGGTGCATTATCGTCCAGAAAACGCACGCCTCTGATCAGTTTTCCTCGACGTTTTACTGCATATGTGTCTCGCAATTTATGTAATAATGTTGCGTAATATTTACCATTGACAGTGGTATTAGTTTCTTTAAAATATATCAAAAGAATTCCCTCACAATCCCAAAAGATCATCGTGACCATCACCTTTTTTGTTGACTGGCAGACTCTGAATTTTCTTGGAGGTGCTTCACACTTACGACGCCACTCCATTGATTCTTTTTTCGATAGAGGGTCCATCTCCCTTCACAATAGTTTCTATCACAGGCTTCGGTTTCAAAAAAGACTGCGCACACTCGACGCGGCGTTGTTTTTGAATAGCCGACAGGTTTTTAGAAACCCATCTTGCACTAACCTTATGCATACCTAAATGATCATGCAGGATTCGACGAACACTTGTATCAGAAAGCTTAGTAATTTCTGAGATTTCCTTGACCTTTAAATGTCGATCACTCAATACCACCTCTTCCTCAATTGCAATAATATCTTCCGTTATGACCTGCACTGGCCGACCAGTTCTTGAATTATCTTCAAGGGACTCCTACCCCATTCGAAAACGTTTTGCCCATTCTTTCACTACAGAATACGAAGGAGAACTTTGGCCTTACACACCATCCAGCCTTTCTTTAATAATTTTAGGTGCTAATCCTTCTTTTGTCAAAAACTTATGACTGCTCTATTCTCAATTTGCGTTATTTGCGACATTTTTTCTGACGCGTCTTGTTACTTTCGCAAAATGAATGAAATTCATTTTTTGCGAAAGTATACGCGCCAGTCAACCTTTTTCATATCTCGGAAACGGTTGGTCCTAGGGGACCGCCGTTGGTACAGATCGACTCAGGGTCGAAAAAAAACGTTTTTTTTTTGTCTGTTTCTCCGTTCTCCGTATCGACTAAAACCGCTATAACTCGGCAACCGTTTGAGCTAGAGGGCTGAAATTTTGACCCTTTTATCCTGAAAAAACAATATTCCGAAAACGAAATACGAACCCGATCCGACTACGGCAACCCCGATTTATTGTCACTTTTGTTTCGATTTTTCGGCTTCGCTATGAAACACGATAACTGTCCGAAATTTGAATCTATCGACTTGAAATTTTCCACGAGGGTAGAGACCGGGCCCCTAACGGAACCTGTTGAAATTGAGAGGGATCGGTGATTGGGAAGTATTTTTAAAAATTCAAAAACCACGTTTTTTTGAAAAATTAAAATGACTATATCTCGAAAACGGTTTCGCAGATCGAAACAATTCGCAAACGAGAAGATGTAGAATGTGGATACCCATAAATCCTTATTCTTGATAATTTTTCCCAAATATACAGGGTGTGCCGGTATTTCCAATAAACTTATCCTCGAGTTACCCTCGCAAAGATAATTGACTGTAAGTTAAACACTGTTATTCAGTCAGACTTTTTTTCTACATAACAGTGTAGGCCGTAGAGACAGCTAAAATCCTTGTATTTAAGGTTTTCGCGTAATGTACAGGGTGTTCGAGATATATCGCGTTTTATTGAAAAATGCAACAGGTGCCCCAAATTTGCAGCTATCGACTTCAAATTTGGCAGGGTGGTAAAAGTCCGCCCATGCACCCAAACACTTGAAGCTGGGCGCAATCGGACATCGGCAAATATTTTTTAAAAATTTTCGAAAAATTTTTTGTCGTCTTTTTGGGCTGCATAAAAAAATTCATTTCGCGAAAACGCTTTACTCGATCGACAAAATTCTTGAACCAAAAGACGCAGAAGATCTGGGACTATAACTTTTATTTTAGCCATTTTTTCGATTTTATGAATAGTTTTTTCATTATAGGCAAAAATATTAAAGACTCTGAAAATTGTCCTTTGTCCAGATTACATTCTTAGCCGTAAATCAAAATTCTTGAAAAACATGGCCAACTGGTTTAAACGGGGTTATAGGCCGCATCTAGGGCTACAATTTTTGTATTTACGGTTTTCTTCTACCACACACGCTGCTCGAGATATTTGAAAAAATCCAAGTGAAAATCTCGCTCAAGATAGAAGCGATGACGTCACCATTACCACGTGCTGTGCGCTGCATTGTTTCAGATACGTATTATTTTCTCGAAAACCATTTGCTCTATTGGCAAACTTCGTCTACCACGGAACGTGAGAGATTCAGGGTTTTAATCTCCATTTCCGTAATTTTTCCGATTATGTACAGGGTGTCTCGATTATGGGCAAAATATGTAGAGTACCGTGAAAATTGCCGTTTTCGTGTATAAAATATTAGCTATTAATGAAAAACTGTAAAAGATAGGAAAATTTGGTTTAAAACGTATTATGAACTGCATCGAGAGCTACAATTCTCTGATTTAGAGCTTTCGTCTACTATACAGGGTGCGCGAGATATATCGCGTTTTATTGAAAAATGCAACAGGTGCCCCAAATTTGCAGCTATCGACTTCAAATTTGGCAGGATGGTAAAAGTCCACCCCCGCACCCAAATGCTTGAAGCTAGGCGCAATCGGACATCGGAAAATATTTTTTAAAAATTTTGGAAAAAAATTTTGTCCTCTTTTTGGGCTGCATAAATAAATTCATTTCGCGAAAACGCTTTACCCGATCGACAAAATTCTTGAACCAAAAGACGCACAAGATCCGGGACTATAACTTTTATTTCAGCCATTTTTTCGATTATATGCATAGTTTTTTCATTATATGCAAAAATCTTAAAGACTGAAAATTGTCCATTTCCAAAGTACAT